CGCTCTTCCGATCTTGGCAGTCTCCAGTTCAGCCTTGAGGGCCTCGACCTCCTTCTCCTTCTCCTGAACAGCTGTCGAGCTGTTACTTGACGCCTCCGTAAGATTCTCTCATACAGTTCCCTGTCCGGTACGTAAAGCTCTCGAACGCGTCCTCCTTCCTCTCGCAGAGATACGGCTGCAAGAACGTAGAGGTAGAGCTGAGGCACCGCGGTGCGCGCGGTGAACCCGACGAGCCAAGCAGCCAATTGTACCGACAACGCGGCAGCGAGCTCGGTGAGAGACAATTATTCCCAGTTTCTCAGTCCCGATCGGTAGCTAGAGCAAGAGAGGCACGGAACTCGAAACATTTCAGTCGGCCAGCCATATCGTCACTCGATTCCGGTGTCGGCGCGCACAAGATAGGGAGGGCATGGCGAGGGCATTGCACTGTAAGTTGCTAGCAGCTGGAAGTGCGCAAGTAAGCCTTGAGATTCAGTTCAGAATAACGTTGATGGCCGAATGAGCGAACGTCGGTTGCGGTCGGTGGACTGGAGGATACACGGAGTGGATGTGGGGTAGTGTTCGTGGGGTGCAGTTGCTGGCTGTCGACGACGACAAGGAAACGAAAGGGGTTGTGTGTGTCTGATGACGGATTATAGGAGAGGGTCTCGGTGCTGAGCGACTAAAGTGTCGATTCGAGAGCGGGCTGTTGTTTGTGTGTGTGTGTGTGACAGATGCGGGGAAACAGAGGTACTAGCGAGTGTGGGTGTCGACAACGAGGAGGCCAGGCGGGATGCGATGCGATGATGGAATGGACGGAGGTAGGAAGGAAGGAAGAACAGTGGTTGGTTGCAAGTTGGTAATACGGAGGGTGACCGCAGTTGCCGCAAGCGCCGTTTGAGGTTTGGCAGTGGGAGCCGCGAGCGAGGCTTTGCTTGTCTCTTGCTGGGGCGTATGCAAAGGTAAGTGGATTCTGTATATGCTTGAGCCCGGGCGTCCAAGCAGCAAGCAGCCCAAATTCAAATGCCTCGGTGCGTGGTGGGGATCGCTGGCAGTCCGAGAGCCGGTGTGTTGGTGCGAGCGAAGGAGTCTGCGGCCGGGAGCTGAGTGTTGGTAAACAATCAACAACGGCGCAACTTTGGCTTGAGACAGAGCGTAGTTTGTGTTGCGGCGATAACTGGGCCGTGCCGAGTCGGTTGCGATAGCGATAAGATGAGATGGGCGACAGCGAGTCTGCCGAAAGTGGTGGTGGATGCGGGGGTGCTTTGGCGTGGTTACCACAAGTGGTACAAGATAGCAGTGGGACTGGACAGAAGTGGTGGTTGAGAGATGAGAGATGGAGGAGGATGAGACAGGAGGCAAGAACCGGAAATGGCAAGTCGTGGGTTACAGGTTAAGTCAAGTCCTGATTAGTGCTCATGAATGCAAACAAGCTCGAAAGCTGGCCCGGATGCTGGCTGGCTCGCAGAGTCTGGTCTCCGTAGCAGTCAAACCAACAAATAACTGTGGGTATGGGTACTGCCCTAACGGCCCAGGGACCGAGGACGAGCAGGCCAGAAGGCTGGCTCCAGCTGCCATCAGCCCGCAGGCAGGAGGACGCAGGTACGCAGGCGGGCTCGCGGGCTGGCGGGCGGCAGTGGTTGATGACATCGGAGGCTCAGCTGGCTCTCAGCAAGCGCAGCAGCAGACAGGCAGATCGAGTGTCTGTCCTGTCCTGTGAGCCAGCATGCGGAGTAGATTGATTATTAACTCTGGCCCAGGCTTGCATGCAGCCCTCTCTCTCTCTCTCTGTGCTCGTGCTTGTGGTCACCAGCCGCCGCCGCCGCCGACATTGTCCTGGAGTGTACAAACAAACAGGCGCCAGGCCCGCCGCCAGCCCTTCCAGGTCCCAGGTCCTGTAGGCTTGCGCCGGCCGGTCTCAGGGTGTTCAAGCTCTGCAAGCTCAGGACTCTTCAGCCTGTGGGACCTTGGGACTCTTGCCAAGTGTACAGCGGTACAGCGGTACAGCGGCATCTCTGCTGCGTACGGTGCTCATGAAGCTTGCAGAGCTTGCAGCATGCCTCAACGCGCGAGCTTGTTGACCGTTCATGCCCAACCGACCAACCAACCGACGGCTGTGTGGCCGTGCGCCCCTGAGCGAGGCGAGGCACCAAGCCTGAGGCTATTCGCGAGCGGCATCTCGCGGAGAGTGCTCGTGCGCGTGGCCGTGCTGGCCGTTCCGCCTCCTGCGTCTCAAACCCTGGGATCCTGGGAGTCTATCCCTGCTCAATCCCTTCTCAATCCCTGCATAACGGTCCGTACGGCGAGTCATCCCAGGCACGAGCGTTGGACTCAGGGAAGAGACGCCGATATGAAATGGGAGCTAACCCACCGCGCCCAGCGCCCGCGAGCTCGCGAGCCAAGGTAGGGACCGTAAGGAAGGACCTAGGCAGCGTCATTTTCGTATTTTCTTCCTGTTTTGGCAATTCCGGAAGCCGGAGGGCAGTACACGTCATGCTGTGATACGGCCCGGTGGTCGCGCTTGAATGGCCCGGGGGCCGTTGCCTTCCAGGGTAGGGTGTACAGACCGGGGGCACCGGCATTTCGTCATTGCAAGGCTGCTGCGCGGCTGCTCGCGACCGCCGCGACACGCTCATTTACATCATTAGTTCTGGCCTTCTGGGATGCTAACAACGCGCGTCCGGGAAACATAGAGATGCTTAAGCTGCATTGCCGCATTGGGTAAGCGCTTTGTTATGTACACGCGTGTCGACGGTGAGACGCACGCATGTACGCATGGCTGCAACACGCTGCAACGCATGCTGCATGCTGCACGAATTATTGAGAAAACGAGATCGAGAGACAGAGACATGAGGCATGAGGCGTCGGCGTGAGTACATGAACGGAGCTAGGAGGGAAAGAATGGGCCCATAACCCACGCCTCGCGCTTTCATTGCCCGCCTCGCCCCTGTAACAATATTGCAATCACTTATGTCTCAGCACGCAGATCGTGTGCACTGTTGAGTCAGATCCACCCCGGCCCCTGGGAGGTCGGTCACGTCCAACCACGGCATGGCGACATGGCTAGCATGGCTTGCGGATTGCAGTGTGCATGCGCACTTCGCAGGCTCGCATGCTCGGTCAATCGATGTTAGTCCTGGGTGGATCCTCGCGATGCTCCAACGACGCAGCACGCTACCACTTCCAAGCGAGCATGCGAGCAAGGGCACGCCGGCACGACGTCATTTCCCCGGGACCCAGACGCTGATCGATCAGTTCGTCGCAAGATAGCACCGGTTTGATCGCAGGAACAAGCGCGCATCATGCATACCACTACTTCTCTCCGATGGACATGCCGGACTCCGAGGGACCGACCGGCCCGCCGGGGTCCGAGTGGCAAGAGTTGGCGAGAAGCGACGCGATGGCAGGCTGTGTGCCTCCTCCCCCTTTGACCGGATTCTCTCATACAGTTCCCTGTCCGGTACGTAAAGCTCTCGAACGCGTCCTCCTTCCTCTCGCAGAGATACGGCTGCAAGAACGTAGAGGTAGAGCTGAGGCACCGCGGTGCGCGCGGTGAACCCGACGAGCCAAGCAGCCAATTGTACCGACAACGCGGCAGCGAGCTCGGTGAGAGACAATTATTCCCAGTTTCTCAGTCCCGATCGGTAGCTAGAGCAAGAGAGGCACGGAACTCGAAACATTTCAGTCGGCCAGCCATATCGTCACTCGATTCCGGTGTCGGCGCGCACAAGATAGGGAGGGCATGGCGAGGGCATTGCACTGTAAGTTGCTAGCAGCTGGAAGTGCGCAAGTAAGCCTTGAGATTCCAGTATCTTCCTCCTCCTTCACGACCTCTACGTTGCTCACATGCTGTCCACCGATCCGAGATGGCGGTAGGGTCGATGTGGCTCGCCACTCATGCGTTTGTTTGTACACTCAGGATACAGGACACGAGCTACGCAGACCCATCACTCACTGTCACGGCATCGGTGAACCTTACGCTACGCGTGTCCCGTCCACAGCCGCGTATTCAATGGCGTCGCTGGCCATGGTTCATCGTCGTCTCCTGTCTGTCTGGTCTGTCGCTGTCTGTCGCTTGGGCCAGCACACAAACAAGCTTGCCTGGCTGATCGACATGTATTAGTCTCCGAGCCGCGAGCCACAACTCATACCTCACACCTTTGTAGGGTCGTTGTGGCGAGCTACGAACCGATCACTGCCCCAGTCGTCAGGATGGAGAGATTAGGACTGCCCAGGACGCCAGGACGCCAGGACCAGGACCACACCAGGAACGTCACCCTCCCTCCATCCCCTCACCCCTGCACTCCACATTGAACACGGGCCCGGAGACGCAACACAAACAAACAAACTGCTGTGCCTCCATCTCCCGCCTCATACCCCGTGAATCTCGTCATCACGGCTCAGCTGCTCTCGTCTATGCGGGGATCCCACACTGCCCGCGATTCCTCATGTTCGTAGGAACGTAGGAACGTAGGAACGCACGGCTTGAGAGAGCCGTTTCACCGTCCTGTGCGTGTGCGCCTTCAAGCTGTGCTCAGACGAAGTCCAGACTGCGGCCCTCAGCGACGTCGCCGACGTCGCCGAGCTGTTACACTTGTTACAGTTGGTACGGTATACATGGATTCTGCTATGATCTTTGAGCTACGTCTACGAAGTCTCGTCTATGCTCGTGCTCCCCCCCTCTGACACCAACTACGACGTGCCCTCTCCTCCTCCCGCTCCCCCTGCTGCTCCGGCTCCGGCACCGCCCTCCCCGGCCCCTCCGGCTGCTCCGGCCCCTCCTCCGCTCGCCCTTCGTCCCGTCCCTCGTCCGCGCGTAGTGCCGCCGCCTCGTGCGCGCTTCGCCGCCCGCGTCGTCGCCCCCGTAGCTCCGGTCTGGAGGCGGGTCAGAATGTCGCTGCCGCCCTCCTCTTCCGGCGCGGGTCGCTTTGCGTTCGCCGCACCCGTGGCACCGGCTGTCGGCGATGCGGTCGGCGAGTCGTTCGTCGCTAGCGTCGCGTTCACGGCTGATGTCGGTTAATGAACGGGGCATTGTAACTGGGGAACATTCAAAGACTTACCATTCAGAACTGAGGTCGTGCGGCCTGGAGCGGCGCCGCGGCCACGGATGGCGGTACCGCGCGCACGGCCGCGCACGCTTGTTCCCCCTGCTGGGGCTGTTGTCGTCGCGGGTGTGGTCTCCTCGGCCTTCGCTGGTGTCGCAGCAGCGGCTGGAGCGGCAGCCGGAGCAGCGGGTGTAGCTGCAGCAGCGGCTGGGGTAGCGGGGGTCGCCGGCGTCGCGGCAGCGGCAGGCTTCGCGGCCGGCTTGGCACCTGGCTTGAAGGCCGTCGCGGTCGCGGAGAGAGCGGGCGTCGCTGTCGGGGTAGTCGGCGATCCCGTCGGGGTCGCGGCACCCTCGCCTCCGAGCGCCTTGACCTTCGCCTCGAGCGTAGCCTTGGTACGCTCGAGCGTCTTGCGCGAGATGTCGGCGTTACGCAGCTGTCGGCTCAGGTCCTTTACCTTCGCCTCCAGCTCGGTGACCTTGGCGGCGGCCGCCTCGGCGTCGCCACCTGATCCGCCAGCCTCGGCCGCAGCCGTCTTCTTCGCCTCCTCGAGCTCCTTCGAGAACTTCTCCTTCAGCTCGGCCTCCTTGGCGGCCACGGCCTTCTGCACAGCGTCCGCATCTGGTCCAGCCTCGTTCTTGACCTTCTCGATAGCTGCATCGTGCTCCGCCTTCAGCTCCGACTCGCGCTTCTCGACCGCCGCCTTGACGGCTGCGTCGATCGTCGCCTGGTCCGGAGCGGAACCGTCGCCTCCAGATGATGCCGCGGCCTGCGCTTCCTCCAGCTTCTTCTTTGCGTCCTCCAGCTCGGCCTGCAGCTCGTTCACGCGAGCGTCAGCCTCGCCCTTGCCCTTCTTCAGACCAACGTTGGCACGGTTCACGCGCAGCACGTCGCGCTCGTACTTCGCATCAGACTCGGCAAGCTTCTTCTCAGCCTCAGCGAGCTTGGTGGCAATCTCCGAGTTGTCGCCAGAGCCCTCCGCAGGCTGCGCAGACTTCGCCGCCTCGAGGTCCTTCTCCGCCTGCGACAGCTTCTGTTGCAGTTCATCGCGCTCCTTCTGCAGGGAAGCCTGTATATCAGTTCTCGAACAGTATGAATAAACTCACAAGAGCGTCCGTGTCCACAGCGGCGGTGGACGCCTCGGCTCCCTGGCTCGCCTTCGCAGCCTCGAGCTCGCCCTGGAGTCGCGTGATCGTTCCGTCCTTGAGCGAGCTTGCCTGCTCAGCAGCAGAGATCTTGCCCTCGAGCTCGGTGATCTTGCTCTTGGCAGTCTCCAGTTCAGCCTTGAGGGCCTCGACCTCCTTCTCCTTCTCCTGAACAGCTGTCGAGCTGTTACTTGACGCCTCCGTAAGCTGGGTCTGGAGGTCACGCGAGCGTCGCTGCCAGTTAAGCCCGATGCGCTTCGCGTCAGCGAGCTGCGACTGCAGCGTCTCGATCTCGGTCGCCTTGGCAGTGACTTGCGCCTCGGCAGCCTCCTTCTCCGACCGGATGGAAGCGGTCTCGGACGCGATGCGAGCGTCGGCCTCGGACGCCTTCTGCTCGGCAGCGCGAGTGGCCTCGCGGGCCTGGTCGACCTGGGATCGAAGGGTGCCGGCTTCGCGCTGCAGCTCCTCGATACGCTTCTCGAGCATGGTGCGCTGCTCGTTCTTCGTCTTCTCGTTCTCGGTGCTGACGTTGCTGAGGTTGTCGATGAGGTGCTGCAGGCGCACGCGCTCCTGCTGGACGGTTGAGAAGTCGCTCTGCAGGCGCGACTGGATGCTCTCCCACTGCTCCTTCTCCGCGCGAAGAAGCGCAGCCTCGTCTCGGAGACGAGTCTCCTGCGCCTGATGCTGCGCCACCTGCTCGAGGGCGTTGCGGCGCTCCAGCTGCGTCTGCGAGATCTGGCCCTGGAGCTGTCGCACCTGAGCCTCCAGCGTCGTGTTGGCCTGCTGCTGCAGCTGGTGAGTCTCGCTAAGAATCCGCTGCTGCTCCTCGAGCATCTGCGCCTTGGCCTCCGCCTTGACCTTCTCCACCTCGGCGACACCAGCGGCCTCGGCCTTCTGGCGCGCCTGCTCCTTCGCCTCGGCAATCTCCTGATCAGCCTTGCTGCGCACAATGTCAAGCTCGGCCTGCAGGTTGCTGAGAGCGACCTCGTTGTCGGTGTCACCGGCTAACGGGTTCTTCGTCGCCGTTGCGCCGTTCGACCACCGCAGTCCCTCACCGCGAGAGAGCAGCTTCGAGAAGAAGTCGCGCTCACGAGCGAGCTCGTTAATCTTCTTCTCCGAGTCGAGAAGCTTGCTGTGCAGCTTCTCGATCGTCTCGGCCGCCTCGTCGAGGGAAGCGGCAGTGTCGATGTCGCTGGCGTCGGCGGTAGCACGGCGAACGTCGCGCGCCTCGAGCTTCGCGACGAGACCACGTGTGAGCTTGAGCAGCTTCTGGTTCTGCTGCTGCAGCGCCCGAAGCGACTTGAACTCGGTCAGCTTGTCGGTGATAAGGTCGCCCTCGCTGATCTTGGCGTTGTCGTCCAGGCCAACGTGCGCAAGGTTGGGGTCGTCTCTAATGGCAATCTCGCGCAAGAGACCCTGCACTTGTCGGCTGAGGTCCTCGGTCTGCGAACGGAGGGCAAGGAGCTCCTCCTCGTCGTGCTTCTTGTTCGCCTCGAGCGCCTTCGCTCGACTCTCGTAAGCATCCCGGGAGGCATGGGCACTGGCGAGCTCGGCCGCGAGAGCATTGGCGCGCTCGATCGCGGCGTCGTGCTCGGCAGCCTGCTCTTCCAGCAGCGGTTTCTGAAGTCAGCTCACGCACCATTCCATTGGAGCGTACCTTCTCCGCAAGGTCCTGGCTGATCTCCGTCAGAAGATCGGTCAGCCGGACGTTCTCGGCCTCCACTTCGCGCAGCTTCGTCTCCATGATCGTGTAGTCGGTAAAGAATTGCGTGTAGGACTTGCCGCTCTCCCGTTGCCTGGCAGCAAGCGAGGCCGCGGGACTGATGTCGTGTCGTCCATCGCCACCAGCGAGGGCGAGGCGCTCGACAGTAATCTTGAAGTCGTCCGCACGCTTCTCAGCAGCCTGGCGAGCTTCCTCGGCACGCTGAAGCTTCTCCTGCCAAGCAGCTTCCTTCTGGCTGAAGGTGGCAGCCTGATGCTCGAGCTCGGCTTCCCGGTCTGCGATGGCGGCATCGCGGTCCTCGCTTCGCTTGACCAGGATGCGGTTCTCCTCCTCCAGGCGCTCGAGTTCGAGACGGAATGACGTATGTTGGGAAGCGGCGCTCGTCTTCAGATTGGCGATGGTCGTCTGCGCCTCACCCAGACGCCTTGTGTGCTCGGCGAACGACCTTTGCAGCGATTCCAGGCGCGACTGGTGCGTAGACACGTTATCTTGCAGCGTCTGGTTCTCGTTCTGCAGATCAGAGAGCTCGCTTTGCTACATGTCAGCTTCGCAACATAGGATCAGCTCACTGTCTGCGCCCTGTACATGTTGAACCTCGACTCAATTTCCGTAGACGCCTTGTTAAGGTTGAGAATCTCGTTGCGCGCATTCGTCAGAGACTGGAGCGCTCGTTGCTCGTTGAACTGAGGTCAGCGGCGCCGTCGCCGTCCACCTTACCTTGGCACTGTCGGCGCTCATCTTGAGCTCTGAGACCTCGACATCGAGCTGGGCAATCTTCTGAGACGCCTCAGACTTCTGCGTCCTAAGGGTGTACAGCACATCTAAGAGTTAGCGAAGGAAGCTGACGGTAACTCACGATTGGACCGCTGGGAACGCTCTTGCAGCCGTTGGATTTCCTCCAAGAGCTCACGCTTCTCGCGCTCCGAAGCCTGTTTGGTTAGCTCATCAAGGGATCAGCTAGCTTACATCGATGCGACTCTGGATGACGCTCATCTCGGAGGAGCTCTGCAGGTGTGCGCTCTGGAGCGATGCGAGCTGTGATCGGAGCTGGTTGGAAGTGGACACTGTGTATCGTCAGCACGACATCCATGCCATCGGACCTACCGGCGCCATCGCGCTCCGTCTCGAGCGTCTTGTTGTCTGCAGAGAGCTTTTCGATGCGTTCCTCGCTGGCCTTCAGGGAAGCCTGGAGATCGGCGAGCGCATGTTCGCGTTCGACGTCTGCGAGGAGGTCGCCTGGCAGCTGGGCGGCCGACGTCGGGGTCGCCGCAGCAGCCGGCGCCGCAGCGTCGGTGGGGGCTCCCTCAGCCATCGTGATGGTCTTCTGGTGTTGGGGGAAGACGACCGGAGTTGCTGGCTGGGCGGATTGGAATGTTGCACTCTGCACTTCAGGTGTTGGACATTGAACAGAGGCAGTCGCGAGGGTCGCTCTCCGTCATTGAACCTCACATTACGTAAGGTTGGCACCTGGGCCATACTGAGGTGCGTGAGTGCATGATTGCGGCAGATGCTCAGGGTGGAGGCAATTTCCCCACGGATGCGCATTCCTTTAGCCGGGGGCGCGGCGTCCATCTTGCAGGTGCTCGTTGGATACACGCGTCCAAAGTCGGTGCAAAGAGCGACAACACACGACCCCATAACGATAGACATGGCGGCCGACAAAGCGGGCCCCTCGACGCAAAACAGCGGAGACGCTGACAAGGAGCTCTCGTCCAAGCTCCAGGACCTCTCGACGCACGACGAGGGCGATTCGGACGACAGCGGTGATGAGGAGGCGAACAACGCTGGACCCGCCGAGGCCGGCGCCGCCAAGAAGAAGAAGAAGAACAAGAAGAAGAAGAAGGGAAAGGGAAAGAGCACTGAGCTCAGGTTAGCTGTGCCTGTACCGCTCTAGCTGACATCAGCGGCGACGCCAACCCCCAGCAGGACATGATCAACCTGATCCGGAACAACATGCCGGTCGAGCAGAAGGCGAACGTGTCTGATGGTGAGGTTAGGCTTCCCTGATTTGGCTAACCTTCAGAGCAGATCAAGCAGGCGTTAAAGGCTACCGACTTCCTGAAGCTCCTCGAGAGCCAGCTCGGCATGGAGGGCCAGGCCAAGGCTGTCGCTGACCACAAGGTAAGCTTAGGTCGCGCGACATATAGCTGACTAGCAGTTCTGGAAGACGCAGCCTGTGCTTCAGAACGAGGGAGACGAGGTGAAGGAGGGACCAATCGAGCACAAGACGGTGGCCGAGGTCAAGAAGGAGCCGGGAGCTCTTCCGGCTGGCTTTGAGTGGAGCATTATCGACGTCAAGGACGACGCCCAGGTAAGCTATTAGACGGAGAACGTTAGCTGACATCAGATCACCGAGGTGCACGAGCTCCTGACGGATCACTACGTCGAGGACGACGTTGCTATGTTCCGTTTCCGCTACTCGAAGGAGTTCCTTCTCTGGTGAGCTAGTTTGTGCTCCGTCTTAGCTGACGCCCAGGGCCCTGACGCCGCCCGGATACTACAAGGAGTGGCACATCGGCGTGCGCGTGCAGAAGACGGGCAAGCTCATCGCCTTCATCTCCGGTATCCCCGTCGAGCTGCGAGTGCGCGACAAGTGAGTAGCTTCCGGAGAGTCGTCTAGCTGACCCACAGCACGTTCATGAACGCCGAGATCAACTTCCTGTGCGTGCACAAGAAGCTGCGTGCGAAGCGCCTCGCCCCCGTCCTGATCAAGGAGGTGACGCGCCAAGTCAACCTGACGGACAACTGGCAGGCGATCTACACTGCGGGCGTGCGCATCCCCACCCCCTTCAGCACGTGCCGCTACTACCACCGCAACCTGAACCCGCCGAAGCTGGTCGATATCGGCTTCTCGCCCATCCCGCGCGGCTCGAGTATCGCGCGTATGGTGAAGCAGTGCGCCGTCCCGACCACGCCGAGCACGCCTGGCTGGCGCGCCATGACCCAGGCCGACGTGCCGCAGGTCGCTAGCCTGCTGAGGAGGTACCTGGCCCGGTTCCAGATCTACCAGACGTTCTCGCACGACAGCGAGGTCGAGCACTGGTTCCTGTCGGGCATGGGGCGCGAGGTCGACGGAAAGCGCGTCGAGCAGGTCGTGTGGACCTATGTCGTTGAGGTGAGTCGGACAAGCTAACGACCTTTCGCCTTTGGAAGCTGACATACAGGACCCCGAGTCGCACGAGATCACGGACATGATGTCCTTCTACTCGCTGCCCTCGACGATCATGCAGCACCCGAAGCACGACGTGCTCAACGCAGCGTACATGTACTACTACGCGACGGACTGCATCCTCTCCGGCGAGGGCTCTTCCTCCTCCTCGGACGCCGACAGCGCCAAGACGACGGCCAAGCTGAGCGCGCGCTTGAATGCGCTCGTCGCCGACCTCCTCGTCATGGCCAAGAGCGAGGGCTTCGACGTCGTCAACACCCTCACCCTCATGGACAACAACCTCTTCCTCCAGGACCAGCGCTTCGGCGGCGGAGACGGATACCTCAACTACTATCTTTACAACTACACGACGGCGCCGATCGACGGCGGCGCGAGCGGGACGCAGAGCAGGCAGACCTCCGGCATCGGCGTCGTCATGCTCTAGGCGGGTCGCAGGCACGGCAATACAGCAGGTTATGCATAGATGGGGTAGCATCGGGGTAGCACGGCGGAGTTTGACTCGGAATAATCCAGGGTGAATCACGACTGACGCAACGAAGCACTCACATCTAGATAATACAACTTGATTCTACAGGGCTCACGCCACAATGGCCTCGTTCGGCTCTAGTGGTCTATACCCCTCTGCCTAGGACCTAACACTTCCCCTCTTGCGATCAGCAAAGTCGAGCGCATCTCGATGCCCCTTCTCAACATCGACCCCGAGCCCAATGACGAGCGTGGCAGCAAGACAGATTGGCGTGAGAAACGCAAACGGCGCCCAGTCCTTTCCCGTCCGTTCAATGATGGCGGCGCACACATTCGGCCCAATGAGGCTGCTTGCGCGATTCGTCAGCCCAAAGAGGCCGAACCACATGCCCTCCCCCCCCGGTGGCGTCAGGTCCGCCATGACCGCCTGCGAGTAGGCGTAGTACGGCGCCTGTCCCACGCCAAAGACTATGTTGTACGCCCAAAACTCCCAATCGCTCCTGAACCCTATTGAGCTGCTCGAGCGCAGGCCGAGGAGACCCCAGGCCGGGATTGCGATTGAGATCAGGTTCGTGATTAGGAGCATGCGCTTTGAGGACAGCTGGTGGCGTTTCTGGACGTAGAGGTAGAGGTAGCAGGAGAGGATGGAGAAGAAGGCTTGCGAGAGGTTCAGGAGCGTGATGGAGAGGAAGGAGAAGTGCGTTTGCCTCGCTTGCAGAACGCGGATCAGTGCGCCCGTCGTGTTGATGCCGTCGGCGAGGAGGAAGAAACCGGTGAGGTAGACAAAGGTATAGGGCAGATGCTTCCTCTGTGCGACGGCGGCGGCGATCTGCTTCCACCCGATCGTGAGCCAGTTCGCGCCCTTGGGGAGTGGAGGGCCTGGACGCGGTTTCTGCAGCGTGAACCAGGGAAGAGCGAGGAGGAACCAATACCCGACAGTCAGGGCGAGGACGTAGACCTCGATCCGTGGCAGATGCTTCGTTGACGAAGGAAGGAGCAAGGTCAGGCTCAGCAGGAGCACAATAAGATATCCCCAGTTACTGTGCGCCGTCGAATGGCTCGAGAGTCTCGCCCTCTCGAGCGCCTCCACTTCCACGGCCTCCTTCTCCGCCTCGAGACCATCGCCTCCGCAACCCTCTACCACGCTGATCTTCCTCCGCGCGGTTTTCGTAGCCGGCGTGTTCCTAGCCAGACGAGGGAACACGCTCGCGTAGAATACAAGCGTTACGCCATAAGTCACCATGCCACCGATGTAGAGCGCCATAGCTGTGCGCCATCTCTCCTCGCCGACGAAGAGGAAGCCGAGCTGCGCACACCAGCAGAGCAGTGTTGCGCCCAAGAGAATGGTGGACGAAGCGTTGCCATAATCTGCAGCCGAGCCGAGGGTCGTGAAGAGCACAGTCATGAGGAAGAAGGAAGCACCGTCGGCGAGGAGGACGATGGAGGCGACGCGCCGATCGCGACCTAGGAAGGGAAGGACGCAGGCATCTGTGGAAGAAGTGGAGGTGCATGGCTGGCCAGTGATGGGGTTGATGGCGGAGGACGTAGCGAGAGACTGGAACAGGACTGGGGCGTAGCCATTAGGCCCCACGCCGTTGTCACCTGTTGTTAGCTTGAGCCACGAGTTCGCAGTAGCTGTGAGGGTGGAGGTGGAAGGAAGCGGTCGACAATGGAGTGGGCCGAAAGGGAAAACACACCATTGTAGTACAGGTAGTAAGCCCATTCCTCTGCCCGGGTGACCGTAGGACCTTCGGGTGGAGCCTTATCCTCGAGCTCATCGTCTCTGTCCTCTGATTGTGCCGGGCTAGAGTCGTATGTCTGCTCAGCAGAAGACAAGAGCGGCGTTGTCTCTGCTGCAATTGACGCCCTTTCAGTCGCAGCCATGGTTAAGTTGCCGATGCCCCTTCACATGGACCACATCGATCACAGCTCTGAGACACTGATGAATGCTCGGCTTCAACAGCGGTCGTTGGTCGTGGGGATGCCAGGAGTGAGTAACAGTGCGTTGCCAGAAGTGACTCGGCATCACTAGTCTGATAACACTAGCCTGGTCACATGTCCAAGCAGGCACCACTCGGCATCTTCGGTGATCAACTGGCTCCGTGATTGCCTTCCCCTTTCTCGCGCCGATTCGCTCGATGAGATACAATGCATGGACGGGGCCGGAGCCTCATGTCTACTAGCTACAACAGATTGGAACTCTAAGGTAGGTTGGAGGGTGTCATTATCAAAGTTGAGAGAATGAGTTGAATGGCGGTCGGTGATAATGCAAAATAATGTATATGAGTTGGTGGTGTCTTCTAGTTTGGCACAATGGCACACAGACCACTCGCTTGAGGTTCAGCAGCGAGCATGGACGAGAGCAGGCCGAGCAGTAGAATCGACAGAGCAGTGCGAACCACAAACTACACGGTTCCGTTTGCTGAGGCGTTGGCGTTGACGGCGGGCGTCGGCTTCGGCGTGGCAGAGGGGGAGGGTGGCTCAGCGTCGTTGGATTGGGCTGTTGACGTGATCTGATCGCCGCGCGAGGCTTTCGGCGAGAGTGTAGGCGATGAAGCAGTGCAGTTGACAGACGGCTTCGGCGTGGCCGAATCGCTGTGAGATACCTTTGGTGAAAGTGTAGGTGAAGTCTTGGGCGAGAGGAGGGCCGAGACCTTCGGCGAGGTGGGCTGGTCAGTCGGCAGTCCATTGCGGTGGTTGTGCACCTTGATGAGAATCTCGCCGAGGCGGGGGATATCGACCGGCTTATCAAGTACCGCGAAGAAACCGACATCGGAACAGCGGTCCCGCGTCGCCTTGTCCACATTGGCAGACAGAGACACACAGCACGGCTCGCCGGCCAAGGGGCTCGCCTTGATGCGCTCGAGGGCACCGAAACCATCCAGCACAGGCATCTGCAGATCAAGCAGAATCAAGTCGTAGCGTCGCTTCTCGGCGAGCTCCGTCGCCTGCAGTCCGTCGGTAGCGGAATCCACGTCCTTGTAGCCGTACAGCTCGAGAATGCGACGGCAGACCTGGATATTGACAGGGGCATCGTCCACAACCAGCACCGTGAGGGGCTTGTCCTTGCCGAGCTGCTTGTTGATCGGACGCTTGGCCTTTGGCGCCGGTAAGTTGCCGCCCTTTGGCGTGTCTTCCGGAATGATTGCGTCGTGCACGGACTTGAACTTCAGAGGTCGGGCAAGGATCGACTCTCTCGACAGCTGGAGTCGGTCCATTTCCGCGGCAATCTCAGTGATCCTAGTCACAAACAAGAATTTGGCTCGCGGTTGCAGCTCGCGCATGCGCGTCAGCGTCTCCAAGTCGACAGCCGGCGCGTCGATCAGGATGAAGGCGTACTCGATGCCCGAGTTCAGGCCATTAACCCGGCCAGGGTCGAGAGCCAGCTTGGCGTCGTCGACAAAGCGTGTCGGTATACAGTTAAACTCCTTGCTGTCTTCCTCCAGCAGACGACCCCAGACCATGTCCCGGCTGCACAGGACGAAAATCCTCTTCGGTTGGGGGAAGCGGCGGATAACAGTTGGCTTCCAGTTCGGGTCGCGGGTGCCGACGAAAGAAAAGGTAAACTTGGACCCCTTGCCAAACTCGGACTCGACGGTGCAGTCACCGCCGAGGAGACAGGCGAGGTCTCTCGAGATGACAAGGCCCAAGCCACTCCCACCGTACGACCTCGTGATGGACTCGTCCACCTGTGAGAACGACTTGAAGAGCTTGTTCAGCTTGGAGGCGGGAATGCCAACACCGGTGTCCTCAACAGCCAAGATGATCTTGATCTGCCCGTCGCCGAGATCCTCCCACATGCGCTCCACAGTGACGCGCGCGGTGCGCTTGCCGCGCTCACCCGGCGGAGTGAACTTGACAGCGTTCGAGAGGAGGTTCAGGACAACCTGCTTGACTCGGAAAGGGTCGCCAAGGAGACCGGGCGGGTCGTTTCTGAAGATGGAAAGCACCGTAAGCTCCACGTTCTTCGATTGAGCGACTGGGGCGACCGTGTCGAGCGCCGACTCGACGACGTCACGCACGCTGAAGGGGATGTGCTCGAGTAAGACCGAGTTGGACTCGAGCTTGGAGTGGTCGAGGATGTTCGAGATCAGCGCGAGGAGATCGTTTCCGCTCGTGAGGATGGTTCCGAGATGCTCGCGCTGGACTGGCGTGAGGCCGGCACTGTTCTCCAGCACTGCCGCCAGGCCCATAATCGCAGCGAGGGGGGAGCGAAGCTCGTGACTGCACTGCGAGAGGAAGAGCGTCTTGGCCTGCAGCGCGGCAGTCAACTCCCTCGTGCGCATCGTGACCTCCGTCTTCAGCCGGCTGGTGAAGACGTGGTGCATGTGGATGATGTACGCGAAGGTGGCAAGTGTCGAAATGACTTCACGCGCAGACTCCGACTGTAAAGCCGTGGCAGCGTTCGACATTGACATGAGCAGAATGACGCCCGACTGGATGCCTTGGTTGATAACGGGCAGGCACATCAGCATTCGGGGCTGGCGATCGTCGAAGAAGGGATCGTTGCGGAGACGGAATGCCTTAGCGGGTTGCGTGATCGGGATACCTGTACGAGACACATGCAGCATGATCGAAGTCGGGCACACGGTCTGGGCTGAGACTTCAGCAACGTCGAGGTCGTAGGGAAGGATGCGTTGGAATGGGCCGGCCGCCTTCAGGCGCAGCACAGAGCGATCGCCTTCGTCCGTGAGACCGATGGCGGCATAGTCGCAGCGCATAAACTGGCATAATATCTTGAGCAGGGTGCAGAGCAGAACGAGGCTGTCCTTCTCCTGGGCGAGGGCAAGCGAGGAGCGCATCAGGGCAAGTGTGTCCAACTGATCCCTCTCCGATAAGGTCTGCGTGTCCTGGGACGAGGAGAGCGTCTCGCCGCCTCCGTTGGGAGCCTGAGAGGATGTGGTCATTGTCTCGCCGGTAACCGAAAGCGTAGACATGGACGGTCGGCGGGCGACAGGGATGTGATCCGGCATGAAGAACTCGGTCGGTCCGCGGGGAGTAATCGTTGTCGTGGGGCAGAGCATGGGATAGCGCTGGCGCAACACCTCGCAGGCACCCGCCGCTCCGCTCATGCGGTACCCAGCGAACGCTGAACGCACAAAGCCGGTTGCGAGCTTGAGAGACCCGGTCCGCTCGATTAAGACGTCCGCGACAATGTAGTTCAGCAAGCCCGAGAGCAAATACTGCTCCTCGCTGTCGAACTCGGCTGCAAGCTCCTCCACAACTGCAAGCGATTCGAAAGGATCCTCGTACAGGGACCGAATGGCGTCGACGAACAACAGACGGTATCGAGTGTCCGGCGAGTATGATGCAAACTTGGCGAGGTGGCCCCTGTGCTCCCCAACAATCTCATCGCCGGCCTGGCACCTGAGCGCAGCGATCGCCAGGAGCCAGTGCATTTCGATGCCGTAGACTAAGCCCTCGGTGTAGAAGACAGTTTCCATGCCGGACTCCATGGAGCGCTGGATCTCGTCGACAGGCGCATCGAAGAGGAGCTTGAGTCTAAGCGTGAAACAGTCGTACACGCCACGGTGCATGTGGAAACTCTGAGTCGCTTCGTAGTCATTGAGACCGAAGAACTGTCCCAGCAGAATCCAAGGCTCTTCTCCTAAGGGTCGGGCAAGATTCTCGGCGTATTGGAACGTCATGTTGAACAACACGTGGTGACTGGTGGTCGCATACGCCTTGATCATGTCGTACCGCCGCGCGCAAATGTCCCATGCGACCGGTACCTTGGAGAACAACCGCGCGGCCATGTCCAGTGCCACAGTGTCTGCGACTATGTTAGGAATCATACCGACCCTATGGTGGAAACTCACAACTTCCGATCTCGAAATCGGCGAGACTGATAGATGCTTCAAACGATCTATCCATTTCTTCGGTCACTCCCTCCAGCGCTTGGAAGAAGTGAGCCTGTCCAGCAATGGCAACCAACGCAGCACTAGAGAGGAAGGTGCCCGGCCTGGTGGCCGTACATCGTTTGGCGAGACGCAGCAGTGCATTCTGGACAGGGGGATTGTTGATCTTCAGACAGTCAGCTTGTGGGCCCCCAAAGTTAATGCCACGTACCGTCATGGAGTGCACAGCAAGGAGGTATGCAGTGCTCTCCTGGATGCTGCCCAGAAGTCTGGCAATGGACAGACCAATCCGGAAGATGTAGAATCGTTGCTGAGGTTGGGTGATGTAGATCGTAGGGCCGGCGTAGCTAATCAGGTCCATGATGAGCGCCTCGTTGCTTCTGTCCTCGGCCTTGATCGGCACCGTGGGTTGGGCGAAAAGCTGGCGTTCAAACTCGGTGATCTCATCCACGGTCTTGGGCTCCCAGAGTTCGATATTCCGGGGGTTCTCGAGGCCGTAGCTGAACTCATCGAGGCATGCGAGCATCTCCTCGACGGCTTCTCGGTACTTCATACTCGTAACATGCTGCCTGACGAGAAGCGTTGACGTCGTGATCTTCTCCTTTGCGGTCTCGCACAGCGGCTTGATCTGTTCGAGCATCGCAAACGCAGACTCATGCTCGTGGAAGATGTTCGCAAGTTCGGACGAGCAGTTGATGAAGGCGAAGGTCATCTTGCGGTGTTCCTTGACCCAGGCCAGGACGCCGCCAGATCCCATTATGATCTGTTGAGCAAAATGGACAAAGTGATGAGCGGCGAGCAGGTTGGCAGCCGCGATCGCTCGCTGAGTTGCCTGCAAGATAAGCGCGACCAGATCGGCGTCGGAAGCCACCTGCCGACCAAGACGACGCGCCGCCATTGCTCGCTCGACGGCATCGTTGACGTATCTGCCGATGACAGCTTTGTTGGTCAGAATGTGGTACGCTTGGCCGTGAATGATGCCTTCCTGTTCAGCAGGAATGAGCCTCTGGGCTGCAGTCTGCTTGTTAGCTAGAGCGAGAGGCAAGTTAGCTTACTCGTTGCTTGTCATGACTGAACCGGACAGTGTTGTTCTTCACCACCAAAGCATTGGTCGAAGCGGCAAGCTGGATCATGATCTCGATCTCAGCAGGCGATTTTCCCAATGCCTCAGCAAGCAGCGGGATGCCGATGCCAGCGGAAGGAAGGTGCGAGAGAAGCTGCATGTCAGTGACGGTTGCGACGATAACGTACCATGAACAACCGCTGGATGTCAGGAGATAAACGCCGCATTACGCCTTCAAGGTAGGAGTCGAAGCTTGCGTCCGAGAGGTACACTTGCAGCGCGGCGAGGTCGAACCGCCACTGCAGGCTGTCATAATCGAACGCCACAACCCCTTCCTTGAAAAGCGTCGTCATCAGAGTCGTCAGGAACAGAGGGCTTCCGCCCGTCTCTCCGTACAGGAAGCTCGAAAACGCCTCGCCGGAGCTCGCAACCCGATCGTTCAGGCAGATGTTGATGTATTGCCGAACAGCCTCCTCGTTGAACGGGCCCACATGGAGGTTCAACGCACTGGCAGACAGGGCCGTCTGCGATGACGGATGCGGCGACCCCGAGCGCGTCATGGTGACCAGAAGAACATGGTTGAGTGGTTGGCTGCCATCCATGAGGTCTCGCCAAATCTCGACCTCCTCATCGCTGAGCCACTGAATGTCGTCGATCAGAAGAACGAGGGGTCGGGTCTTGGTAGCAAAAACTTGCAGCAGGCGTCGCGACCAGCCTCGGAACGCGATTAAGAACTTGCTCCATTCGAGTGACGGCGGCGGCGGCGCTTGGTCTTCCCAGATCAGGCGGCGGGTTTCCGGTGGAAGCATCGATACGAAGAACACCCATTGCGACCCGAGAGCGAGCTTGATTTTGGCCATCCACTCCTTCGAGTCCTCCCGAGGATCGGTCAGCACACGGTCCAGCAAGAACTGGAACACTTGGTTGAAACTGATCAGTGGCTTCTGCTCCATAGGCTGAGACCATCCGATCAGGCAAGAGGTACCGTGCTCTCGACTCTCCAGGGCTTGGGACCACTGTTCGACAAGCCAAGTTTTGCCTGTGCCGGTGTTACCCCAGATGTTGACGGCTCGACTGGAAGCGATACCCTTGGCCACGGACTCGAAGGCAGAGTCAAGAACTTCAAGGTGCGCCTTGCGATCGATCACGGTCGAGGGAAGGTGGAAGCGCGATATTCGGTCGACTTCACCGACAGTGAACTTGGCGAGATCACCGTTCGTTCGGCAGATCTGTGACAGTTTCCGCAGATCATAGATCAGAGAATCAAAGTTGTGGTAGCGGTCTTCCGGATCTTTCGCGAGCGCCAACATGATGATATCCGAGAGATGTTTCGGAGGAAGATCGATCGCTCCCTTGGTGCGCTTGTGCACATCCTTCAGAAAGTCGAGCGGCGGCTCGGCAGAGTCGGTGACATGCTTGTGGATATCAGCGAGTATGTCCACACTGGAAATGTCGGGGCCGACACTGCCGTCGATCGTCTTGCCGGTGATGAGCTCATACGCAAACACACCCCAGCCGTAAATGTCATTGCTGCCCTCCACACGCTTCGTCATAGCCACCTCCGGTGCCATATACCGAAGGTGGGAGACAATGAACTGTTCGCTCAGAGAAGTCGCCGTGTGCTGTAAAGGATCTCGGGTAAACAGCGGCGAGGAAGCGAGGGATGGCGGAAGGATGTCGTGGAGCGAGAGGCCAGGAAGCGCGGTCGAGTGCCACAGTTGGTCGACGATGACCTGGTTGTTTGCAAACCAGAACACGCTCGGGTGACAAAAGTTGAGCGACAGCCTCCTCTCGTGAAGCGCGCGCAGACACTGGGCCGACTGCATCAGCAGGTTGCAGGCTTCGGCCCAGTCTACAGGAATAGGCTTCCCATCTGGGCCGAGAGACTTCTGCATCGGCCAGCCGGGACCTATCGTCTGCTCCCAAACGTCCAGAAACGGTCCGACATCAACTTCTGCGCCTTCCGTTATGAACCACAATCCGAGATCATCCTCCCACCAAGCAATAACCCGACACGGCGGTCGGAACCGTCGCGGAAAGCCCCGTTCGGATGTTGGGGTAGACGGGCCTGACGAGCCTGAACTTGGGGAGGAAGGAGGGTAATCGTTGGATGGGAGAGGAGGAAGGGTGTCGATGGCCTTGACCTGGGCTTGTCGGCGAAAGAATGCCGCCGCTGCAATGTCAACATTACCGCCCGAGCGTCGAGGGTGTGTCACTTACAAACAGGGTTACCATGAGGGCAAAAACTGGTTATGTCAGCGTCAGCCTGACTGTGTGCACGCACTGGAACTGCACTTTCGTGCCCGGCGACACCTCCTCGAACGGTGGATAGTCGATTGTCGGCTTGTAGGATGCAGTGCCAACGACCCAGTCCGCCCGGTCGAGACGCTGCCCCCGAGAACCGAAGCCGGTCGTTAAGGCTGGAGAGGTGGCGTTGGTAGCGAACACCCTCGAGTCGATGAAGACATCGTACAGGCCTCGAACCGCGAGATCCGCATCTGGCGGGAGGGTCGCGGAGGTGCCCACCGATGTTGCGGAGATGGAGGGTCCGGACATGGCGGGCGATTTGGGGGAAGTTGGGGGCAACTGAATGATGAATGATTGATGTTGACAATGATATCGTGTATGCGGGCAACTACTGGATCAACATCTCCGAACAGCAATGCGAGGAAGAAGAGGCGGATTAGGTGATACTGGGTAGCGAGGAAGGCCACGGGGGCGAGCGCGCAAGCGTACCGGTTGACGGTGTGACGCTGGACTGCGGCAAAAAAGGGAGTAGCGAGGTCGGTGAGGCCGATTCAGAGTCGGGATGAGTAAGATGTAGGTATACCACAAGACGAGTTGAAGAGAAAGAGTGAGGAAGAGATAGAGCAGGGCGGGCGTAGGGAGAAAGTGTGGTCGATGCAAGAATGCGGCGAGTTGGAGTGGATGGGGAGAAAAGGAGGATGGAGTCGAGAGATCAACGACCTGGCCGCGGTGCAGGGATGGTGCTGCTGGATATTGGAAGCGTCGGTTGTGGTATCCTGGACGAGGGTGAGAGAAGCGAACAACAGCCTGCGAGCATGGAGTGGACGCTGTGCGCTGTGCGAGTGAGGAGGAGGCAGGCGGTTTAGGCTGGCTCGTTGAGTGGATCAGCTTTGTGCGACCGGTCACGGCGAACGCGGTGAGGGAGCAGCGACTGGAGTACTGGAGGAGTGAAGCAGGGCAGTGTATGGGTGCGGTTTAGGGCCATTAGGGTGTCAGGGAACTGCGGGCGGCGAAGAGCTTATGGGTCGCCTTTACTCGCATGCGGCAAAGGGGCGCACGGTACAGTCGAAAAACGGCCAGTCCTGTCTCGCCTACCTGGCCTGGATTCTGGCCTAACAACTCTGCATCGTGCGCCTCTTACCGCCTCGCATCAGCCACAGACTCCACCATCGAATGTTAGGTGCGGGGTAAAGGGCTGCGAGGGCTTGGGACCACGTCCTTGGTGCAAGCCTATTCAAATGGACGCAGTCACGAATGTGCAGCCTTGGCACCCGCGGCTCATGCACTAGACGGTAACCATGCAGATCGTCGGACGAGGATCCGCGGACCAACGTGTTGCTAGCCCCGGCAAAGGAGGCGCGGGACGGGAGCCGCATTGACGGCGGAAATGACTGGGAAGAGCTCCGAGCACCCGACCGCCCGATGCCCGTCAACCCGACGACAGCGTGCCGCCGTGGGCGGAGCAGATTATCGGTGAGAGTATCAGAGAAGGCGTGTCAAAGAGCTCAGCGTACGCAGCTTAGCTAGCCTAGGCTCCCCATAGTCCAGCTCCTCAAACCTCGGTTGCTCGGTTGCTCCAGCGGCATCGGTCCTGGTGCCTTCAGGTGTCCATTGACGGTGTCCAGGGTCCGACGGTCTCTGGGACCCTAGTGCGCCTTGCTCATTAGGCTCCCGTCAAGCTTGATCATTAGGTGGCCTGGTTAATCAAGCAAGGCCCGGAAGAAACGATAGGGGAAGCGCTTCATTACAAAATTGTCGGTGTTGTAATGGACCCATAGAGGTTTGTCACCTCGCCCCGGAATCCAGGATGGCTCACGTGCTACCTCGGCAGCTGGAGCCTTGGACACCTGCCCCCTTACGCAATCTGGGTCGGGCCCATTCCTCGCCTCGTTCGCCGCAGCCCTATGGCGCTAGTCCTGCCAGCTGGCCGCCACGACGTCATCGCAACCTTGAATCTCAGCCTCAATCACGCCGCATCTCCCGTGGCTCATGCCTTATACCTTTCGCTGCAGTCCAAAGGAGGCGCTGCCAGCCAAACATGCGCCGTACAAGCACAACCAGTCACATTGACCTCAAGCAGCCACCCACCTCATGCATTTGACGGCGCGTCGTAGGCACAAAACGCCGTACAATCCATGTGCCCGGTGGTCTAGAACAGAGTTGCGGTAGGAATGTTCGAAAAGGCGCAGCATACACCGGTTCCCTCAGGGCGCATGTCTGGTATGTGTGACTGGTGGCAAAAGTCGCAGTCAGGTGTGTGGGCAAGTCACGTGAGCTGGCCACGCGACACAGTGGAGGCTGGTTGCAGCAGCAGGCTCAAACGCTGACTGGCCAACGAGCCGGCGGCGCCAGCGCAGCTGCGTCTCATGTCGTCAGCGTCATGCGTCACGGGTCACTCCGGCACTGTAATCAGTCGCGCTGTCGTGTCGCCAACCATCCTCAGACCGTCCTTTCCTTGTCATCAACCACACCCGTCACTTGGACGCCACTCGACCTCTCCCCGACACCACAGCACGCTCTCACAGCAGTTTGACGAGCACCCTCTCACGCCTGGCGGCAACAGACCCACAGCCCCAGGCAAACTACCAGCATGGGGTTCTTTAGCACGATCCTGACCATGATCCTCGCCGAGTTCATGGTCGTGGCCACGATCGCGGTCACGCTGCCGTTCTCGATGCCCGTCATCGGCGCTCTGCAGCGTCTCCGGGCGAACTATAACCCGCGCGGCTTCGGTCTCGACGGCGCTGAGTCGAGGTAAGTTCCACGGCGGCGTAACGTCCTGTCACACAGCTCAATGGCCTTCGCCTTAGCTAACAGCAGCGTCGGACCTCGCCTTGTCGGCATCTACGACACGCTCCTCCGCACGAAGCGCCTGGAGGGATGGTACGGTCTGTACAAGGGTAAGCTGTCTATCAACGTGCACAACTGACAACAGGCGTCATTGCCAGCTTCATCACGTCCGTCATCACCTCTTCCGTCGCGATCCTGCTCATCGGCGGCGGCCTGATCGGGGGCAAGAAGACGGACCCGGAGAACGTCAAGGTGGCGGGCGGCTTCGCGATCCTGGTCGGTACGCTGATCCTGGGCATCGTCAACGTGCCGGCGAGCATCATCGTGAACCGCGCGATCATCACGCCGTACCGCCTTCCAGCGAATGTGCGCGAGTCGCTCCGCATCCTCCTCTCGCCGCACGAGCTGCAGAACCCCGTGCGCCTCTTCGCGACGCCGGGCATGATGACGGGCGTGGCGCTGCGCTGCGCCTGTCTCCCGCTCATGATCGTGATGCGCCGCCTGCTGGCCGGCAACGACCTGCGCGCCGCGTCCTTCGGCGGCCTCCTCGCCTTTGCCCTCTTCCAGGCGCTGAGTGCTGCGTGGATCACCCCCATCGACGTCGTCGTCACCAAGCTCTCGGTCCAGCCCAACCAGGGCGGGGAGGTCAGCGTCGAGGACCCCGACGGAGATACACCAGAGGGCCTCCGCTTCGCCGGCACGGACGAGGACGTCGTCGGCCTCCGCCCCACCACGGATCCCTATACCGGGTTCAGGGACGCGGTGCGCAAGATTGTCGACGAGGAGGGGTGGCAGGCCCTGTACCGCGGTTGGTGGTGGACTAGCATTGCCGCCGTCGTCTCGGCCCTCCACACCTAGGCGAGCGGAGCGAGCCGATGTCTGTGAGCAGAGAGCGGTGGCAGTGAGCTGGGAGAAGGGGGTGTGAAGAGGACGTCGAGAAGAGAAGCCACGAAAGAAGACTACAACATAAACGTTTCCGTTTCAGCTTGGGCGAAATGCAACGATTCATCAGTACGGGGGTGCTGCGACGCGACTTCACGCAACATCTGACAACCACACTAAACAACCACACAGCTTGGCGTTGCAAGAAGTACATTTCCATTCTAAAAACCACGACACCTCTCCTCAACTCTATAATCTCGGGTTCTCCAGATGATCCTTGGGCTCACGACTCGCGACCCTGTGCGCGGTCTCGCTGAACGTGTGTCCCGCCTCAATGTCCTGTCTGGAAATATGCCGCGTGAGGCCATGTTCGGCCCGGTCCTTCTTGGCCTGCCACAGGATACGCTCGACGACGCCGTCGGGCGACTCCTGGATCTCGGGCGCGCGGAAGAACCGCCCGTCAAAGCCCGTCCACGTCGTCAGCACCATGACGTAGAGCCAGTGCATCACCACTTGCGCGGCGAGGAAGGCGCCAATCACCTTGAAGGCCGGGGAGGAGAGCTCGTCGGCGAGCGTGATTGTCGCCGTGGCCCAGACTCTGCGGAGGTCAGCTACCACGCAATCAGTCAGCTGTTCGGCTGTCAGCTCTGCCAGCTCCTTCGGAGCTGTGAGCTGTCAGTGACACTCACCCGATGGGGAACGTGATGCCCCACAGCCCGACGTGGAACTTGTTCGCGCCGAGCCAGGCCCAGTTCTTCCTCAGCGCGTAGAGCGCCTGCGCAAAGGCAAGAACATAAAAGCACAGCGCGAGGCCCCACAGAATCAGACTCGCGACGAGGCAGCCGCCATAGATCCCGTCCGAGATGGAGCGGTTCGCGTCCATGCTCAGCTTGGGCAGGAGAGGCGTGTTGTACTCCCACACGAGCTTGCGCGCCGTCTGGCCCAGCGAGGCGATACCGTAAGAACCCTGCCCGCAGGGACCAAGGGGTAGGAAGGAGGCCATCACCGCGCCGAGTTTCGGAGGGCCGACCGTGATCGTCTTGTACATGATGATGGTGATCATCATCATGGCGAGTGGGACGCCGGTGCCCCATACCACGAAGGCGGTGTAGAGCGTCGAGCGGGCCAGGGCCGGGTCGTAAGGCAGCATGGCTGTCGAGACGACGGCGCCGGAGGCTGCCGCGACGACGGTGGACACGATAGGAAGCAGGAGCGTCGGCGCAATCACGGCCGCGGCGTGCGTCTGCAGGACAAACATGACAAAGACCATGCCGAGGTTCACGAGGATGGCGACTGCGACGTCGATCCACCACAGACCCAGCGCGAGTCGTGCCCAGTTCCTGCCCCAGGCAGGTACACAAGAGAACGCGACCATGTTCTGTTTGTCAGTTTCACTCTGTTACCACTGCGTCATTTCGTGCGTCATGGGCTTCCACCCGCCACTAGGTCTTGTTCGGACCGCCAGGACGCCACTTCGCCTCGTACTCACCACAATCGTCACAAAGCCCATGGGGAAACAGCCCCAGAACATGCTCGCTGTGACGTGTTCGAGCGTGATGCGGAAGCTGTTCTTGAACTTGAGATACCGGTACGCCGTCAGGAAGAGGAGCACCACGAAGATGACCACGTTCAGGACGAAGACGATGTCTCCGAGAATGCGAAGCCATCGCGCATGGTAGGGGAAGTTGTACAGGAGAATAGAGGCGATGCCCGTTCCCATGTTGATCGAGAAGAAGGACGGCGACGTGTGCAGTGCGCGGTAGCTCAGCTTTCTGTTCAGCGTCGCGCGCGCCGCAACTGCAGCCTGGGCTGGAGCAGGCAGCCCGTTCGTGTCGCCGTCATTGTGCTCCGGTGAGGGAGTCATGTTTCGTCGGCTCTCTTTCGGTGAGCCGTGAGAGGTGCCCGTGTGGGCTGTCGTTGTTGTGGTGGTAGTCGCCGTCGAGGTTGAGAGTGGCCTAGACAACGTAGACATCGGGGTAGTCGGTGGATGCCTTGTGTTTGCTTTGGTTGGTGAAGCTCCTGGTGCACGAGACTCTAGTTGAATGCTCGTCTGGACTCGATGTTCGTTCGAGTCTCGTGCTCCGCTTAGTTCTTGTGTGCTACTGTCATGAAGGGGGGGAAGGAGGCTTTGACCGAGTCGTACCAAGTCGGGGCTGGGGTTGGTGAATATTTGGAATGCGAGAGGGGCGATAAGATATAGGTCAAACCGACGGAGTGCGGTGTCGGTCTAGGTCAATTGACGTGGTTCGCAAGTATTCGGACAACGAAGTGCGATGAGCAATGGTGTGGAGATGAGATGAGGACAGGAAAACCTGGATCTGGGCAGCAGCGAGCGGCATGAGCGGAGCTCTGCGGCTGAGGGCAGGACAGGTACGGCGGCGTACGGTGGTGCTGGTGGTGCAAGGCTCAAAGTAGTCACCGACCACCCGACTTGGATTCGACTTGCTGCGATTCGTAATCCCGTCAGCGGAAAGTTACCTTTAGTCGTGCTTTGCTCACCTGACTTGAATACAAAATAGAACCTCCACCAAGTCCAGCGGCGTCTGCTGCATGCCCGACTTCTGCAGAGATGCATGCTGTCGGCCCCTCTGCAGTTTGTTCAGTCGTCCAGAACAGCAATGCACCCTGACATTGCAGGTCAAATTCAATCGAAATTGGCGCACAGGTACCATTGCAGTTCGGAATCTCCCAGCCTGCACCGACCGCCGTCAAGCGCCACCCCCGCACCATGCTGATGCCGCATCCCAGCCGGAACTCGGACGGTTTGTCACCTGTGCTTCCCCCGACTCGGATACGAGCTGTCTTCCTAACGATCAGACCTGTTGGCAGATCTGTTCTTGTTCGGCTTCGGATCTGCCCGATCCAAAACATCGATCGCGGGGGCGACGTCTGCGGCGACTTCCATGTTATTAAGGGACTCTGCCCAACCTCCATCCGAATCATGCCCTATGGCGTCATGGCCCGCCGAGTGGCGGCGGGGTGCGCTTTGGCCACATGCGCCATTTTCTGCACATCTGCTTTTGCATGCTACAACGCCGCTACGATTTATTCTGGTAATGGACACTGCCCTACGAGCCTTTACAGGCTGAGCTCGCCACGACTATCGTCGTCCGCCAGGTACTCGTCGAAAGTCTGGAAGACGACCTGTCCGTCCAACGGCTTCGTGCGCGTAAGGGACGTGACGAACTCTTGGAATGCGGCCAGCAGCGACTGACCGTTCACCGGCCCGTGTGTCGCATTAGCGCCAGTGGCACCGTTCGCGGTATGGGTCGGTGCGCTGGTGTTGCCCGCGTTGCCAGCGCCGCTGTTGGTAGCGCTGTTGTTGCTCGCTGAACTGTCCGACGCGGAGGCTGGAGCTGCTTCGCTGGCGGCATCTGCCGCAGCTGGAGGTGAAGTGCTAGCAGTGGTAGTCGTAGCAGCTCCTGCACCGTTGGTCGCATTTCCTTGAGTGCTGGGTCCTCCTGCAGGTGGTAGAGGGATTCCGAAGATGAAACCGGAAGCCAGGGCTGCCAGGAGCTCTTGAGACGCAGCCTCCAGCTCCATGTCCTCTTCGTCCTCCACCTCTCCCGTGTGGGCATCACTCTCTCCGCCGTCGCCTTCGTCTTCGTCTTCGGCGTCGCCGTCTCCGTCATCCTCCAAGTCAGTCTCCTCACCGCTGTCCTCTCCATTTGCGCTTTCATAATCACTGTCGCTGTTCGAGTCGTCCTCGGTCTTGGCAGAAGCGTCAGAGTGTTCAGAAGATCCGTCGTTCTCGGAAGCGTGGCTCATGTCGACATCGCTGTCGAACAAGGCAGCAGGGTTAGGGATACCGGCGCCTGGGAGAGCGTCGTTCATATCGCCTCCGCCCTGCATTGCCGACTGGTTCGAGTTCCCGCCGCCGTGATGGGGAATGCTGCCGAACGAGAGCACGATGTCACCGGTATGAGGGTCGTGAGAGTGAACCATGCTGTCCGGAAGGACAGGCTGAACCCACACAGCCTTGCGGATATGGTCCTCGATTAGCTTCTTCAGGGAGCGGAGGTCGTCAGCGTCAATCTGAGCTGCTTCGCCGCCTCGCGTTTCAGCCAACTCCAACCTCTCCAGACCACAGATGACGATCTCGTGGCAACGTGGGGCCGATCGGAGGAGATCTGCCAAAGTGCTGAGAAGCACACGGGCGTCCTTGATGGTGATGGTCATTGCGCTCGGGCGGCTGCGGCATCCTTCCCAGTCAGCAAAGACGATCTTGAGGGATGTCGCCCTGTTGAGAGCAGAGCCGAAGGCGATATCGGCAGAGCCGTGACTGTGCAAGAGACCGAGCGTCCGGGGAAGTACGACGGTCGTCCGATTGTCGCGGCCCTCGACGTCATAGAGGAAGCCATGGCGGTCCAGCCTGCTTGAAGCGGCGGCTCCGCAGTCTCCATCATTGTTGCGGAAGACGTACTTGTCGGCCAGGCAGTTCAGAAACGGGCAAGCGGCTGAGTCGCACAGGGCATTGATTGCGCAGCTGCTAGGGCAGCCGCACACCGAGCGGACTACGCGAAGGAGCTTGAGGTTGCACAAGAGACGGTGAATCAAGGGACCTGATGGGGCGCAGGCGCACCGATGGTGCGAGCAGAGAGTCAAGCTTTGGACGTAGCGGAGCAGTGGTGCTTTAAAGTTGTAGAAGGTGCGCGGCCGGCTGGTGATGGCCAGGCGCTCCGCAGTATCGTGATCGCAGTCCTTCCAGATGCCCTCTGTCATAGTTGCACTGCAAGGCTCAACGTCGTCGCACAAGGGGCTGATACCGTAGAGAAAGGAAGACATCGTCTCGTGGTCAAGCTTGACAGAACGATACAGGAACCGTGCAGCCTCGTTGTACCACAGACGGCAGACTCGCATGCAGGTGGCAAGGTCGCCTGAAGACAGGTGGGAGAGGACCTCGCTCACGACGTCTTCGCGGTTGTTGACCACACTGTCCCTGATCTCACTGGCATTTGAGGGTTGCTCCTTGCGTGGAACCCAGACGGGAGGCATTGTAGGAGGCGGATTGTGATATGTTGTTGCTGGGCCAGGGAGTCGCGCAGTTGTTGCTCGCCATGGGGCGTGGGCCAGGCTGGACATGATGGAAAGCTAAGCGAGTGAGTGGATGAAAAGGGGAAGAACAATGGAGAACAAGTTAAGGCCGTCGAGTTCAACGTGGAGAGCGGACGGGGATGTCTGGGAGCTGTGAGCGGGTGCAGAGTGTTTAGTGTGAGGATCGTCGTCACATCCCTCGCCGCCACGCCCTGCGCCCCGTCAACACGTTGCTACGTGCCGATGAATCATCTTCCACTGGACACCATCCAGTGCCCCGCGTCACGGCGCCGCCGCTGCGCTTTGGAGACGATGACAGCAAACCTGACAATCAGCCATCTCACAGTCCTCACCACGACATTTTCACGGGTCATGCATACAGTCTGCTTCCAGTCCAAAGCCCACATCGATCGATCATCGCCGTCTATCGTACCAACAATCGCTCTACGCTCCAACCGGCTGGACGAGCGTGATGTTATCTCCCTTCAGGAGGATTCGTCCTGCAAGAGTCAGCGCATTGCCATACTGTCGAAGCTCACCTAGTGACCGACGAGGCTTAACCTCCTTTCCAGGCTTGGCCGAGCAGTCGTACACCTCCTCCGTCTCGTCGAGGACGACGTTCATGAACTCGTCGAATCCCTGGCCGTCAGCTCGCTGTCCACGCAAGGTCAAACCCACAATAATGAACGCCTCCAGACGGAACTCATTGTTGTCGTACAGCCAAATCTGAACGCGTTGGTGCTGGAGACGATGAAGTAAGGGTGAGCAACGATTATTTAGACAGGTGGATCATGTCAGCACAACAATCATGGGCCAGAGAAACAACGGCTGGTGATCACGCTAGCAAAAGCATTCGGGAAGATGCGCACCTTCTGGAGGAAAGAGAAGAGGATGTTGATGGGCTGCGGGCGTCAGATGTGTCTCTTGGATTCTCCACAACTGTGACTCACCTGAACCATCACCTTTCGTCCAGACATCTTGCTAAAGTTTCCTGGTTCTTGTCACTGCCGCCAGGCTAAAGGATGCGATCGATACGTGCGGGGTCGTAGACTCTTCAGACGTCTAGAAACGAGTGTCGTGAGAGGGCCGAGGCGAAACGGGACTGGATCGAGGAAGGGTGGAGGTGGCTATGACAACAAAGATTGAGGTGGTCGCGCGCGATCATCATCGAGGAGTGAGCTCGTAGCGTGCCCTGGCCGATGGTTTGGGATAAATGCAGTGAAAAGCGAATTGATGTATTCATAGATAACAAATGTCTGTCCCTGCTAATTGAACCGATTAGGAGATACCGCAGTTTGTAATGGCCGGCAACTCTGTTGTAATGACGCTCTTAGACTTCGGACATCCGAAAGAATTATTGACGCAACCACAGTGTCCGATTCTCCGGAATATGCATTGCTTCAAGCTGCTGCATGCGTTTTATGCATGCATGTGAAGCCCGATACGGGACGCCTCGTCCTCCAGATGTGACGAATGCATGGCGCCTGGTCCTCTTGTGGCTGATGTGGCCGCCGTGTGGTGCCGCACGTAACAAAAGATCGACTCGGCCGGGTCATAATGATCCGCGGCTATCAGTTTGGGTTGTCGGTGTGGGGGCCGGCATTTGGTCTTTCGACTCATTAACTTTTCCGACGCTTGTCCGCCTTCATCAACGCGCAACGCTCGCCATGTCGGTCAAGCAGTACAAGATCACTGTCCCCTCGACCACTGCCAACGTCGGCCCCGGCTTCGACGTGTGCGGCATTGCTCTCTCGCTCTCGCTCGCGCTCGATGTGTCCATCCCGACTGACGGCCAGGGTGACGAGCTTCCCGTCATTACCTACTCCGGTCTCGACAGCGACAACGTCCCCCTCTCCCCTTACAAGAACCTCCTCACTCGTGTCGCTCTCTATGTCCTCCGCTCGAACGGCATTGACACCTTCCCCCGCGGTGTCAAGATCCACGCGCACAATGAAATTCCGTTCGGACGTGGCCTCGGCTCCTCGGGTGCCGCCGTTATCGCTGGTGTCCTCCTCGGCAACCTCCTGGGCAACCTGAACCTGCCCACGGAGCGTCTCCTCGACTTTGCGCTCATGGTTGAGCGCCACCCGGACAATGTCACCGCTGCCCTTGTCGGTGGCTTCGTCGGCTCGTACCTCCGCGAGCTGCCTCCTGCCGACCTCGCCGCCGCTTCCGTCCCGCTTGCCGAGGTCCTTCCCGAGTACCCCGCCGACGCTGGACCGGACTGGGGCAAGAACCCTCCCCAGGCCCCTAACGGCATCGGACACTATGTCCGCTTTGGCTGGGCTCCCGAGATCAAGGCTATCGCCGTCATGCCCCGCTTCGAGCTCGCCACCGCCAAGTCGCGCAACGTTCTCCCGGAAACCTACTCTCGCAAGGACCTGGTGAGTTTGTCAATGAAAGAACCTCACTGACGTCAGGTGTTCAACCTCCAGCGCATGGCGGTACTCACCACCGCGCTTGCCCGCTCCCCTCCTGACGCTGAGCTCATCTACGAGGCTATGAAGGACCGCGTTCACCAGCCTTACCGTGTTCCTCTTGTGAGTGTCCTCGGCGCCATGCCGATGCTTCTTGTATTCTTGTGGGGAATGCAAGCTGACAAAGTAGATTCCTGGATTGCAGAAGATCCTTTCCGAGCTGACCTACACCTCCCACCCTGGCCTGTGCGGTATCTGTCTGTCAGGAGCTGGCCCCACGATTCTTGCGCTGGCCACGGACAACTTTGAGGGTATCGCCAAGGAGATCGAAAGGATATTTGCCGAGGAGGGAGTGCAGGTTGACTGGAAGGTCTTGGACGTCGACACCAAGGGCAGCACCTGCGAGGAGATCAAGGCGTGAGCCACAGCCGCTGCTTGCGCGCACCACGATATAAAACGGCATAGACCACCACTATTATGCATAGGGCACATTTTGGAACAAAGGTATGTGGGGTGAGTGGTTGTGGGGAGGAGGGCACAGGGTTATCTGCGACAAGTGGCAGCGCACGCGGCGTAGCCAAGATGGACGGCCCGAGTGGGCGCTTGGGACTTGATGGGCTTGGATTGGCGACTCGGCCTCCGCCAGGGACATTCAACTGGCGGTCGGTGCGCAACTGATAATGTTATAAACTCATCGGCTCAAGACCGAGCAACAACTGACCTGACCTCCTTGTCCAGTCTCCGTTCCTTGCTTACCCCTTTATTTTCCCCCTCTGACGAACTCTTGACGTTTCACAGTTCACGCTCGTCATCCATCTCGATCTAAAGTTCAACCGGCGCTGACACCATGTCGTCTGCCAGTCTGCGAGCATCGCTCGACAAGCTCATCGACCAGGTTCGTCATCTCACCCGTGCCCGGTGTACGCATCGCTTACGTCCAGTATGGCTGGGAGCAGGTGTGCGATACATGGAACGAGATTGTGAAGGAAGGTCGGCCAAAGCCGCTGTCCTCTGCATCGCGGCCAGCGACACCATCGTCTTCGAACAACGGGCCGCGACGTACGCCGTCCTACCTGCGCATGACGCACCTGCTCGGCAACCCTCCGTCAACTGCGCTCCCCTCGCTCCCAGACCCGCTCGACAACCGGATCTCGAGCCACTCGGCTTCCTCGCTCGACGTATCGAAACTGACGCCCCCGATGTCAGAGAAGCGGTTCGACTTTGGCAAGACAGGAGACGAGGGCGACGACCTGATCGCCTCGCTGGAGTTCCTCCGCGCGGCGCCTAGTGCTCCCCCGCCTCCCCCGCCCGGCCCGACTCCGCCGACACCGGCCGCCCAGACGCCGAAACACAAGCCGGCCGACTATGCGTCGTTCATGGACCGACCGATGCCGAAGCGGCCGCCTCGCCCCGAGAGCGGGATCCTCAGCGCGGCCGACCTCATCGCTGCCGGTGTCGGCAGCAGCATCACGCGGAAGGACAACCGCAGTTCAGACGACAGCAACAGTGGCAAGCTGCACCTGCCGTACGAGTTCGCCGACGACGACGTGATCCCCCACCGCTCGCCGAGCCAGAGCCACCCCAGCTCACTGCCATCGCTGCCCAGCCTGCCCTCCCTGCCAGCCCTTCCCCACCACCACGACCGCCACCACCCCCGCCGGAGACACACAAAGTCGCCCAAACCCTCCCGGGCAGCCCGCCAAAACTCCCCCCGCCGAGCCCGATCGACCCCCTCCCCGCCGTCCCGAGCCGGAGCAGCAGCCGAGCGCACCTGAAGAGCCCCGGTCCCGGAACAAACATCGCGCACACGCCCACGACGCTGCCGTACACGTTTGCAGACGACGAGCCCGAGGACGCGCCCAGCACTGCCCGCGTGCGCGCCGACGTGCAGCAATGGCAGTGGGAGGAGACCAACGACAGTAACTAGGCGGCATTCCCTGAACTTTGGAAGTGGAGGCGATAACGGCGTATCCGGCGCCGGCTGCGCTCGAGCGCTTGCATTGGGCTTGCGCACGCTTGCACCTGATGTTGACGGCCTGGCGTAAGCCGCTGCACGGGCTCAAGGCACAAGGGCACTCCAGGGGCGAAGTTGCAAGTCGGCACACGACCGAGCAGAGAAGAAGCATGAGGAGGCCTGTGCCAGGGATTCGAGGATCGCAGGGACGCATAGCACGATTGCCCGATTGCACGACAGGACACGAACGACACGACATAGACATATCTACACACAGACACGCATGGGCTCGCACAGAGCTGGCATGGATACATCGCATTTGGCATTGCAGGACGCGTCTCAGGATACAGGGAGAACACAGAAACATACATTACAGGACACTGACAGGGAATCCCGAGATCGAATGCGATTCGGTGCTTAGCGCGCGCACGGGCCGCCAGTGACGAGGGCATGATACGCTGCACGGGTCGTGTGCAGGAGTCTGCGCAGGAGCGGCCAGGACCGCATGCAGGGGCCTTACCATATCACGGCCAAGCAGGACTGATGCCCGGCTCGCGATTCTATCAGCAGCGACGGTGACGGTGGAGTTGAGCGGTGCGGCGGCCGCCCAGCGCCTCCAGTGAGTCAAGGCAGCGTACGGTGACTGCCGCAGTAGTGGAGGCGTGGCGTTGATTGCCGAGTGGCGGAAGTTTGGGACCTTGGCATCGGTCTTTCGGTCCGACGTCGTCGCCTTCTGATCACAGACAATCGGCTCAAGGACACGCCAAGTCGATGCCTGTGGGCATTGACAGGAAGCGCGCTGTACATACAGAACAGATGCCTGCTTATTAGTCTGCTTCGAAATCAGACACCAAATCATGCGCAGAACAATGGACCTCCACCGCCCTCCACCGGGCCATCACCCACACTGAAGTTTGCCATCTTCGCACCATTGTCCGCCAATCACTTCACTCTTCCAACCTCCAAAACGTCCAAAAGAGTCGCCTCCTTTGCAGGAGACAAGCTGCTGCCCCACACGGGCTCGAACCGTGGACCTCGGAGTTTGTTAGGGATAACAGCTCCACGCGCTAGCCAACTGAGCCATAGGGCAGATGTCTTGAAGACACGTAGAACACCGCGCGCGCCTGCTTTTCTTTCTTCAGCTCTTGCTCGAGTGGCGGAATGGGCGTCAGGCGGTTTTTTCTGGTGCCCTAGACAGCAGAGCTGTGTCATTGTGCGGCTCTGCTTTGTTGCACGTCGGTATGGAGGCACGCAGACGAGTATCCATCGTGCTCGGCGTAACCTTTATCGGTTCCCCGCTCCCGATTCACTTGTACTCTCCCACTACCACTGAGGAGGTGTAATGCTGTCATTAGTCGAAGCGCCTTCATTCGCGCCCGACTCCCTGGCTCTGACGAGGGCGCCACACCCCCACAATAACCGTCGATCCCAGTCGTCGATGGTCGATCACGGGAGGCCATTATGCCCGTCCGCATTGTCACGGCACTGCACCACCGCTCCACCACAGCACTGTCCCGCACAGCATGTGTGCGTGTGTGTGTGTGTCGCCGCCCACACCGTCGTCAGCGTTGTATAAGTATGCGCATTCTGTCTCTTTGACGTTTAGTCCAGCCTCCTACCTACTGACCACCACGCTCACCATGTCCCGAGAATCGGAAACGAACAGCTTCTACACGCCAGAAGAGTACGCACTCCTGCCGAAGTTCGAGAGGCTGTGTACCGCGCTATCTCTCGTCGAGGAGGTGGGTTCGTCACTGGGAAGGCTATTAACAGATAGCGCGGCGTGCATGGTGCCTACGCTTCCCTTGTCTCGCTGGGCGAGGATATACCGCCACCTCCCCCAGACCCCGAGGCAGCGCAGCGCTACGCCGTTTTGAGCCACATTGGTCGACTCGTCGTCGAGTGTCGAGTCGGCTCCGATGTCCTGGGCCAGCTGGGGTTCCCAGACGGAACATCGACGCCGCGCACTTCGACGCAGTATCTCGCCTCCGACGAGCTGCTGCCACACCGCCTCTCCGAAGACTCGCTGAGCTTCCATCGCTCCCCCAGCCCACTCCGGCCACGAGGCTCGCCCAGCGCGCACCGGCTAGACGCCTCCCCGAGCTCCTTCGACTTCAGAACGCCTCGTAGCTCACCCCCCAGCCGGATCGGCCACAGCAGCCAGCTATCCCATTCCCGCCCCTCGATCGAATCTCTCCGCCCACCCCCCTGCTCCTCGACCTTTGGCGAGATCCGTCCCCTACGCCTCAGTGCTTCCGCCGAACCCTTGCGGCGACGACGGCCCTTCTTCGCTCGTTCCCGCTCCGACCTTCGAATCAGTATTGACTCGCCGCGTGACTCGCCCGCTCCCTCACCCTCCCCGCGGCGCTCGTTCAACTCGTTCAACTCGTCGAACTCCCTCGCAGCGGGGAGTATTGGCGAAAGAAGGAAGATCTCCCGTCCGTTCCCACTCAGACCCATGCCGCTGTCGCCTGGACTGGGGCCACTGTCTCCCACGGATATTGACGTGCCCAAAGTCAACTCGTACCCGAAGCGGGGATTTGGACGGAAGATCAAGCGCATAGCGAGCAAACTCTCGCTGCGCTCCGTCAGGTAGAGGTGTACGATTGCATATACGTGGAGATACTGTACAACTTGTGATTATAACTTGAGGCGGATTCTAAGGAGCGACGATTGTGATTTTTTGCCTCATTGCGACAAGGGCGATACTGGTCTACACCTCACCGCCGTTCGGGGGTTCGGCTAAGTGCACGATAGGCGGGCAGACGGCGCTCTTGTCGCCACAGATGTAGCGCTTGAAGAGGTAGGGCAGGGTCTTCTTGAGCTGGTGAGCCGCAAACTTACGGGTGGGGATGGCGAAGACGGCATCTATCTCTTCGAGCGTGAGGCGCTTCGTCTCGGGCACCAAGAAGAAGATCAAGATGAACGCAACCACGTTAAGCCCCGCGTAGAAGAGGAACGCGCCGAGGGGCGTGAACTCGCGCAAGAGGCGGGGGAACGTGAGCGACAGCACCGAGCCCCAGAAGAAGTTGAACGCGACACACCACGCCATGCCCTGCTCGCGCTGCGCGAGGGGGAAGATCTCCGCGCAGTACATGAACGGCACGGGGCCCTCGCCGAGCGAGTACGCAATCGTGAACAGGTATACGAAGCAGGCGACGATCCCGGTGCGGATCTCGCTGTCCGGGTCGTAAGGCTCGATCAGGAAGCAGAGACCGCCGACGAGCAGCGTCCAGGCCATGTTGGGGAAGGTCGCGAGGAGGAGCGAGCGGCGGCCGTACGAGTCGATGAAGTAGAGCGAGGGGAGCGCGAAGACAAGGTTGAGTGCGCCGAAACCGATCGAAGCGTAGAGTGACTGCGTGTCCGTGTAGCCGCCCTCTTTGAAGATGGTGGACGAGTACTGCAACGTCAGCTTTATCTCCGGGTCCAGACAGCTGAAAGACTTACAAAGGCCATGATGTTGATGCCACACATCTGCTGGGCGATCATGACAACAGAGCCGGCGAGAGTGGCGCGGCGGCAACGGGGGATCGTGAAGAGCTCAGTAAGGCGCGAGACGTAGGTGCGGCCCTGGACGACCTTCTGCTCCTCGGCGTACTGGGAGTAGGCGTAGAACAGGTCGCGAGCGGCCTGGAGGTCGCTGCGGCGGAGCTTGAGCATCGATTGCCACGCCTTGACCATTTGTCCTTTCTTCATGTACCAGCGCGGCGACTCGGGGCAGAACAGCACGCCGAGCGTGAGCGGAACAGCCGGGATCATGGCAGAGCCGAGCTGCAGCCGCCACGCGATCATGCCCGTGTCCTTGACGGCGGCGTTCGCACAGACTAGCTCGTCAGCGGCGACTCTCACGGTTCCGCAGCAACCACAACTCACATCCGAGGAAGATGCCAAAGGCTGTCCACAGCTGCCAGCCCATCGTCAGAGCCCCACGGAGGCGGGCCGGGCTGAGCTCTGCACAGTACATGGGAACGGTGGCAGCCTTGGCTCCGACACCGATACCCATGACGAAACGGACAGCCATCAATGCCTGCCATGACTGGGTGAAGCCAGACGCAATCGGGGTGGCAATGAGGATGAGACCAGTGACGAAGATCTCACCGCAGCGACCCAGCCATTCGTTGAGAGGGTCGGAGACTGAGGCGGTCAGCACTTCTGCGTGCATGATGGGGCGGGCATATTGTACTCACTCCAGCATCCGACGAGAGCAGAGGAAATGTAGACGGAGCTGTTGACCAGACCAACGAGCCACTCATCGCGCTCGCCGCCAGGTTCGCCAACTGTGCGGCCGATACCGAACTCGGCGGGGAAGGAAAGGTTGGCTCCGTTGCTGACTATTAGCTTGGCGATACCTATGCGCAGCATACGGCCTACCTTCCCGTTTGATCCCAGCCCTGGGTCGCAGCACCGAGTGCGCAGAGGAGGACTGCGGCTGTCAGAGACCCAACAAGTCAAGGGGACGTACCGCAGAAGATGAGGCGAGGCGAGAGATTCTTCCACATGTGGTTCTCTTCGAAGGCGAGGTCGGCCTTATCCGCGTCCGAGAGCTCGGGGATGTCGGCATATTCCTTCGGACGCTGGGCGACCAGCGCACCGCGGCGAAACACGTCGCGGTGCTCAGTGAGACCAAACTTGTCGACGAAGTTGTCGACATCGGCGAGTAGCGCTGGCTTATCGAGGCGGCGCAGGGGGTTGTAGGTGTCTTCGGATGTGACGCCCACCGTACCGCTGCGCTCGGCGGTCTTGTTATCGAAGTTCAGGTCGGCAACGGCATCCTCGATCTGGCGATCAGACGCCTTATCAGTTGCCAGCTCAGAGGGAGGGGTGCCTTTCTCGCTGGCAGTGTGAGACATGCTGGAGGGGTCAATGGGAGGTGAGAAAAGCGTCAGAAGCCCTCCGAGCTATTAAGTACTGTGAGCACAGGTATCTGGCAGGTGAGAATCGCGGCAGTCGGCCGCTGAAGTCTGGACCGGCCGCCAGATCGCCTCTGTTGTTGTGATCTCACTGCGCGCTAGGGCAGTAATACTGCCGCAGTTGATATCTAAGCTCTGCTGGGCACTGTGGTGTGCGGCTAACCTTGCGGCTCAGAAGAGGCTGGAGAGCTGCGGGGCAGGCTGATCTGCGGCGAGGCAGCTGCCAGCGCTACGCCTCATCGGGCAGGTTATGTACTTGAAGGAGACGTGTTTGTTGACAGCATGTTAACTGCGCTCGACCGCCAAGAGATCAGATGGCCGAGTAGATTGTGAACTATCGATGGCAGGTCATCTGTAAAAGGAGCGCTCGGCTGTGAATGGTCGACGAAGGTATCGCATGGGAGCCACCGGAGGATGGAGCGGGTTGAAGCAGCCAGCGAGCTAGTCAAGTCTCGCTGAGAGACTTGGTCGTCTGCTGTATCCAGAGGTGAGCTTTCGCTAGCAGTGGGCCGTTGGAGCGTCGGCTCTTGGGTTGTGCAATCATCAGAGTCACTGTGAGCGATGATCTGATCTTGGTGCATATTCTGCCGTGTCAGGGTTGTCGCGCTCACCCTATCGTCAACCTTGTGCCTTGCAGCCGTCACACGTGGGTCTCCAAAGCGCGGCCCCTTCCAGTCACCCCTCTGCAAAGGCACGGCTCATCAGTACCCCTCTTTAACGGTCACGAGACCGCTCTGAAGTAGCTTTACCTGCGCCGTGCAGGTCTGAGCCGATAAGCCGATCCCCCACTCCCCCGCTTTCCCCCGCGCAGACATCAGCCATGGCGCAATCCTCACCTCCCTCCTCTGCGTTACGCCGCAGCTTAATCATTGCTGACCCCCGCTTCGGAAGCGAGTGGGGACCACACGGGGCTCGGCGGAGGAAGAGACCGCCCTCGCCTCTTTCGACCGCCGCAGGCGAGGGTTAATGAAGGCACTAGGATTGATATCTGGAAGACTGACCAACCTGTGGTATCTGCGACCTGCGGCTGGGGACTGTTTCCAGCACACAATAGCGCCCCCTAGCCTCGTCAGATGTTCAGCCGGTCTCTCCTGGAGGGCATTTCTCGCGGCCATCTGAACTACACCGTGGGTCTTTGGGAATCCGCCAACATCCCAGCCAGCCTGATTTGGAGCGCCAAGCCGGTCCGATTCGTAAGCCGATCCAGCCGAAGCATTCATTGTCAAGGCCCAAGGAACCCGGACCGGAAGCACAGCGCAGCTCGGCGGGCTTGACAATCACCGGGTACTCACATGTTCACACTGTGCGTTCCAGATTTGGGCGGAGAGCTGTTGGCAAGATTTGCAGGCTCCCTGCGTCATGTACTCTGGAAGGGCCTGTGGTACAGCGGAGCGGTGTTCGGGCGGCATCTCTGTAGCAGATGGCGCGAACTGCGTTCCCAGTCTAGTCCCGGTTCCTGCTTCGTGAGCGTGTGAGTCGCGAAGATTGCCGGCTCCGCAAAGTGCTCCGCACGATTCGCATGATGCGCAGGCCAGAAGACACTCGGCGCTCCCGAAGCTCCTGAAACGTGTCAGCGGCAGCTTGTACGTCGAGGGCCCGAGGTTCTCAGAGAACGACGAAGGGGCGGCTTGAAAATGAGGCATCATGTGGTCAGAGATGTCTTCCTCGCCACTCTTGGCAAGGTCTGTGGCGAGTCTGGGAGAGGTCACGGGCGTGCCCTTCAGTTTCATCAGTGTTCCCATCCTTGAGTCAGAAGCCGTTGGGCGTCGAGGGGTTCGTTGCCGACTTGTCAGTTGCTGTGCAGTTTTTGCCGCTGCGGACGGGTGGCAAATGCAGCATCCGGCGAGAGCCGCAGGGACCTGCACGGCCGTCTTGTCTCGCGTCTTTTAGCAGGCTTGGAATGGACACGGACACTTTCGGCACTCTGCGGCGTCATTTAGCAATGCAGGCCGTGATTGTATGGCGTCACGGGCAGGCCCGTTCTCAGGAGGCTTACCCCACTTTGCAGTGTCCTTGCGGAGTCTAGAAGCTTGCAAGGCGAGGAAGAGGAGTCTTGGCGAGATAGGCAGGCATCTTGTCTTTCCGGTGGCGACGCATGAATCGTTCATCAGTCTTGCGGAGTAGTTGGGCAGGAGAGTGACGAAGCAATGCGGGAAGACATCAGTTGACAGACTGTGACGAGTGGGAAGGTGGTTTAGGAGGCCTCACGTGACCCCGGCTGCCCAGGCACCGGCCTAGCCATGCAGCTCAGCGGTGTGGCATCCCACCGAGGTTTCGGGGAAACTCAGAAATTCACTCATCCACCGTGCCCCTGCGTGAGGCTTCGCGGCTTCGGGATCGATCTCGCTTATCTGGAAGTGCTTGGCGAGCGGAGCGATCACGAGCTGAAAACGAATTTGGGAGCCCTTGCGGCTCTACGATGCGCTGATTGGCCTGCTGCACAGATGTTACGCTCACGAGGCGGCACTGGTCAGGCGCCAGGCGCAGAGTGACAGACTGCACACTGCGAGTGGCACGGCCCAGTACGTCTGACTAAAGGGTGACGACTATTGATGAGCTCGACGGATGACCCATCTTGCACGTCTGAATTGTCGTTCTTGACAACTTTGGAACGGTATTCCGAACGTTGACCCGAGGAGGGTGCCATTCCGTTCGTGGGTTGATGTTGGGTCGCGGGCGTGAGCCTAATGCCCCTCTGACAATTGAGAAACGGATCCGAAGGAACAGCTGGGCGGCATGGGGCGGCTTCCGTGTGTAAGAAGAGCGGAACAGAGTACCGACGGAAAGCTTGCCGATCTTCAGCCAGGTCGTGATGGTTCGGGAGTCACCAAAACCCACAGCGCGCTCGCACAACTGCAGAGGCCCCTGAGCGAGAATGCTTGAGGGCCAAAGGCTCAGAGGGCATTGTGAGGGCTTGGAGCAGAACCAATCGTCAGGCTACGTAGGTAGCACTGCACACAGGCTCGTGGTCAATGTTCAATTTGCGGGCAACGCGGGTGCAACTGCATTGGCTCCTGGGCGAAGGGGGACGGACCTGACGGGCCAGGCTGGCCACTCTGTAGCAGTAGTTAGCTGGGTTCGTAGGTGATCAGAAGACACGGCAAATCAGAATCATGTAAACAAGAATCTAGGCACAAATCATCGCTTGCTAGCGCAGTTCAAGCGGCAGCGATCGTGCCAATGGGAGGCCTGCGATGTCTTCACCAGGTACGCTGGGGCTCAGTGCTGAGCCAAATCTAAGCCAAACTGCCGCATCTGGTTTCATATGCACAAGCTGTCAGTCGCTAGCGTTGCAGAGGCGCAGAGGTGTGGCATCGCAAAGTTTTCTCGGATTAGGTCGGTACCAACCACCTCTTGGCAGGGGGTGCCCCGTCGATCCCCCCACGCCACAGAGAGCCAAATTCTTGGTTGCTTGGCTGTGGTGGAAGCAGAGCAAAGCCGGAACATAGTCGGATCAGATCAGAGATGGCGCCGAGCGGAGCCAGCGGCTGAATCGGTCCGCTGGGTCTCGATCTGAAGGATCTTATATCAGTTGCAACACCTGTCCACATGAAGTGTGCAAGCTCTGGGCCCGCATTGGTGAGGAGAGTGGGGTCCTGATCGATGTCTCGCGAGTGATTGGGTGTGCGCCTGACATTCGTGCGGCTGCGACTCCTCGACCCCGCCCTCGCTTACAGCCTGCCAGCGATCAGAGGGCTCCGGTTAATCGGTCTGGCACATGTGGTTCTGGACGACTCCGCAGCGGTGGGTCGCCGGGGGGTGGTAGGGACAGTATGGACAGCACGATGAGGGGGAGCCATTCACGATCACGATAGTGGATATACGGAAGAACAGCTGCGAATCGGCGTCGTAGGCACCTTTGAGGTGGTCCCGGGGTGAGGGATGAGGGGCGGACGCGGGGAAACTGGCGGCTGGGTGGATCACGAGGTGCCATGCTGTGATTAGCTTGGAGTCGCAGTGCCGACTGTGCCGCACACATGCCGGACGCCGGTGGTGGTGAATCTTTGGTGGCCGCTGGGATGCTGGGTGTGCTCTCGGCCGTGGCAGGTTACGTCACCCTGGAAAGCATGCAGCAGCAGCAGAGCTGCTTGGACTGCCTGGGGCTGCCCAGCATGCCCAGGCCAAGCGGCAGAGGCGGCAGCCAAACAGAGGAGGGGAAAAGCGAGGTTTAAACGAGCCATTCCGAGACTAATCAGCTTGCATCAGAGTCAGGCGTCTCATTAAGGAATCGACGCTAGGTTCTAAAGGAGGTAATAGCGGAAGCAAAGTGGGCCGGAATGAGGTGGGGGCAGAGGGGCGTTTAGGTGGGGCGGGGCACCTGGACGCAACGGACCGTTCCTTCTTCCCTTCCCTTTCTTACCTGGCCTTCCCTGCCTTGACTTGTCTTGCGCTCCCTGCTCCCTCCCTCTCGCTCCTACGCCTGCTGCGTCCTCCGCCTACTCAGCACTCCGCTCACCACCACCACTCCTCTACTCAACACATCACCAAGCATCTCGCAGTCGCCAATCGCGTCCTTCTTGGTTGTCACCACACACACACACACAGCAAAGCATCGACTTCCATAAGCCCTCGCCTGCGCCCGTCCAACCTCACCACACGACGTTCCGGCTCCTCTTTTCACCCCAGCCGTTGCTGTCCACCTGACCCCTTCCTTGTCGACCACTTCCCCCGCCTCGCTCAAGATGGCCGACAAGAGCTTGGCTGCTCCTGCCTCGCAAGAGCCATCCAGTGGCAAGGCTCCCCGTTCTTGGGTCCCCCGTGCTTGTGACAGATGTAAGTGGCCATTTTTCCGATGGATCAGCCGCTGACAACCCCAGGTCGCAAACGTAAAGCCCGTTGTGGTACGCCGATGATTGCCTCTGAACAGCACTGACATCCGCAGATCAGCAGGTCCCCTGCCGCAACTGTGCCGAAGCCGGTGTCACCTGTACCCACGATGCACCGGTTTTGAAGCGTGGCCCTCGTCCCAAGTAAGTTTGCCGCAGGAAAAATAGGAGGAAGGAAGACCGAGGTTATTAACGCACACAGGCCTCGAAACCGCGATGTCGAGAGCAGGCTGCGCAATCTCGAGAGCCTGTTAGCAAGCATCTCGTCCGGCTCGGCCTCGGCGGCGTCCGTTTCTCTTTCGCGGAGGGAACTGGACCAGATTCGTGTGGCTGCTCACATTGCGCCCGCTTCTGATACGTCGCCTCCCTCTGACATGGGGGACGTCAAGCCCAACGTGAACGCGACGCCCGCTCCGGACGCTGCCATGGGAACCCCTGGCTCTGTCAACAATGCCCCTACCCCGGTCAACGGAATGGCCACCACGGCCAACCCGACGCTTAGCAACTACGTGCCGCCCATGTCGTTCGACTCGTTTGGCGTTCCGACGCCCGGTCAGGGCATTCCAGACCAGCAGATGATGTCGGGCGTCAACGCCACGCTTCAGCCGTCAATGTACGACCCCAGCGTCATGGGTGCCGTTAGCCCTACTGCAACCAAGTCGGGCGGCATCACCAGCAACACTAAGGGTCAGGATCTGCTCTACCGGTAAGTCGTGTGTGCGTGACTAACGGCTAATTTCTAGTGATTCTGAGGGCCAGACGAAGTGGCTTGGCCCCTCGAGTGGTATGCCTCTCCTGGAGCGTCTCAAGGTCAACGGCCACCAGTGGAACTCGCCTCTGGACGATGGCAACGTTACAGACCAGTGGATGTCTCTGTCGAGCGCCATCGGCGTTGACGTCGAGGGCACCAATGCTCTGGAGACCATCACTCCTCAGGACCCCACCAGCGCGCTCTCGCCGTCCAGCTCGCATGACGAGTACATCTGGGAGCGCGTTACCAACGTGATTCCCAGCGACCTCGTTGACAACCTGGTTCGCTCCTACTTTACGATCTCGCATCTGCTGTGGCCGATCTTGCATGCGCCCACGTTCATGCAGCACTACGTCGACCCAGAATACCGCAAGAACCCGTCGTTCGTCGCCCTCGTCCTCTCCATCTGCGCGCTGTCGTCGCGCTACACGCCTGACCAGAGGCTGCGAGTCACCAACTCGAAGGGTACTACCCTTGCGATTGAGGTCGTATCCCTCGCTAAAGACATCATCGCTCAGACTGCTTCGGAACGCTCGGATCTCGCCATCGTTCAGGCCCTGTTCAACTTCTCCGTTGTCCAGGAGGGTATCGCGCGTACCAACCAGGTTTGGTCGTTCCTCAGCCAGGCTGTCAGTGTCGCGATGGACATGGGTCTGCATCGTCGCAAGGACGAGTACAACTTCTCCGCTGTTGACCTCGAGGAGCAGAAGCGTACCCTTTGGGCTCTGTACTGCCAGACCGTCCAGGCGAGCTGCACTTACGGACGCCCCCTCATGCTGCGTCTCCGAGACATTGGTGAGTTGGCAAGCCAGCGAAGCAACCTGACATTCAGAACTCGACGAGCCCGCGCCCGTTGACGACGTCTACATCTCGGCTGAGCGTGGTATCGGCACTCAACCTGCCGACCGGCCATCTGTCATGGCCGGCTTCGTTGCCGGCATCCGCCTGCACATGGTCTTGGAGCGAACCGTTCGTCGGGTGAACCGAATCGTCCTGCAGACGGACGAGACCAACATGAACTTCATCGACCTCGTGTCGGCTACTGGCCCTCGCAAGTACCGGATCGAAGACGAGCTCGAGCTGCTGTCCCACGTGACGGACGGCCTCGTGGGTGACTGGTCATTCTCTCCCACGACCGTCGCCGATTCTGACAGCGTCCGGTTCTTCCAGCGCACCCGCGTGTTTACTTTGCAGCAGTTCATCCGACTGCTGTCTGCCCGCCACCGTCTCACTGAGATTATGGGCTCCGAAGTTGGCACACTAGGCGGAACCGCCGAAGAGCAGGCTGTTCTGCAACAGATCACGCAATCGGCTCTTGGTATTATCGGGACCTACTCGATCATCGACGGTCAAGGCCGTCTCGACTTCTTCGGCGCTCACGCGATCTCGCAGCTGACGCAAGCCGGTGCCGGCCTGATCGGTGTCGTTCTTCACGTGCGTTCGAATGCCATCGCCGGCAGCGACAATGTGCTCCAGATTGCGCTGCAGGGTCTCTGCGCGTCCATCCTCGTCCTCCGCAAGCTTGGTACGCGACGACCAGCCGGTAACCGCTCTGCCGAGCTTCTCATCGAGTTCTCGCGCGCGTGTCGCATCTCGATCCCGGGCCTTCCCGAGAGCGAGCCCTCACCATCGTCCAACGGTCCGGTCGATGTCCCGATGCTTCGCGCCCTGCCGCGGCGAACGAACTCGAAGAGTGGCGGCGGTCTCAAGCCCGGCGGCATGAGCCAGGCGCAGTTCGACGAGTGGCTTGGCATCGCGCTGCAGGGTACCGGCGACTGGATGGGACCCGACGGCGTCCTGCCCCCGGGCCAGGAAGGTTTCGCCATGTAAGCGTCGCGTGAGGGGTTGTCTGGACGATCTTTAGTTTCTCATCTTTTTTTGTAACATGTACTCTATGATGATCTGCACATCACATCGACAGGAACGCAAACTGACCCCACGGAGATCTGGAGTGATGCGGAGGTGGAGGCCCAGCGGCGGCGCAGCCCTCGTGTCGCCAACGTGAGGGCGGAGCCTCGGGGCCATGTGGCGACATGCGGAGCCAGCAGAGCACGGAACACTTCTCCGCGTCGTCCGTGTCCGTCCGTGGCCCGTGGCGTGTGTTTGGAGTTTCTCGGTGAATGCTCGGTCGCGCCAGAGTCAGAGTGACAGGTGAGTGGTGCATAGCATGACGACTAACCGGGTGCGAAGGGGGCGCGATCGACGATCCCGCAAGCTTACGGGCGATCAACGGCCTGTACGGCCTGTGACGGCCGAGAAAGCAGCGAGATTGTGAAGAGACGGAGTGAATTTCTCCGAGAACGCTGCGCTAATCGCATAGTCGCTGAGGTTTCTGCAAGCTCTGATGCTCTGGCTGGGACGGGGTGACGGGTGCCCGCCCAGCGCAGTAGTGCCTTTACATGCATGTGAACGGATGTGCTGTGACCTGGTGCGGCCCGCTTGGCGGAGGCCGAGCGGAGCACCCTCCTTTGAGCAGGTGTTGCCCAATGTCGGCCTGCAGAGTTGGCCGCTCTGTCAAAGGGCAGCGGGCAAGTCAGTCGCGTCGTGGTCGAAAAATCTTCGCACTGCGCGTCATCGTCGCTCCGCCCGCCGCTCTTGGTCTTGGCGAAACTACTGACCACTCATCGTCCTCCACTAGCCTGAAGGCCGCTCGGCGTCGCTGGGGCGGATGCGAGCGTCAGCGGGGAGTGAGGAGGTGGCGCCCTTCGGAGCCTCCTAGTCTTGGTATGGACGGAGGGCTTGGCGAGTCTGGCGACTGAGCGAGGGATGGGCGGAACCCCGCATCCCCGCAGCGTGTCCATGCCTCCGGCCTCGGGAGTTACGATGCTGACTTCGCCGCCGACAGAAATTTCGACGAGGGGTCTCCGAACTCTCTCGGCCTCTCGGCCCAGCATCATTGTTGCTCGCATATCCCGAGTCTTTCGGAGCCATGACTTGGCTCGTTTCGCTTTCATAGGAGCCACTGACGGCGGGCCCCGTGCCGAGGCAACGGACAGGGTGCGGGGACGTCGCCGCGTCTCGTGGCGCCGTACTCAGTGTGCAGCCAGCGTTGCTGCCAAACACCATGGCCACACTCAGTAGTAAGCAATGGCGATGGCTGAGCCACGCACAAGGTTTATCCGCATCGAGCAGCAGTGTGCACACGACCACACCCCGATAGCGGACGTGGGCAGCACCACAGCGCCTTACACGCCATACCTTTGAGTGCATGCGAGATCCGCGGGGCTGGCAGCCAGTCCGCCAGGTATGGCAGGTGGCAGTGGATCTGGCCATTTCGCATTGTCTCAGCCCCCCCAACCATCTGCATTCCCCACCCAGTTTGCAGCGGTACGCCCCGAGCCTCTGTATACCGATAGACCGGCATGCACCGTATGCACCGTATGCACCAAGGACCCAAGAGGAAAGGAGGCGTCGAGGCGTTTCTCGGCACTGAAGGGCTTCACAGGGAACTAGGTTAACTAGGGCGCGCTGGCGGAGCGCCTCGCCCGCGCTCTTCTTGAGTACTCGACTCAAAGCACAAACGGGACGCGGACCCCCGCCCTTTGCGAGGATAGCCGCCGGGCTGGCGTGGGGTCGTGGCCTGGCTATCTCGCTTATTCCTTATCCTCCACTCTGGCGCTATGTGCTTCCCCACTTATCCTCGTCCTGGTCAGCTGGGACCGTGGACGACGGCATCAGAGCAGTTTGGGTCGCTCGGACGTACGGGACACGGACACTAGTGCCCAGTGTGTGCATGCCCACGGACCATGGGCTATGAGCCGCTGACCTGGCCCCACGTCCACGTTCTTCATGATAGGCGATACCCCACCCCGCTCAGATGCTCAGCCGCTCAGCCGCTCAGCCGCTCAGACGCTGATTACCGCTCGGGTCGGCGCTCATTTCGTCCTGATCCTGTCGTCTACCTCGGATCTCCTCTGCCTCGATCAGCCACACGGCACACAGACGTCCTTGGTCCAGAACCTGCTCAATGTCTAATCACTCATCGCGTCCGCAGATATACTCCGCAATCCCGCTGCACGCGCTGCAGCTGCCTTTGGTGACCATCATACGCCGCTAACGCGCCGGTTTCGGAGCGGGCACGGGGCGGGCACGGAGCAGCTCGGCATGGTATGCTTGGCTCGGCCACAAGCTAAAGGACCCCAGACACTGCCTGGGACTGGGCCTCCCCGCGTTCCCCGGCCTGCTGCTAGTGTCTACACTAAACTCCTATGCCGAGACTTAAGAAGGAAGAGAGAAGGCCGGTGTACGCCGATCACGACTTATGGCGAACCTGTTGACCTGGTCTGCGCTTATCATTAGGGGCTGCGCTACAGTGCTCCACGCACACCCTGCGAACCCTGTTCCGCACCATGCACCATGCACATGCCTGCCTAACCTGGAGGCACACAAGTACGCCAGATCCACCCCCATCAGCGTCGGCGTCAGCGTCAGCCAAGTGGTTCTGCCGTACTCCAGTTCTGCCTGCCTCCTGTTCGTCTAGATCTGGACCTCGAGCTTCCCTGCACAGGGCGAGAAGCAGGGCCGGGCATGGCGGCGTCATCATTCGTCCCCACCTATTTAGGACGCCTGATGGAACGGCTGACAAGACGGCGACTACCACTGCCATTGCCATTTTGAGCGGAACATGCCGACTCGTGATCTACTTTTGGCACACCTAGACAACATTGGCATGCTACAGCGCATACGGCACCGCCCGCAGTCTGCTCCTACGCATCAAGATGTACGCAGCTGACACAACGCGCGCACCACGCCGTCCCACCACGCTCCAGTGCCTCCTGTTCCCGACCTTCCACTGCAGCTCAACTTCGTTCGCATCTATTCATGACCAGAGTACCAATCACAAGTCTATCAAAGAGGATGTTTGTATCAAGTGGGGAGAGAAAGGGAAAGTGTCCATACACACATCATCGTATTCTATGCAGATCGTCGCACAACACTGTGGGTTTCGGGTAGCAGTTTTGTCGGAAGAGGTCTCTCTCAGCTCGGCCTTTTACGCCTGTCCGTCCAGCTCCATAAGGTGCACGGGGCTCGGGCCGCGCGAGAAACTCGGGAGCGAAGGCTTGACGTCCGACTGGTGCGCGCCGCCGCTCAGCGGGGCGAGCTTCGGGGGCGGCGACGAGTGGCCGATGACGCTCTTGGGCGACGGGTTGGTCGTCACCGTCGACGGTGTTTCGGATCCCCGGAACATGGGAGTCATGCCAAACGCAGCGCGGACTGAGTGAGCAAGCTGCGAGTGCTGGGAGGATGATGACGTCGTGTGCACAGGAGACGACGCACGCGATCCCACAGGACTACCGTGCGCCGATCCAACCGACAGTGAATAGCTCACCGAGGGAACGGACGAAAATGACGCCGATGTATGGGGAGGAGGAAGAGTGCGATCAGACGGAGGTGGAGGGGGAGGGATCGCACTCGAGTTCAGAATCTCCTCGACAGACTTGTGGGGCTCGGGCAGCTTGGGAGGCGACATGCGTGATTTCGTCGCGCTCACAAGCGGAGAGTTGGGGACCGATCCGTGCGAGCTGTGCGGATGCGAGTGGTGGTGATGGTGGTGGTGGTGGTGAGACGGGTGGCCGTACGGGTGAGAACGGTTCTTGGCGTCACGCGCAGTGTGCGACCCGTGTCCATGCTTGCCGCTCGACGCGCTGTGGCCCTCAATCGGACTGGGCGCACGAGATGTCACCGGGCTCGCATTCATCGACACGGGCGCGGTCGCAGCATTACGTGCACCGAATAAGTTCATGCCCCGCATGCCGGCAAGCACAGGGCTGCCATGGGGAAGTTCAACAGAGCGGTGTCCCGGGTGCATCTCGTCATCAGACGAGTCATCCGATTCGGGACTGGCGGCTCTAGAAACATCAGCAGAGGGCGCAAGAGAAGCATGAGTCGATCGGTGACTGTGCATGTTGACCGGATAGGGGTTGATGTGGTGGTGAGGCTTTGAGTGGTGCGATGACCGGCTGCTGCTACCGCTGCCCTTCTGCAGCGACATCGTGTGCTGCTGCTGTAAACGGGCGAGCTGCTGCTGCAGGTTGGCATGGTGCAGGTGGTAGTTGTTGCCAGACGGGCCGTTGCCGCTGAGCTTGGTCAAGTCTTCCGACGATCCCAGGTTGGAACGCTCCTTGGGCGTGCTCGAGTTGCTCGAGTGGTCGTTGCCACCGCCCGAAGCAGGGCCGTGTCCGGCGCCACCCGTGCCGTGTCCACCGTGTCCGCCGGCGTGGTGCGCGGGCGTCAGGCAGTTGGGGCAAGCAGCAGTCTGGCGAGCGACCTTTAGGCGCTTGCGGTAGCTCTTGTGGCAGTCCTCGTGACAGCAGGTGGGGGGGAGCAGATACGTAGGGTCAGCCAGAGTGCCTGCGGGGACAGCAGGGTGGTTGGCTGTGGGAGGCTGCGGGGCAGACACTGGGAAGACGACCTGACCACCGTTAGGGGTCGAGGGAGCGCCCTGCGTGAAGCGATCCCGCTCGTTGGAGAAGCCGTAAGCACCGGAAGCGCCAGGGCTGCCGCCGTTGCTCTTGGTGCGGCCCGCCCCCGCGGCGATCTGGCGGTGGCGAAGCTCATACTCGGCACGGCGGAACGCCTCGTGACGCTCAAGCTCGTAGAGCTGGTCCGAAGCGGCCGCGGCAAGGGCTGAGATGTCGTTCATTCCAGAGCCGCCGCCACCGTTGTTCATCGGCAGCGGGGGAAGGTACGGGTTCGCGTAGTCGTGGCGGTCAAAGTCCATGCCGTAGGAGGGTCCCAGGTGCGGGAGGTGTCCTCGACGTTCGTCGGTCTCGCGGTGCTGCTGTGACTGGTCAGTTCTGAAATAGAGTTCGCTATTGTTTCTACGTACGTCGTCCTCTTCGTGACGAGCAGCCTTCTTCGAGCCGTTCTCGGTGGCAGGAGGAAGATGGATGCGCGCATGGCGAGTAAGCTCGTCGCTACGAGAGAAGCGCTTGTCACATCCGGGGTGGGTGCAGGCGTGAGGCTTTTCGCCGGTGTGAGTTCGAATGTGACGAGTCTGGGGTAATGTCAGTTATCCGTCGGAAAGAATTGGGGGGCCCGCGCAGTCCCCGTATCGCAGCCAAAAACAAACTCACCTGGTGCTCGAGACGGTAGAACGCGCGGTCACACAGGGGACACTTGTACGGCCTGGGGATCTTGCTCTTGTCCATGTTGAGAGCCGCGTCGGTGAGCGCCTTGACCGCTGGGTCGTTGGGGTCGAGACGGCCCGTGATTGGGTCTGGAACGGGAGTAGGAAGCGAGGCGAGAGGATTTTCACCGCTGTTGTTCGAGTTGGAGGATGCTTCTGCCGATGCCATGGTAGCTGGTTGCTGCGACATGGCAGGGTGGTGGTGGATGTATCAAGTGTCGATAGGACGAGATGGATGGATGGATGCTAAACGGAGTGGATGGATGAATAAGAGCGAAAGGAAACTTGTTTAGTTGACGGTGTGGGGCCAATATGCAAGTTTTGGGCAGAGCGAGGGTGGAGTGGGTGGGAGGGCCGGCGGGCGTAAGGGGCGCCAACGGGCCTTGCTTAGTTGATAAGGAAAAACGGAGGCGGCCAAGCGAGGGCGGCGATTCTGATTGCTCGATTCGTGCCTTTGCCTCGAGAGGAACAGATCCAGCGGGGCGAAGTGTGAGAACGGACCGACGACGCCGAGTTGAAGCGAGCGCAGTTGGAAGTGAGGATGCGATGGGAGGTGACAACAACGAGCAGCAGCTGGATGAGAGAGAGATGTTGGGAAAAGTGAAAACCAAGGAAAACGATTGCGGCAGTGGAATCGGTGATGGTAACTCAGCGCGGGGCGCGAACCTGATGGACCTGGGGTGCGGTGGGGGGATAGGGGCTTGTGGTCGAGCGGTAGTTCAGGAGACCCGAGGGCCCGCTGACCCGTACGACCCAGGTCACCACCCAGTCACCCTGCCAACGTGCAACGTGTGTCGTGGAGGCAGACGACACACTGCGACACTGCGCTCGCGGGTGATCGGGGCAGATTCGGCCCTGGCTGCCTCGTGGCCTCGTGGTCTCTTGGCCTATGAGGCTCCGCGCCCGCGCCCCGCCTTTCCCTGTCTCGTCTTGCGCCCTCTTGCCCTCGCCTGCCCTCGCCTGTCCTTCTGCGCGCCCGCCCTGACCCTTGGAGGCCGCGAAGCCCACTCGCCACTTGCCGTCGTGCCGTCCTGTGCCGCCTGCCGCCTGCCTCCTACCGCCTGACTGGGCCACCTGCCTGGCATGCCGACGACGATTAACCTGACCCGATGACCTGACCTCGTCGCTCGCCATCCTTGGCTGCCATGGCTCCATCGCTCACTACTCGCTTTCGCTGGGTGGGCGCTTCCATCTCGACGGAACTGGTCGGCCGTCGCACCATCGGAGCCGCGAGCCGCCGGAACATAAATCCTAAACTCACCATTACGTCGTTGGGATCACTGGAATCTGTCCAATACTAACCCTCATCGGTCTGCTTACACTGCGCACGCTGGGCACAGCGATGCCCATATGCGCACCGATCGATCCAGTTGACAACCGTTTGGCCCTGTCCCCTGCCCGCATCGGGGCACGAGCAATCAGCTATCAGCATGCATTTAGCTACAGCGTTATGGTCTCCACAGCGATATGCGACCGCAGCACATATCCCTCACCCCGGGGATCGGGATAGCTGCGGAGACTCGTGCGGACGGTCGTACTCGAGTCCGCTCACCGTGGGATCTGAGGAGTAGCGCCCGGTCATCGGTCTGGGCACGCTGGATAGATGGGCAAGCACGACCGCATATAGTGCACGAGTGCTCGATGGAGGGCCAATGGGCTGGGGCAGAAGCGGAGAGCGCGGAGCCCACCTCGATAACGATTCGCGCGCTATCTGTCGCAGCCAGTCCACGGGCCACGCGCGGCCCGGAGTGGCCCCATGCGCACCTGCTCAGCTGGCTCAGCTGGCTCAGCGCCAAAATAAACTCATCTAGTGCCGCTTCTAGCGCAGCACCTGGGACCTGACCTGAAAGTCTGAGGGACCGCAGGCGCGAGCCGGAGCCACCTGGCGCGCACCTCGCGCTCTGCACCTGGGAGTCGTGCGAATCCGGCAGCGGAGAGAGGCTGAGTTGCCTGCGATCTGGCAGAGTTTCATGCATCGCCGGCCAGATGGCCGGTCCACTGACCCTCATCTCGCGAGAAACGGCGCGAGCTCAAACTCAATGGGTCACGGCGACCGGGTTGTAGCCCATTCAACATTCATTAGCGTCGCTTAGAGAGGAAGTACCGGGGTCGTAATGGCCGCATGCGCTGGTGCTATTCGGCGATCAACGAAAATTGATTCAATACACCTGTTGCCGTGCGATGGCCGGTGTCGTGCTTCGGCTGGCATCGGCGTAAATCGTCTAATGGGCCGATGATCAGCTCAAGCATCTTGGCGAGGCGACCGATGGCCGCCCAGACACAGACATGCCCAGACAAGCGGGAATGACGTTGCGGGATCCTTCCATGCTCGATCGCTGCATACCAGACTTGACTCTTGACTCCTGCAGGTAGCGCTGACGTGCTACGGAGCGACGACAGGGAAGGACGGTGCGGGGCAGAACGGCGGTGATGGACGGAATGTCGTGGTCTGGACTTGGGCCCTTAGCCCTTCGTGCCATTCCAGCACCCAACGGGGATCCGGGGCATCAGCGGGAAGCTGAGCGGACGACTGTTTGCAATCTCCGGCGTCGCCTTCTCGCTCTATGCACTAGGCGCAGCGCCCGTGGGCGAAGGGCGCCCTTACGTGGTAGGGGCCCGATGAGCGCATGCACGCCCGCCCTATGGCATTGAGATCTGGCCCCTCGATGACATGTGTCAGCATCAAATTTTTCCCCGTACCCCGGCGACCCCGTTGGTCTCGTATGCGGGTTGCGGCAACGGCGACCTCTGAGCGTCCGGGGCCGACGCAGGCCACGAACATGTGATGAAGTCCCCGCAGTGGCCTCCATCTCGACGGTGCTTGCCGCCCCTCCACGGCCTCCAGATCGCAAATCTTGGCAGCCATGGCGCCCGTGGGAATGCTGCTCGTTTGTCACCTCCACGTGCTGCAGCTTATCCACTCCTCCCGTCAAGGATCGGCGTCCTTTCCCACGGTCCCATTCTTGTCTGGTCTCAACGAGGCCGTGCTTTCCCACGATCGATACCGTCTGTCCTTGATGAACTTTATCCAACCCCCCTGTTGCCACGTGGGATGCCTGCCTGAGGGGACGAGCATCCACCACCACCACATCAACAGGCTGCAACAAAGTTCAAGTCCCTTCCCCAGTCTATCTTGTCGACACCTTGCTGTTACACCTTGCAGCCAGCGGCATGGCCACACCCCAGCAGGACCAGGCGACCGCGACCGTCCTTCAAGCGCTCCAGGCGCTGTACCACGACCCAGACTCGAACGCGAAGAAGAGGGCGAACGAATGGCTCGAAGAGTTTCAGCACAGCGTGAGTGCACCAATCACCAGTGACGTCTTCGGTAGCCAAACAATCGAGATCGGGCGTCACCATGCCGACCCATCTCGCGACCCGAGGCTGAGCTACCTGATCTACCCCTCAGCAAACTCTTACGACGTGGAGGGAAGGTGCTAACGTCAACAGACTGAAGCATGGCAGACGTGCCACACGATCCTCGTGTCTCCAGACGCCCCGCTCGAGGGCCGTCTGTTCTCGGCACAGACGCTGAGGTCCAAGGTAAGCTGCCTGCTCACTCAGAGAAGCTGACAACTGCAGATTCTCTATGACCTTCCCCAGCTTCCCCGCGACGCGCTGCCATCGCTTAGGGACTCGCTACTCAACGCTCTCGGGCCCCTTGCGCTTCCCACAGCACCGGCGGGGTCAAAAGCGGTTCTCACCCAGCTCTGTCTGGCGCTCGCCGACCTCGCGCTGCAGATGCCGGAATGGACCAACGTTGTGCAGGGCATGATCGAGCAGTTCGGCAAGGAGCCGGGAACTGTCGTGGTCCTGTTGCGCTTCCTGGGTTCGCTGGCCGAGGAGTCGCTCAACACGCGACTTCCGAGACTGGTAGGCATCGAAGATAGGGGATAATCGCTGACCTTTCTCAGCCTGAGGGTACGGACAACTATGACGAGCTGGTGTCGGGCTCCGCGGAGGCAGTTATCAACGTTCTCTCGATGTACATCCAGGCGGAGGGTGAGTGCTTCCCTGGCGATCGATCGGCTAATTCTTTCAGGCCTTACTACCCAGATTCAGTCGTCGATCTTTGAGACAATGCGAAGCTGGCTCCGCGCCGGCGAGTTCCCCACCAGCGCAGTTGCGCAGAGCCCGTTGTACCCGGCCATGTTCGCCGCGCTCGAGTCCGACCAGCTGTTCGACGCCGCGGTCGACGTCATCTGCGACCTAATACATGAGACGCAGGAGATCCACGACAACATGCCGCTGGTTCAGGAGATTATCCCGCGCCTCATCGCACTTGGGCCGAAGCTGGAGCAGTACCACGACGATGCCGACAGGATACGAGGATACTGCCGCATGTTCTGTGAGGCGGGCGAGTGCTACCAGGACATCATCAAGTCGCACCCGAGAGAATCCCTGCCTCTCGTGGAGGCGATTCTGAAGTGCACGGCTTACGAGGATCTGGATATCGTCCCGATCACGTTCCAGTTCTGGTGGATCTTGTCCGGAATGGTTGACAAGAGTGCGGACGAGACCTGGGGACCGTACTACGAGATCTTTGCCAAGCTCCAGACGATCATCATCGGACACCTGCACTTCCCCGGCGACAACGAGCAGCAGACTGCGCAGGAGCGTGACGAGTTCCGCTCCTTCCGACACCGAATGGGCGACACGCTCAAGGACTGCTGCAAGGTCCTCGGCGCGCCGACATGTTTACGCCGGTCATACGACATGGTCGTGGAGGCGATGGCCAAGCCGAACCCGTCGTGGCAGGAGATTGAGGCCCCGCTGTTCTCCATGCGATCAATGGGTGCCGAGGTCGATCCGGATGATGACGAGGTTGTTCCCCATATCATGGAGATGCTGCCGAAGCTTCCGGACCACCCGCGCATTCGCTACGCCGCCATTCTCGTCATCTCGCGTTACACGCAGTGGATCGACCGTCACCCGCAAAACTTAGAGTTCCAGCTGCAGTACATCAGTGCCGGTTTCGACATGGCAGACGACGAGGTGTCGGCGGCTGCTGCCCAGGCCATGAAGTTCATGTGCCAGGACTGCAACCAGCACTTAGTCCCGTACTTACCGCAGCTGCACCAGTTCGTCACGACTGTCGCCGACAAGCTGGACCAGGCGGATATTCTGGAGGTGTGCGAGGCTATTGCCTACGTCGTGTCTTCCCTGCCTTCCACCGAGGCGGCGCAAGCTCTCCAGCAGTTCACCCAGCCTCTCATTGAGAAGGTGCAGACTGTCGCAAACGCTCCTGGTGAGGCCAGCAAGCAGGACCTGCAGAAGACGGCGGACACCCTGGAGCAGCTGGACGCTTACTTGCAGGTGGTTAGGACGCTGGACCCTGTCCCGGAGTCTTGCTACCCGACCGCTGCGACGCTGTACTCAGTGTTCGACGCTCTTCTTGCCCGCTACGCCAAGCTATACTACATCAGCGAGCGTGTCGGCTCGATCCTTCGACGTGGTCTGGCCTTCTTCCCGGTGGCTGCTCTGCAGCCTGTCGTTCAGCCTGTGCTCGACCGTATGGCGAGCTCCTTCGCCGAGACTGGATACGCCTCCTACATCTGGATCACGGGCAAGGTCGCGCAGAAGTTTGGAGACGTTGTCCGCAGCCCTGGGAACGAGGCACTCGCTGCCCTCCTCATCGCTGCCTTTGAGAACGTCACGGCATCCCTGACGAAGCTTTTGCAGGTTAAGGACGCTGCGATTATTGCTGATGGTGAGTTGCTTTGGGTAGTACACTAACTGACATCCAGTCATGGACGACTACGTGCACTGCTTCATGGCGTACCTGGCGTCGATGCCTCAGCAGACGCTTGCCAGCCCTGCTCTGTCGCAGGCGGTGTCGCACACGCTGGCCGCTCTGCAGTGCCCGGCGCCGGAGACGGTACTCGTGTGTCTCGACACGCTGGCGATGCTGGCGCAGGACATGAACCAGCCTCAGTACGCAGCGAGCGTGCAGCCGGTATTCGCGCAGTTCGCCAAGCCGATCTTCACTCAGATGCTGAGTGGTGTGGTGAGCGGATTCAGGGAAGACGGTATCGAGCAGGTACCGGTCATCTTCCAGGCGGTTCTCTCGAGCGTACCGCCGGCTGAGAGCACGCAGTACGCCGGTGAGGCTCTGAACCTGATTCCGGGCCACAACCTGCCGCAGCAGGAGAAGGCCAAGTACCTGGAGGAGCTGAACGGTTACCTGGCACAGGGCTCCCCTTCGCTGGAGAAGGTCAAGCAGATCACGGTGAACCTGCTGCGCGCCGCGCGGCGTGCACGCGAGCGGGCGAGGCAGTCGCGGAAGAGTCTCGGCGGCGTATAATCACAAGGTGTTTGTATCAACTGTCCACAAGGTAGATTACGGTTGCTTTTATCGTCACGGCGGTTATCAGGAGACGACAGAGATACCCAGAAAAGCACTACGGAATCAGTGTCACATTACTCATGAGTAGAGAGAGGAGATTCGGACGACCACGACGCACAACGAGGTAGTTCCTGGGCCTACGGGGCCCACCAGCATGCTAGCACCACCACGGCATATTTCTAGAGATAGAAGTAGAGACACCATATAACCACATTGACACGCGATGCATGTGTGAGACGCGACGCACTGTCGCGCTTCAGAGCAGCCTTGGTCAACCTGCTGCGCTTTAGCCCTTTGCTGCGATCTAGCGCCCTACGCTGATCGATCTGTCTCACCGATCGACTAGCCGGCTTGTGACTGCGCAAATCTACCATTCCGCATATCCGCATGCCCTTTTGCCCCACAGTAGGGCGTCCAACTGTCCATGCTTGACCTCGTCTGTGCCCGTGTCAGCTTGCAAACGTCACAACCGAGAGCTTGAACGTTGTCCTCCGACATCGGCCCCCGCAAGTTGTGCACTTTTGGTTTGGGGAACTCGGCGTTCTCCGTGATCCGGCAATTAATGCTCTCGGCCATCCGGCCGGCATCTTCAGAGTGCGAATGGCATGACGTCTTTCCGCGCACCGGTGGGCCTGCGAAAAAGGTGTTCGGCAGGTTGGGCCAGAGTGAATGCCGGACCTCGAGGAATGCTGGGTACCTTTTGTGAGCGGGTTGTTCACAGACCCGCGCATCGAAAGCTGGCACCGGTCCCAGCGTGCGACGCATGCGACGCATGGAACGCACCGCATGACCATCAGGCATCCTTTGACGTGACTGCTCATCACACACGCTCAGGCCTCCCTTCTCCTAGCTCTCCTCCGGGCGCAGCGAACCAGCATCGACACTGGACGCCGAGACTGAATACCTGGCGCACCCTCCCTCGGCCCCCTCGACCGCTTACCCTGTATCTGCCCCGGGCTCCGATCACACAGTCCAACCAAGCCGGTGAACCACGACCGAAGCTAGCGAAGCTGTCCAAGTCTTGTGACCTTGCACAGACACCTTGGCCTTCCTTTATCAACCTTTAACCGATTCGCACGCTCTTGCGCTCCTGCGCTCGTTTGCCCACCATATCCTCCTCACCTGAACCGAAGCGACGCAGAATGTCGGCAACGACAACGACGAGCGCAGCCCCTCCCGCCCCCGCGGCCACCGTCGCGGCCTCCGCGAACGCAAACGGTAACACCACCAAGCGCGTCGCGGTCATCACTGGTGCCGGCCAGGGGATCGGCGCGGGCATCGCCGTGCGCCTCGCCAAGGACGGGCTCGACCTCGTCCTCTCCGACCTGCCCAGCAACCGCGAGAACCTCGACAAGGTCGCCGAGGAGTGCCGCGCCAACGGCGCCAAGGTTGTCGTCAAGGACTGCGACGTCGCGGACGAGGCGCAGGTCAAGGCCCTTGTTGAGGCCACAAAGGAGCTGGGCGGTATCGATGGTGAGTCACCCCTCTCCTGCTCGATGGTCGGCTCCGCAGAGTCTCCGCTCCGCGATGGCGGCGAACGCACGGCCATCAGCCCTGTACCCTGCAGCAGCGACTCACCTCCTTCCTCTTCTGTCGTCTCGGGTTTCCCGGCGACCACTGGACCGGGCCAGCCAGCTACCTGATCCCTATAAGCTTACCGAGCTGACCCCAGTCATGGTCGCAAACGCGGGCATCGCGCCCATCTACCGTTTCGTCGACACGCCGATCAGCGCGCTCGACCAGGTGTACAACGTCAACGTGCGCGGCGTGTACCTGTGCTACCAGGCCGCCGCGCGCGCCATGATCGAGCAAGGCCGCGGGGGCAAGCTGATCGGCGCGGCGTCGACGGCAGGTCTGCGCGGCGCGCCCAACTTTAGCGCCTACTGTGCCTCGTGAGTGGGGACCCCCCTTCTCTCTCCTGCTTCCCATCGACAGAGGTTGAAGCTGACGCTACAGGAAACACGCCGTCGCTGGCATCAACGCCGCGGTCGCTGAGGAACTCGCGCCGCACGGCATCACGGCCAACTGCTACGCGCCCACCATTTGCGAGACGGACATGCTCACGCGTATCGACAAGGACCTCTCCGCCATTGCGGGTGCCGAGGCCGGTGCCTTCATCGCCATGGTGAGCCCTACCCCTCCCCTCCCCGATCGATCCGTCTTCCTCTCCTCCCTACTTCCTAGCTCCAGTGAGCTAGCAAGAGCTAACCCGCAGCGCAAGGCTGCCCACCCCATGGGCCGCAACGTCAAGGTCTCGGACGTCACGGACACGGTGTCGTGGCTCGCATCTGAGGGATGCAAGTTCGTCACTGGCGTGCTTGTCCCCATTACTGTGAGTTTGCAGCTCTGAATCGGAACTGACAAGCAGGGCGGCGTCATGCCTTAACCGGTTTCGTTCTGTCAGGCTGTTCTCGTTTCCGTTTGTTCCGGAGTTGCAGGTCGCGGTCAGAAGTAAGGCGTTAGTCCAGGTCCGAAGTTTAGTAGTCTCCATGTTCATGCCAGAGCTCTCTTCCACTTGTGGCACACTGCTGAACCCTGTACATACTCCGCTGACCTTGTGGCGATGTCTACAACTCCAAAAGTCATTCACAGATACCCCAGGCCGCTAGCAGCGCTCGCAGCTCTTGCACGTACACGCGATGCCGCGCGAATTAATCTGCTCGTCCTCCTCACACTCCTTGCTCTCAAAGTACTCCTCGAGCGTGCCAAACGAGACATTGCTGTTCGGGCGCATGGCGGTCTTGATCTCGGCAGCGTTCGGGCTGCCCTTGCCGGGGTGCCACAGCTGACGGATGAAACCTGTCGCGGCGTCACAGCGCAGTGCGTCCATGACGAACTTGGCGAACGCCTCGTCCTCGGGCGAGAGATAGCTGAGGGGGACGCATCCGATGAGACTCGAGACGAGCGTCTGCGCACCGGCGGCGGAGGGCATGGAGAAGGCTGGGTCGATGGCGGTGGTGTCCATGAGAGCGTCGGCACGGACGACGAACGAGCCAAGGAGGTCCAGCGCAATTGTGTCGATACCGTGGATCTTGATCTTGGTGTTGGCGCTGCGTCCGGGGATCGTAAGCGAGTGCAGGAGCTCGAGCAAGGCGTCGGGCAGGTGCGGGTCCTTGGTCGGGAAGAGGACGTCGACGACGCGTGCACCGTGCCAGACGTGGAAAACGACGTTGATCTCCTTCACACCGGGGAACTGGCCCTTCAGGCTGGGAGGAGGGATCAACGAGCACTCTGCCCCGTCGAGCGGCAGGTAGAGGCTGACACGCTCCAGGTTTGGCGAGCTCCAGGAGAGATGCCCGGGGATCGGCGGCCCGCGCCGATCCAGGTTACGCAGCACGAGCTTCTGTGCGTTCACTTGCAGGAATGGGCATGGCTTGACGTCGGCACCGTCGCAGGCCGGAATGAGCGCTCCGTCCGCCGAGACGTTGGGGACGACGCGGAGCACCTCGACGTTCGGGAAGAACGACGCCACATGGGCACCCCACAGGGCGCACACACAGCGGTGGTGCGAGGTGACGGTCAGGACGCGAACGTAGCGCAGCAGCTGGAGCTTGAAGTTGCGTGTCTTGCGCTTGCGACCGGGACCGGAGTGTAGCGCCCCAATGGTGCGGTCGACGAGGTGGGCGATGAAAGACTTGATCTCTTTGTCAGGCAGAGGTGGCAGACGGGCGGCTATGAGCGCCGCCTTCATTTCCGCGACTGCCGGCGAGGCCGCCGCAACTCCAGCTTTCTTGCCTGGCTTGCCCTTGCCTTTGACGGGGCGCTCTGGGGCGGTAGAAATCGTTGACAGCTTCCACAGGCAGAAAGCTTCGTCCCATGTCTGGCCCTCGCACGGGTGGTAAGCGTTCAGCATGGCGCGGCGAGCCGTGTCGTTCCCGACCAGAGCGCCGCTGAGCGGAGCACCGCACCCGAGATACAGGTGACGGTAGAGAGCCTTGCCTGCCGACTGGAAGAAGGCGTAGTTGACGCGGAGGGCTGAGAGGAGCGACGGCGTGTCGAGGGCAGCGCAGACGAGGTCGGTGATGTGGTCGATGGCGAGTGCGCGCGACGCAGCACTGAGTGTGGCACTTCCGATGTCGTCTGTCGTCCGTGTCGGAGACCGCATTTGTGACGCCGAGTTGTTGACGATGGGACCCATCGTGTAGCGGTGAAGTGATGGTGGGGGAGCGTCGGCGTCGTGCGTGCGCTGAATTTTATAGCGACGGCCCACCAGATTGTTTGGATCCGGGGGAAGACACACAAAACGGGGCGTCAAGCTGACTCGACCGCTGCGCGCGACGGCGCGGTCACAGGCGCGAGTACTGTCTGATACACGGTCCCCCGTCCAGCCCATGTCGATCCGAATTGACCAGTTTCACGCGATCCTATACAGCTATACAAGAGCACAATAGGAAGCGACGATCCGCTCGATTGCAATAACAGCACAGGGACGAATCTAAATGCAATAACATGATGAAACACTACCAAACCGGGATCTATACACCTCGTAGCAGATTAGGACCTCATGCCCTTCTTTTTGTTGGTCAGGCTGACGCGGCCGCCGTTCTTGCCCGCGCGTTTGGCAGCCTGGCCGATGGGAACGTAGGCGTAGGGGTCGACGCCGTCCTTCTTGACATCTCCCTTTCCGCGCTTGCTGCGGAACTCCTCGCCGAGCCGGCCGATCGACTTCTTCTTCTTCTTCTTGGCCATCTTGTCGTCATCGACGTCCATGAGACCCTCCTCGCGCTCCTCCTCACGAGCGCGCTTCGTGTTCTTGTTGAACTTGAGACCACGGCTGGTGCGCGCCGCACCCTCGATGCCACGCATGGCCTGCAGATAGGCATTGCCCTCGTCCGCACCGTCGTCCATCGGCGAGTCAGAGTCGGAGCCCTCATCCTCGATGACGAGCTTGCCACTCTTGTCCGTCTTGAAGTGCGCGGCGTCCTGGCCAGGCTTGCGCTTGCGCTGCTCTGCCTTCGGGTCGCGCGTGACACCACCAGCAATGCTGCGAGAGAGAAGGTCCATGGGCTCGTCACCCTCGTCACGGATGTACTCGGCCTCAGCGGCGGCGGCAGCTCGTCGCTGAGCACGCTTGCCCAGGGGCTTGACGGGACGCTCGTCCTCGTCACCCTGCTCCTCCTCATCGTCAGAGTCGCTGTTGTAGAGAATGTCGTCAAAGGCGTTGCCAGAGGTCGTCTTGGGAGCCTTGTTCTCCTCCTCGGCGGTCGCCTTTTTGCGCTTAGCACGGTCCTTGCGCTTCTTCAGGTTCTCGATAACCTTGCGCTCGCCACCCTCAGGGGCAAACGAGTGGACGTTCTCGTAGCCGAACTTGCGGAACATGCGCTCGAAAATGTGAATAGTCTTGAGCTTGAAGTGGTTCTTCTGGTCGTGGACCCAGCCGAGAAGGGCGGGGACAAGCGCCTCAAGATGGGGCTCGACAGTCTCCGTGGGAAGAGCGACGACAGCGACCTTGACAAATCCAAGAGCAGACTTGACAATCTCACGGTTCTTCGAGCCGACAAAGACAATGACGGTAGCGACAAGCTCAGAGATGAGCTCGTTCGAGATGTCGTCCTTGAACTCGAAGAGGAGACGCGAGAGAGCGTTGATCGAGGCGGAGATCATGTGAGGGGTCGTTCCAGTGAGACCAGCAGCAACCATAGTGATGTACTCCTGGGCGTTGGCGTCAACGGTGCGCTCAACGAGCTCATCGCTGTCCTCGTCAACGGGAACGGCCTGCTTGACCTCTCCTCCCTCAGCCATCTTGTGACCCATGACAACGAGGAGGTCGAAACCGGCGTCACGAGCCTTCTCGTTGACCTCCTTGGTACCGAGAACGGCCTCAGACAGGAGCTCCGGAATGAGGTGCAGACGGTCCTTGGGCAGCTCCTGAACCAGAGTCGAGAGAAGCTGAAGGCGGTCACGCTGAGCGCCGGGGCCGACCTGGGTGGCGACCTCGTTCAGGCGCTCGACGAACTCCTGCAGCTTGTCACCAGAGCCGGCCTCGCCGAGCTTGCCAGCCTCGAGCAGACGCTTGAGGAGACGGTAAGCCTTCTTCTGAACCGTGGCATCCTCGTGCTCGAGCAGGTCCTTCGTCGAGGTGGCGGCGAAGAGAGAGGCGCTCTGAGCGGCGGGAAGGTGAGGAACGAAGACGATCAGCAGGTCAAGCATGGTGTGGCTGATGGGAGAAGCACCGGGGGCGGGAGCCTGGGTGTTGTCGAGGTTTTGCGAAAGGTGGGAGGCGACAGTGTTGTAGGTCTCGATGATGTCCTTCTCGTCCATGATACCGACCCAGGCGGCGATGACGTCTCCGACCATTCCACGCTGCTCGCGAGGAAGCTTGGAGAAGACGTTGAGCAGGACGGAGACCATGTCCTTGGCAAGAGACTTAAGCTTGCCAAGGTTGGCCTTGGCCGCCTCCTGGTCAATGCCAAACTGCTTGCGGAGCTCAGCGGGGTCGGTCGACGAGTTCAGAAGAGTCTGGGTAGAGTTGACGAGCTGGAGGAGCGAGCGAAGCAGCGGCGAGAGAAGGAGGGGCTGGGTGTAGAGAAGGTTGGTGATGAGGGAGAGGAAGGGCGTAGACAGACCCTCCTGCATGTCCCGGGGCATCTCGCAGAAGCCGGGGAGACAGTCCCAGATCTGGCCGACGAGAACCTCCCAGACCTTGGCAACAGCAACGTTTCCGGCGTCCTCGGCAGCGACCTTGCGCTCGAAGAGACGCTCAGAGAGCGGTCGGAAGTAGTTGGCGAAGAAGGCGAGAGAGTCGTTTGTCGTCTTGTGGCGAATGATCGGGAGGAGATGAGCGCGGCCAGGCTGAGGAGTCTTTCCGCTCGCATCGGGCTCGATGTTGAGGGGCAGCGCACGAAGGACGCCCTCGACACCGATGACCTCGACGGCAGCGCCAACGACCTCGTCCACCTTGTCCTTGGCGTCGAAGCCCTTCTGCGTTCGGAGATCTCCAACCTCAGTGATGAGAGGGAGAAGAAGCTCCTCCGCGGCCGTAGGGGCCGTTCCGCTGGGGTCGACAGCGGGCTCGTCGGGAAGCAGGCGGAGGCGGAGGCGGGAGATGAGGGCGGAGAGGATGGTGAAAAGGTAGTTCATGCGGAGAGCGTTTGAGTCCAGGGCCTCAGTAACGGCACCGAGAACCTTGGTAAGGAAGGGAGTCTTCTGCTTCTTCCTGGCACCGGGAAGGTGGCTACCGGACCGGAGGTACTGGACGGCGGCGATGATCATCTCGTCCGTGACACAGTAACGAACGATGCCGTCAGCGATCGCCTCCGTGGCAGCCTTGCAGACCGCCGGGCTCGTGGAGGCTCCGAGAAGAACGTCGTTGAAGATGTAGTTAAACGCCTTCGGAAGGTAAGCCGGCAGGTTTGCGGGGTCCTGCAGGGAGAGCTTGATGAGGGCGCTGGACAGGGCAGAAAGGTACGCCGGCATGTCACCAGACTCGGGTGGCGACGCGAGGAGCGAGTCAATGACCTTGGTCAGGTTTCCGATGACGTGAGGGGTCGGAGAGGCCGAGTCGACTGGCGGCGGGGAGAGAAGGTGAGACAGGAGAGAGTAGACCTGGTTGGTGAGGTGCGGGTGGGGCGGGAGAGCCATGAGAAGCTGGCAGAGCTGAGCAAGTTGCTGGATCGTTAGCTCGAGACAGTGGGACGCAGCTCACCTCAGTACCCCAAACGGCAACCCATCCCCTCAGTCCCTGCACAACGTGAATAGCCTTCTTGCCCTCGTCCTCATCGTTGCCAGCGAACCTGGCCTTCTTCTTGCTGCTCTTGCCCTTGACCTCATCCTCAAGCGCCGACGTAACCCACTCGCGAGCACGGGGGAGGTACGGGTGAGCTCCCGGCACCACGCGAGGGGGAACGGGGGTGCAAAGAACCTTCCGGACGCCCTCCTGCGCGAGATGGCGGACCTTGGGTCGCGGGTCGAGGCACAGCTCAAGGACGTAGTTCCAAGCCTTCTTCAGAAGGGGGTTGGAAAGCGACGTCGGCGTGGCGAAGAGAAGGAGGGAGGTAACGATCTGGAGGAGACTTCGGAGGGCGGGAGGGTGGGCGAGGGCGGTGCTGAAGAGGGGAAGGAGGCACTCAAGGAGCGGGCTGAGCTTGGCGAGAACGACGCTGGGCGGCGTCTCCGGCACAACAATCGCGAGGAGGTAGAGGGTTGCGGGGATGAGGTCGCCACCGTCCATCTTCTCGGTCTCGGAAATCTCCTCTCCCGTCTCTCCCGGGGCAATCTCATCGGAGCAAGCCTTCTCGAGGCACTGCAGAAGCGCGGTGAAGTACGCGGTCGAAGTGTGCGGAAGGGTCGATTTCGGCAGAGTCGAGGAGATGGTGGATTCAATAGCCATCAAAAGCTGGGCAGGCTTCGCCTGGTGCGCCTGTCCAGACGCAGACAGACGTCGCACATTGGCGAGCTGCGTTCCGAAGGACGCTGGTGTCGCCATGATGTCGTGTAGATGCTGTTGTCAACGCAGGGAGCTGCGATCGCCATGCACTGAAACCTCGGTGGACATGACGAACTTCAAAATCTCGGCGGCTCACGTGACTGGGCCTCCACTCCACGCGACAAAGAATCCGCGCCACTGGGTGGCAAACGGTGCCTGAGGGCGGGACTAAACCGAAAAACGCGTCTGTTTCTACGCGATGTCAACAACGACGAACCTTCGCACCGAACGAGTACAACCACCTCCAAAACTCGATTTCTTGTGCAGAAGAGCTCCTCAAGATTCCAAAAACGAAAAGGAGTACATCCAGGGGGAATCGAACCCCCACCGCATCGATGGCAACGATGCATGATACCATTTCACCATAGATGTTAGGACGTCTCAGAACCACTTCACCATCGCTGCTCGCGTTGGCCGATTCTTCGTGACAGCGGAGCGCGAGTGTCCCTATATGCTCGCAATGTTGAGGTGGCAGGTGATCTTGGTATCTGTACGAGCGGCTCTTTCTGGGTGTAGTTGGACAGGCACAAGCTTCTTCGACTGGTCGAGAGCTGGACGTGAACTCTCCTTGCGACACATGGTACGGCAACTGCGACGGAAGGATCGTCGGCCTACTGCACGCTCTGTGGGCTACAAGCACAACTCATCAAGGCTTTAGGGTAGGGGGAGCGAGATGTCAGTATACACCCCACTGACGTCTCAAGGCCGGCCATTCGCGACCACCCTGAAACCGTATCTGCGCCATCGGATGTCGCCGTTGGCTCGCTCATTGTTGTTCCCAAAGAGTCGTGGCCAGCGTTTAGAGGTATCAGCGCTTGGTCTTCAGGATCTTCGTCGGAGCGCATCAGAGCCATCAATCGTTCGGGTTAGCGCACTCATGTCTCGGGACTAGGCAGCCAGGCTCAGAGTTCCGAGCCGCCTGATAAGCTTTCTGGGGTCGAACGATAGGAATGAGCTCACGTATAGTGCTGAGACTGGCTTTACGCATTCCGCGGACGTCACCACCGGCTACTACTCGTGCCGTTGAGAACTCCTGCAAACGCAGGACGGGGCAAATCGCCGAAAACAGTGAAGTCGGCGCAAACTCGTCGCACGACCCGTTCAGAGCAAAGTGCCACATGCCTCTCGAGCGGCTCTCTTGGGCGATGACCAGGCACGTGACCTCTCACGTCGATCGCAGATCAGGACTGTCTCCTCCCAGGAGTAAAAGAAGACGTCCCCAACCTCTGCAACGGAGGGAAGAGCCGCAAAAGAAGATGCTAGATGCCTTCTACCCGAATCGAACGGGTGACCGTTCCATAGTCCGATGTTACACCGCTACTAGTGGAAAATTCTAGCCACTGAACTAAGAAGGCCAACCTGTCAACGACCAACTGCTGAGGATGGAGTACAGCGGCCACTGAGAGTTCGCTCGGATCGCGCGGTTCTACGCCTGATCTGGACTGCAGGGCAACCAGACGTGATGACCAGCTGACCATGGAAGTGATGAAGGTTTTGCGCAGATGATGTGCGTGTGCTGCGTTCGGAACCGACCCGCACAAGCGATGACTTGAAGAGTTCATTTCAGCGCAGGTAGCATTGATGACGCGCACTTAATGCAGTCCGGCGCACGCCAAGAACAACTGCGCCAGCGGCGACGCAGCGATGCGGTCATGCGACTGTGCAAGGTATAGACTCGACTGCCGTCCGCCGCAGGCAAACCTAGCTGAGCCCACTTATGCGGTGATCTTCCGTTCCTCTTTTGTGCCTCTTCAAGATCGGCCTCCTGTATCCAGAACCATGCGCAGCTCGCAAGTGAGGCACTTCATTCTCGCAGAAGTGGTAACTATGAGTGCTGGTGGACAGGCGCGAGAAACCTAAAGCACAGTTGCATCAGCTGACTAACGGCCATCCGTCCGGCGAGCAGAATCGCGGCCAGGACGTGAGAGCGCCCAAGGGGTGTTTCACGGATGCATTGTTATCTGGAGCGATGGGGCGCTGGCTTGCCTCCTCAAACCACTCTGCGTCCCAGCTGCGTGCCTAGCAGCTTAATGGAGTTTGCGCGAAGCTTGCGAACTCCGTCAGTTGTTCTCCTCGCAGAAACAGGCTCAAGCTCGACCCCGTTTCAGGACTTGATCTTAAGTGTCGAAAAACTCCGTCTGAACCTCAGCATAAGCTCAGACTTGTTCGTAGCCACGGCTGAGATCGAGTTCAAACGCATGGCGGCCAGTTGAAACTGCACCCAGGCCAATACGTAATGATGAGGCGATCTGGTAATGTTCTGCGACTGATCGGTTTCGAGGCATTCGAGGGTACTTCCTACCCTGTTGGGAGTGCGGCGAAGACGGCGGCGGCCGCCCTATCGACTGTCCTGCGGAGGGTAAGTTTCGCAATGCGATCGTTTTTCGGTGCGACAAAATCGACAGGAAAGCGTCGTCGTCCAGCCGTAGATGCACAGAAGGACTGCGGCTGGAATGAATTGCTAGGGCTGAAGCTACGCGAAGGGGCTGGGATCCTCCACGCGAGCTGGAGTTCTCCAACTGACGTGCACACAGGGGGCATACCAGCTTGGTAAGCTCTGCAGCGAAGCTGGGTTTGCGGTTCCATTACCTTAGATTGCAGGATTGCGTACTCCCCGTGGTGATCGCGCCGCTGCACCGGTAGACTCCCAAGATCGAGTGAGTGTTCGAGAGCTTCTGCAGAGCTGTAGGCACGGGAATAGCAGCAGGGTGCAGTCTTTGGAGCAGCCTCTTCAGTTCCACTGCAATGAAAAGCAGGGAGAGGCGCCTCTGCATATCGTAACAGGCACTATGGGCGTCATTTTGTTCATATGTTTCTGCCATTGAGTGGCACGATCAGCACTTCCAGCATGGCTTCACCAGAACATCACTGCCGCCGATCGAGATCCTGATCGGGCACTTCTAACAATTGCATGAGGTGGGTTCGGCTCATTCCTGCACTAGTAGAGGTGGGTAGTCACTGCTTAGTACGAAGCCGTAAGCCGGCCAGCACCTGGTTGAGGCCGGCATTCGCCGTTTCACTGCATGAATGTGGTCAAGCGCAGGACTCCGGGGCGGTGTATATCCTCACCCTGCACACGCGCTATCCACCACCGAGCCACGTCCGGTCGAATTGAGTAAACACACCTGCTTACCGCGGTTTTGGATACTCGTTCCGCTGATTTTGTATCTGGAAACATCCTGCATGCAGGATCATACAGGAATCATTGCAGGACAAGAGAACGCCACCCGCCGTTCCGACACTCCGATACACATTTATGAAAGCGAGCTAGCCGGGTCTGGTGCGGGGTCCGCCATTCTGGGCCACTCCCAAGGCTCGGTACATTCTCAAACGCCTGCATAATGAGCACAGCAATAAGGAGAGTAGAGCGGCCTGGGCCGCTAGCGCTCCCAGACAGGGGTGCACCATACCCGGTCACGATGGAGTCCTTTAATTTACATGTTCACTGCGGGTGTTTACTCGGCCTCAGTGAGGAGGTCGTTGACCGCTGATTTGCAGAGAGGGCGAACAGTACTGCATGCCGGCTTTTCGGTCACATCAAGATGCCCCAGTGACAACGGCTGCACCGATAACGGCAAGTGCAGCGAGCCCGGCAACGGCTGCCCCGACCGAGGTGACTGCACAATCACCCGCCGAGCTCCCGGCCGCCAAGGCTGACGAGATCGAGAGGTCAAGCCGCCTCCCGCCCAGCCCGGCATTCGCGGTAGTGGGCACGGACAGTCGTGAAGATCACAGACCGTCACGCTCGTGCTTAAATTGCTTTAGCAGCGAGCGTGCCGTACTAGCTGTCTGGAAGCTTTCAGCCTGACGACCATCCTCTTGTCTGGTCTCAGCCTCAACTCGCGTCAACTGTGCTCGGTCTGACACCAGCGACCAGAGGTGACACGAGCTTCCATCATGGCCACCTCATGCCAAACCTGCGTGCCCCAAAGCTTCGAGAGATGCACTCTGACACATCAGATACAGAGGAGACGCCATTCACCCTGTGCATGGTGTTCAGTCATTACGAGAGGTAGAGGACTCTAGCAGGAGTCGACCAGGAGAGGGGAACAGGGTGGTGTTTCAGAGGACGAAACGGCGGCAATGCCGCTCTTGCACCCTCCTGCTTCCAATCGGTTTTGCGATCGCGTCTCGCCAGTCAGTGCACTCTAGAGCGAACACAGACCGAGAAGATCTCCATACTGCAGTGCTGAGGCTGTCCCGGCGGCGAGTGGGAGTCCAGCGGCTCAGTGCCCGCTCCCTCGCACCCTGTGACGACAGCGGGTACGCACTCTGATTGCATTCGTTCGCAATGTTTGGCCGCCGTTTAGCTCCAACGCAGAAGACACAAACACGACCCAGAAATCTGTCGCCGCCAATGATGTGTCTGGGCCGAGTGGTGGGGAAGAGTGCGTACGACGGGGGACCTGGAGAGCGTGGCGGTTGCGAGCCGCGGAAGCGAGCGTCGATGAGCTTGTTTCCCTCCTTGCGGAGCGAGCCCGCGAGAACCCGACGCTGGGGCCGCAGACGTACGCACGTAGAGCACGTACGCCCCGTGGGCCAGTTACGGCTCCAATGCCTCTTGTAGTTTTCACCATAGAGCAGAGGAAGAGCGAGGCGACCCCTTATGCATCATTTCGGTCCAACCTTGTTACGCTGGATCCTTGTTTTGTCTTCCTCGTCTGCGGGTCGAGTGTCCATTGCCGCCCTCTTGGCCAACCAGCAAGCCCGAGGAGGTCAGGAAGGCGTGTTTCGAATGCTCGCGTGCAGAGCTTCAGGTGTGCAGAGAAGCAAAGCTGCAGAAGGGACCAACGTCCTGGTACGCCCTTGCCCGGGGCCTGGCCTGAGCCGCCCCAAAAAGGTTCACCGACTCAATGCATGAAAAAGCGCCTGACCGCGCCTCGCCGTTCTGGCGGGACCGTTCGCCGCAAGGAGAATGCACCGAAAAAAATCGAAGACGAAACCGACCGGAGCCTGGGCGAGGGGAACGGGCTCCGGCGGGCTGACGGGCAGGTTGGGGGAGCCTAGCAATGGCACAGAAGGAAGGCGCCTCCAGGTGCTTCTACGTAAGGAACACGGTCACATAGAGTTAGCAGTTACAGCATTATTAAGAAGCTTGTTCGCCCCTATGGTCGTTGTCTGGGGGCGTATCGAGGTTCTTGTCGGGTGTTGACATCATGCATCATGCATCTTGCGCTCAGTGCTACGCACTGCGGGCGTATCGGGAGCGAGGACTTTCGGGCTCCGGCCGGCTGACGTCGCTCTTGAGACATCGCGAACGAGGCACAGCAGCGACGCGGGGTCCTGCCAGTGGTCAAACCTGTACGAAATATAATGAAAAATCTGGGTCGCATGCTCCTTGTCTCCTGCAATCCCCAATCATATTTGGGTCGGCGCTTGTGTCGCATAAACATGGACGCTACGAGGAGTGCGCATGGAGTACGCAGCGCTGCGTATCCAAAGAGGTGGCTGCTTCCAGAGAGACGGTAGAGCCTCAACTGGGCGGACCGAGGGTATGAATGCGATGGGCCCGAGATGAATGCAGCTTGCAGTGCAAATGCAGCAGCAATCGACCATCAGAGAGTCCCGTCATGTACATCCTCCCTTAAGAGCGAACGCGTGCACGCGTAGCATGCCAGCATGTCTGACCACTGTAACACCTGAGTGATTGACTGAATCATGACTAGCACTTCATACGGGATGGATCGAAACCTGCCTGCAGGGTCGTGGCAGGGTATGGTCGCGGTGTTCTGGTGATCTGCTTCAGCCTGTGTGGACGATGGGCTGGACTCCGAGCTGCAGGGGGGCAGGAGGGCCGAGCGCCCAACTGAATAGGCACCGCACTTAGGCGCCCGGCAGCAATAAGGCGGCAAGGGGGGGGCGTAGGGCACTCACCGCCGCCCAGGACCAGAGACTGCTAGCAACACAGGCACGGCTCGTTACAACCTGAAGAGCGTGTTTCGGACAGGGGACAGGCGCCCCGGCCGCGTAGGACGCCAGCAGACAACGACTCACTGGGCAGCGACCCCTGTTGTTTGCACTGGAGTGGTTCAGACGCCGCTCCAGTGCCCCTTCTCAAAGCGCCGGGGTGAGTGGAATTGGCTTTGGGTGCCGTCATGGCCAGGGCCCACCCAGGGAGGCACTCATTTCCCCTGTCAGAGGTACAGGCCATGCCGTTGATGAACTTTGAGCCGTGATCCAGTCGCCAGGTATGTCATCGAAGCCTGCAGACTCAGTCCCAGGTACACCGGTACACCCACCACTGCCCTGCGTACACTCCTGCTGCAGACCTGCAGACCTGCAGAACCACCGCTCTACCGGCATCCAGGTCCAAGAGCCAGGTCCTGGTCCACCACCTGGCCATCTCCTGGCCTGCGTCGCGAGTCTCGACACTGGAGACATCTCGCCGCAACCACTACTCGGGCGTAAAGTGGGTTCCATTTCGGCGCCCAGGCAGGCCAGACTGCACAGGCTGCAGTGTGCAGGCGATCCAACATTGCTCTCGTCACCCTCACCACTTTCTTTTCCATCACAACTCATCTCTATACCATTTGCTCCAGACTCGCGTACAACCAATATTCCACCACCCGACACCGATATTTCTCGACGCCACCCCACCTCATCATCTCTGACGACCCTCGGCCACTCCCACCATGGCCGACGGCGGCACCACAGCACACCACGGGAGCTCGGAGAGCACTGGTTCCGTGGCGCTCGACCCCGCCATGATTGAGCTGGTCGAGAAACTTAGCGTGACGCCCGAGCCATTGACGCCATTGACTGACTGCCAACTGGCAGACATCTATGCGTCAAAGCGCCGCTCATCCGTACCCCCGTTCCCTCCGCAACTCGAGCTGCAACATCTGTCCAGCACGTCTTCCTCGACCGCCTCCAGCCAAGGCGAACTCACCACTCCCGTCACCATGCTCTTCCCCCTCCCGCCAACTACCGCTGCCGGCGCCGCCGGACGACCACCGCCCTTGAACCTGTCCCATGGAAGTTCCAAGGAGAGTCAGCCCGCCGCTTCGGGTGACATGGGGGCGTTCGAGGGCTCGACCGGCAGTGGTGGCTTGCTGACCCTGGAGATAGGCGATCAGTTCTTGTCACCCACGGCGCATTCCTTTGACTTCGATCGTCTAACTCCCACCTCCACATCATCGCCAACCGTGCCCTCGCTCGATAAGCTTACTGTGCGCCAACAAAAGAGCAGTAGCTCATTAAGTGCGCTCAGCGCCAAGTCGTACCCGAACGGTCTCCTCAGCCCGATCTGCGTCGACACTACCGCGGCAGCACAACAGAGCGAGTGGTCTGCCTCGGCACACTCTTCAGCAGGAGATCACACTACTGTTGGAGACTGCACGACATCTTCCTTTGGACACTCGCCAACATCGCCCCTTTCACCACTTTCTCCACCACCGCCGCTGCCGGAGAAGGACAGCAAGTATAGGAGTATGGTCATGTTCGGACGACAATCGTTTGGCGTTCACGGCGGGAAGGACCAGGAGCAGGCTGTTGCGTCGGTGCTGGACGACCTCGTCGAGGAGGAGACGAACGAATCGGATCCGGAAACGTCACTGGCGACCCACTTTCCCGAGAAGCGGCGATCGATCAAGGACGTCGAGGAGATCATGGCGGACGACCTGAACGACCTGCGAGACGCGTTCCTTCCTCCGGAGACGCGATCGCGATCGCGCACGGTGACTTCCAGATCTGCGACACGAACGAAATCGGTTGGAACATTCAAGCTTCTGGGCACGAACAAACCCGTTCCAGGCCATGGCACCCCTTCGACGTACACGGTGAAGAGCGGAAGGAAGATGGGACGGCGATCGTCCAGCATTAACGGAACTGACGAGAAGCTGCTCGAGATTTGGTCGGCACCGCCACTGCTTGCTGTGGTGGAGGCCGAGACTTCAATCGTGCGCGACGAGAATGGACGGGCCGTGCACTTTGGTGACCTTCTCCCGAAGGGTGTCGCTGCGAGGCAGGGCGCCGGCTCAAACGACTCGCCCAAAGTCGTCGTCATCTTCATGCGACACTTCTGGTGCCCGCTCGGGCAGGACTACATTGTACGCTCGATCTCGCAGCTCGACCCCAGCACGCTGCGTTCGCACAACACACAGGTCGTATTGATCGCCCCGGGATCCTACAAGCTGATCAAGAAGTACCGCAAGCTGTGCCAGTGTCCCTACCCGATCTACTCGGACAGTACGCGGCACTTGTACAAGCTGATGGGACTGTCGGACTTCCTCGGCGACGACAAGCGGTACCACCAGCAGCGACAGAACACGTCGTCGCAGACGCTCAAGAGTCTGCGGAATGGTTTCCTGAAGCTTCCCGGCGACCCGGGAAGCGCGCGACAGCTCGGAGGCGAGTTCATCTTCGGAGCCGACAACGTGTGCGAGTTTGCGCACCGCATGACGACACCGAGCGACCACCTCGAGGCGTCGGCTGTGCTCAGGACAGCGGGGGTCGAGATGCCCTCGCCGCTGTTTCGGTCCGGCTCCACCCTTTCTTCGATTGGCAACGGCATAGTGTGCATTGACAAGGAGCGAAAGGGGTCGTGGGAGACGTCGCGGATGTCAGATGTCGGCAGCGCGTCGGACATGAAGCGTCCGACCAAGCTCGAGCGCGAAAGCGCGACCTGGGACGAGGACACGGAGGAGTATGTCGAGTCGCTGGGACCGATGTCGAGCACGTCTTCGTCGCACCAGCACTCGACCTCGGCACACGGACACCAGCATCATGCGCCGCGGCGTTCTGTCGACTCGCCCAGCCCCGTGCAGGAGGTGCAGATGGAGCCGAACTCGCCCACACGTCCGGTCAAGTCGCCCCTCCGCGCCAGCATGTACCAGCAGCAGCTCCAGCAGCTTCAGCAGTTGCAGCAGCAGCAGACGCAGAACGTGCAGACGATCAACAACCACTACAACTCGTTCGCGGAGAAGCGGGAGCGCGACAAGCCCATGTCGACGTGGTCCTCGTCGAGCTCCTCCGAGACTGGCATCGTCACGACCCCACAGCAGCAGAACCTGCCCCCCATTCACCCCCTCGACGCGACGAGCAGCGAGCAGAAGGACAAGGAGTACGAGGAGCTCGTGCGCAAGTACCGTGCCCAGAAGTGGGGGCTCGCGTACGAGATGGACTAGACACACAACATAACAACAACTGCATACGGACCTTACGCCGCCAAGGACACTCATTCATTTACACAACTTATTCCTTTCTATATTACGTTCCGACCGGGAAGCCCGGTCCGCCATTCACGATCCTCGACGTGCGATCACGATGACGAAAACCTTGTTCTCAAACCCCCAATAGCTTTCCTTGTACTTTTGGTGTCTGTCATGTATGTCGATTGTAGCTGCGGTGACTTGCGAGTCTGAGCTCCAAGCTCGCTAGCCTGGGAGCAAGAGCAAGCGTGAGAGTCGTCACCCATCTTCTGCATGGATCGCTGGAATCGATACCATGGTGTGCAGAAAGACCACCAACAAAGTGGAGATAGAAGACCGCACCATCGGACATGCGCTCGGCTTCTCCGTCTCCTTCGGTGAGCTTCAGCATGCGCTAGCGTGCCGTGTCGGTTCCTCCGTTCCTCTGTTCCTGTTGTTCCTGCCAATTTTCATTCCCGGGCGGACACCTTGTTGCTCCTCAGTCCCGTAGTGATCGAACCGCCACCGGGTGCCGTTTCCAGCTCGGTGGGGACACCGAAGCACCGAAGGTAGTCCGGGTCGTCTGACGGGTGACTGACGCTGTAGAAGGTTTGCATTCCATCCAGTCACCGAGTATGCACGATGCAAGGGCCAGGAAAGGACGTAACTTTGGTCGACGGCAGTGTCTGCAGTGACCTGGCCGCCAGTACGTGAGGGACTTAGGGGAAGGGGAACGGACACAGGAAACGTCGCACTAACTTTCTGTCAGGAACAGACTTGATTTTCGCGCGCTTCTGAAACGAGACGGGCCTGGGACCTGACCTCTGGCCGTGCCTTAGGGATTCGCGAGGAATCCACGCTACATCCTCATGGCATCGTTTCACGTGACTCTAACGGCTGTGTAGGCGGCGTAAATAAGAAAGTTCGCGCCACTCCCAGAGAAGCTCAGAAGCGACGTCATAGCTTCATACCCCGCCGTTTGCCCTACCTGCGCGTCGAGCCTGCATGAGCCTGGGCAGCCTGGGCAGCCTGGAGCTGTGCCCCAATGTACCAATGTGCGTCGCGCGCAGTCACGATTGAAATCGAGAAGCACGCGGGGTGTCCTGATGGTGGGACCGCCGAGAGGGGCGAGCTAAATGCGGCCATGATGAGCTACAAGCGCTTTTGCATCGCACACTCCACCAGCAGCAGCGACACTCACTATGCTCAACGAAAGCGACAAGGTCGAGCTCAAGAACGTCCAGACGCAGCCGGTCGCCGCACCGACCATGGCCGTTGCGCCCGTCACGGAGCAGCCGAAGGCTGGTAACATGAGTGCGTAGGACCACGGCCTTCCCGCATCAGCGTTTGCACGTCTTCTATACCTGTCTCGCCCTTGTCGCCACTCGGTTTTGCCTAATTATCGCTTCTTCGGAATGCGTATCTGCGTTCGAAGGCGAAGAAGTTGGATCGGACAGACCGAGATAGGCACTTGCGTAGCCTCGGTTTTGGCATCCGAGATAAGGACAGGCGAGGGGGCACAGCGCAGCAATTGAACGCGCGCGGCCACAGCTGCAACGACCGGAACAAAGCTGACATCCAGTGTCGACCCAGCTCGAGGAGGACGACGTGCAGCGTCTCCGCGGTGGATGCCCCGGCAAACTCTGCGGTCTCCCCATTCTGCCGTGCCGGTGAGTGCAAAAGTCGGGCATTTACTCTGTATTCTTGCGTGAGAGAAGAGCAGATAAACGTCCTCGTTGCGAAGCTGCAGCAGAAGAAACGAGCTGACGTCCAGTGGATGGGACTGCTGGGTGTTCCCGATTCCCCTTTGTTGCTAAATCTCTTGTATCGTATACACGCTGTCATATGTAATCCTTCTTGTGTCCGGTTCAGCTCTTCAGGCGATATCTGGAGCGCGGGGTCGGCAGAGCAACACCAACTATCGGCCTGAGCGACCGCAGATCGAGCAGCTTACTGCAACTTGCAAGCGTTGGCGTCACAGAGGGCAGCAACTCCGCTCCGCATACTGAGAAAAGATCTGTTGTGGGTTCACGTACGACCCCATTGCTCCAGTCCGTTTTGAAGTCAGTAAATGAATCCTTGTCTTGGATCGTCCCCCTCTGGCCGATCACAATTGACGCCTCCTCAAGCCGCGAAGCCTCAGCTATGACAGCATAGTCCATCAACGGGGTTCATATGTGGCGCGCCGGTCTCAGTTCATGCCCAGGCGCGTCAGGTCCTCCATGAACGTTGGCAAGTGCGGTAGGTGCCCGAAACCTCTTACGAGCCTAAGTGCGCCTATAGGCTCGGGTGTAATCGGCGCACTCCGGTGACCGACCCCGACCTGGTCTGGGGCGGTAGATAGTGACGTTCCGAATCTCGGCAGGCACGGCCGGTATTCTGCAGACTGGCTTATAACCACTTGTCCACTTGACCTGCTCGAGCTTCCCACCCCGATCCCGATCTGACAACTACGGCTCGCACCTCTACGCCTATCTACTCACACACATCGGATTACTTCCTCCGCTCGCACACTCACACGCACACACGCACACGCGCTCGCTCCGCTCCGCTCGCCTAGCCCCTAGCCTCGCACGCTCGCTCCGCTCGCGCTCACAATGTCCGCCTCCACCCTCTTCCGCACCGGCGCCGCCTTCACGGCAACGGGCATGTCGCTGGGCGCCTTTGGCGCGCACGCGCTCAAGTCGCGCTACCCCGAGATGAGCGAGTGGACGCGGCAGTCGTGGATGACCGGCTCGAGCTACCTGATCTACAACGGGATTGCGCTCATGGCCATCTCGGCGCATCCCGGACTCGCGTTTGGCAGCCGCAAGGTCAAGTGGGCCACGGGCGGCATTATCGGCGGCGCCCTCGTCTTCACTGGATCTATTGTTGGGCTCGTCCTCAACCGCGAGCAGCTCGGCAAGATCCTCGGTCCGATGACGCCCATGGGTGGCGTCGCTATGATCGCTGGGTGAGTGTATCGCGATAAGAGTGATGAGTGCATGGAAACTGACGGAAAGCTACATTGCCCTCGCGCTTTAAGGGGCAGGTTACGAGACGGGTAGGGTATGGAAGTGACGATGTACTACACACAATGGACTGCACAAAGGACGAGAGGTGAGAGAGGAGAGGAAGGAAAGAGGGGAGAGCCCAAAAGGATCGATTCGACTGATGGCTTGCGACTTTGGCTTGAGGCTTGGTATTGACTTCTGACTAACTTGGACTTGACTTCGGACCGGAGCTTGACATGGCACAGACACGATAAGAACATGCTGGGTGAGACAACGTGAGAACTGAGGTGCGTAGGCGTACGCTCGGCGAGCGTTGCGAGGTATGTCGGCAGCGGAGTGCGCCGGATTCGCGGGTATTGATGCAGTGGGTGGATGGTCGATGAATCACTGGTTACGCAGGGTTCGATGCTTCTTCCTGGTTAAACGGTTAACCCGGATCTACCGATTGCTGGTTCATACGAGCACGGGGGCGACTGCGGGGAGTGAGCGCGGTGCACGGACCGAGTCGACGTCATGGCGGCGGTGCTCGCTGGTGCGGTGCTCGCGGTGCTCGTTGGTGGCGAGGCCGATGCCATGGGATGAGGCGAGGGCGGCGAGCTCACGCTCATTGATGCGGTCGTGTCCTTCGAAGAAAGTGCCGAGCGCGCGGGCGAACGTCTTGGCGCGGCAGATCTCCTGCCAGACCAGCACCTCAGCTGCCTGCGCAAGTGCGCGGGTCTCCGCCGAGCGCTCGAGCGAAGCGTACGACAGGTGCTTGGCCCCAGCAACCTCCAAGATGCGGTCGAGGAGGAAGAACGCGCAGAACGTGTCGTCCCTGATAAGCGCCAGCAGCGACATGGTGACTGGACCGAGCCCGGGTGGCAAGGTAGGCGAAGCGCCGACGAACAGCTGGACGCGCAGAGTAGAGAGGACGGTCAGGTAGTCCATAGTGATGGCTGGAGAGGCGAGAGGGAGAGAAGAAAAGATAGGGAACTGGGACGTGGTGTCAGTGATGGATGTGCGGCGTTGAGGGACTGAGCGGCAAGGGATGGGAAATGAGAACAAGTGGACGATGGACGAGGATCGAGTGATGGTAAAGTGTTGAAGTGACAATAACGGACACGTCGCTGCTGAGCGCTTTTGAGTGTCGTTGCTGTGTGCATGTGTCCAGTCTGAGGAGGTCACAAGACCTACACAACTGCGTACCTCGATGTAGCCAAAACGCCCTCTAGCCGAACCGGCGGCTACGCCAACCTGGGTAGCGTGATAACGGTGAATCAGCCAGGGGCAGCATTTTGTTGCGGGTGGCGGGAGGGGGCGGGGGTTGAATGTATGGGGGAGATGTCACCTTACCTGTGGGGAATGAGACTGCACTCAACTGTCGTCGTTGATGCAAAAGGAGCGATTGCTAGGAATGAGGATGCCAAAGACGATAAAGATGGTGGGGAAGACGAGGCGTGGGATCGTGGGATTTGCAGAAAGAGGGATCGAGGAGATCGAGATCAGAGGCGGAGTGCGTGTGCCGATGAAACAGAGGCAGTAACGAAAGTGGTGATAGTGAGACTCGGGAGTGAGATCGCAGTCGTATAGTCGTGTAAGGCATGTAGAGAGCAGTTGCCACCACGACATGGCCAAGGGGGTAGAGGGCCGTGCATCCGCCGTCCCACGTTGCCGGGCAAGTGTAAGGTCACCTGTGTAGGCCCCAGATTGCGTTGCTGGGCATCAGCCTCAGCGTCGTACCGGTTGGCCTCTGTAGTCAGTACCGAGAGAAGCAGGCCGCTGCTGAGCCCTAGATTCGAGGGCTACTCAGTCAAAGCGCAGTCTGTGAGTGAGCGCACAGAATGCCATCTCGTCACGAACGCCGAGCAAAAGCTTTGCCATCGTCACTCCTGTTCCAATCCCCGGATCGACAGCTTTGCCGGGCGAGAGAGATGGCCCCAAGGTAAGGGATAGTGCCGTTTCTCTATGCATGCTTCCTGTTCGTGAGAGCGCGGCGAGAGTTCCAGACACAGGGCATGGCGGCAAGGTGCAAGTAATCTGGGAGCACGGTTAGCCCAGTCGGTCAGTCTGAAGGAAATGAGGAGGTCGTGATTGGGGCTGTTGGGGCAGCTCGAGTCGCAAAGTGCAGCGTCGAGTACCGACCGGACGGAGGTGCATGGGTTAACTTCTGAGCTCGTGAAGGTCAGTATATGCAGAGGCGACATAGAGTCGCGGACAGTGTCCTTACGTCCTTGAGGTGTTAGTAGTCGAATTAGGCAGGGTGGCCTTCCTTCCTCGCTTCACCGGGTGGGCTAGTGAGTAACTCAGGCGCAGTCCTTTCGACTGCTGTCCGCTAGATTTGCGCTGGCGCGCATAAGTCCATCGCGCGTCTGATTTGAGAGAGTTTTGATAACTACACCCGTCACACAAGGCAAATGCAATCGACGCCTCACTGTTGCATCCGCCCACTCGTCGACGCCTCACACGCCCACATCAGCTCAGCTGCCTCCCACTGAATCATCCGTCGTTGTCACAACGCCGCGGGAGGCTGTGAGCTCACAGATGGGCGTTGCAAGAACTGCTGACCGCCGATCCGCCGATGACGTATTGTTGGGTGGCCGGGTGGCCACCCGGGCACGAGAAGCACGGACCTGTGGTTGGATCTAGACCGCAAACGGTCAGGCGCGTTTGAAGGAGGATCAGCCGTGTGGCCACGGCACCGGGAGACGTGGAGAGTCAAGCGGGAGATGGCGTGGATGTGTGGTCAGCGGCGTTTGTTCAGTTGTTCAGTGGGGGTGTGACTGGACCGCTCCATCTCTAGTCGGGGCTTGCGAGCTGGCGCTTTCGGGCGTTCGGAGTTCCTGAAGATGAAATGAATCTGCCATTGACGTCGTGCAAGCCCAGTGCATTAGGTTGCAGGACTGGCCAGAGGTGCCCAGAGGGACGTGGTATTGGCGCAGAGCGGGTCGCTGTGGGTGTCGGGCGAAAGTCAGTTCCTCATTCCGCGATTCCCTGATGGGCATCCTGGAATACCAGTCACCTGCGCCCGATTAGACGCCTGATATCACAGGCGGACAGGGCTAAGGGATTCAAACTGACCCGGGGGCATCGTAAGTTTAGCTTCCAGTCTCCAGAGTCCAGCTTGCTGCATCGAGGCACTTTCTAGTACTGGAGTGACCACCGAGGCCTGGACGTGAGCATCAAACTGCCCAGCCCATTCCACCGTCGTCGGACGTGGGGAGTCGTTCAACACAAGCTTACACTGTTACACTTGTTCGACCTCTTCTTTGCCCATCGACAGCTAAACTGCGGCTTACAGCCACTCGACCACTCACGATTCACGACTCCTCGGTCGCCATTCATGACCCCAGTCCCTTAGCCGTCGTCACTAGATTTATCGATTCTTCTTCTGTCACCGAACACTCCATCTACATAATTCGCCGCACCTGCACGCCCCGCGCATTCCCACCTCAACTGCAAACTTTCCAAAGGCGCACAACAGCAAACAGCAGTCGCGCGCGCGCTCCCCCACGACTCACCCTCACCGACCACCATGGTCGCGAGTCTATGGGTGCAGGACCTGGTCGACCAGCCAAGTGGTCCCTCGCGGCAATCCTACGACGATATTCCGATACAATTCTTTGAGCAGGTGCGTCAGCTCTTCAAACAGCTCTCAGTTGCTGGACAGCCCCTTTTTGCTGCCAGCATCTCCCGTCTCATCCAAGTGCATGAGCTCTTGCGATGCGATCGACATTTGCCCGCAACCGCGCAGCCGCGGCAACGGTTCCTGTATTCTGGTGCCGCGCTAACCATTCTAGGCCTACCCGTTTCCAGTCTTGATCTTCGAGTTACCAGCTGGCGCGGTGCGCTTCGCTGAGGCCACACCCGCCAACGGTACTCAGCAGCGTTCCGGTCCCTCAAGCAACTCGCAGAATAAAGGTGTCGAGCGGCGGCCGGACGAGGCGACTGCCGTTGAGGGTTGCCCATTACCGGACGCAGCTTTGAAGTGGGCGAACCACCACTGGCGCAATCTGGCTTCCGAGCGCCCGCTGTCTGACTTTCTCGATCTGAAATCACTCGAGCAGCTCTCGAGCTGGGCTACGGACGGGACGAGACCAACAACATTCACATTGCAGTGCGGAAGTCCTCGGATATCGCTATCTCTCACGAAAAGCCATATCGAGGATCCCGAGCAGGTACACTATGTTGTCGTCACGTCGCAACTCTTGGGCTTCGAGGACTCATCATCAGGTTCTACCCAGTCCAGTGATACGGCCATCGTTCTGGGAAGAGAGGATCAGGAGGCTACTCCGATGCCACCGCCTGCACCATCACTGATGAGCCCGCCATCATCATCAGCGGCAACGTTGGGCTTAGGGCCGGAGTCGCCTGACTTCCAGACTCGCGGTCCCTCCCTCGTTGCCGGGCACGAAGTCAAACACGACATCTCTGACGTTCCGCGAACTATGGAGCCCAAGGCGCACGAGCATCTCACGGATCAGTATCGAATTTCGACAACTGAACTAGAGGCCGACAATGCTCGAACATCATGTCGAGAGTTATACAACAACATGGACTGGACTGGGAAGCCGTGTGGCCCACCCGAGACATGGTCGCCCGCGCTGCGCGCCCTGGTCGACATTGCTTTTGACACGGTGACCGCGGACGCCGTCTACATCGGTACCAAGCCTTCAGACCTTGTCTCAATATAGTGAGTCACCGCGAAAGACGTAAAAGTCCAGAACCCTGACCCCCGCAGCAACAACAACTACGGAAAGTTCCTGGATCACCCGAATACGTTTGGTGCACTGATGAGCGAGGTGTGGAAGGACGCATGGTTCTTCTTCGAGGAGATGGTTAGTCACTGCGTGGAGGTGGCGCTGACCCCCAGATGGGTGAGGTGTTCAAGGGCAAGCCCATGTACCAGGATTTCACCCTCATTCCGTATCTCTTGGACGAACGAGGCGTGTGGCTTGAAAAGTACCACAGCTACTCTTGCCACCCGATCTACGATGGGCCCAACATTGTCGGCGTATACGTCGCCGCCATGGACTGGACGACCGAAGTCTTGACCCGGAGACGAGCAGAGGTCACCCGCGCTCTGGCCGACTCTATCGGCATCGTCCGGACACGAGCGGACCTTTTCCAGGCGACCGCCGAAGGTGAGCTGCTTGCCCCTAGCGAAAGCTGACTGTGCAGTATTGTCAACGGCTCCTATCGAGATCCCGTTCTTTATCGGCTACTCGGTCCTCCCGCTGGAGACAAGCGCTGTGAACCCGCTCGCAGACACTGTCAAGCTTTCTCTCGAGTCCACCGTTGGCGTCCCCTCCAGTCATCGCAGTGCCCCGAGTTCATTGGTGCTAGAGGTGCCTAAGATGCCAAAGGCGCCTCGATCTGCGACCTACGTCGGCGGCTATGCCGAGGACGATGGTACCTTCGACGACGAGAGTCTGTCCGGGTCTGCCTCGACGGCGCTCAATATAGAGGAATCCATCGCATCCGGGATATCCCTCGCCTCTAGCCGTAGCTCGGACAGGTGGCCCACCGTAGAGTTGGACAACGGCATGTGGCCGATTCGTCTTGCACTCACAACGAGGAGGTGTATCCGTGTCGAGAACATTCGGGAGCTCATCAGCGACTACCCTCTTCGACAGTGGGACGAGCTGCCAGACTCGGCGTTAGTCGTGAGTTGTCCAGAGTCAATACTTTTAACTGACTATCCAGATTCCATTGTCCTCTGACGTTTCGGTCGATGTGCCGTCGGCAGTCGTTATCGTTGGCCTCAATCACCACTCTGCCGTTGGAGACCGAGGCTACGCAAACTTCATCCACAACCTCCGTGCGCACCTCACCTCGGCTCTCGGTCCCATCATCGCTCTCGAGAACGAAATCGCACGGTCAGAGGAGAAGGCAAAGATGGAGCGGGCCAAGACGGCGTGGTTCCGAGGTGCGGCGCACGAGTTCCGTTCCCCGTTGTCCCTCATCGCAGGGCCGCTGGAGGAGCTTTCGACTGGCACGGACGGCATGTCCTCTCGGCAGAAGGAGATTGTGACGCTGGCTCACCGCAACGTGACACGTCTGCAGAGGATAGTATCCTCGCTGCTGGACTTCTCACGCATGGAAGCGGGTCGCTTCCAGGCGCGCTTCACCATGACCGACCTTGGAGCATTCGTGACGGATCTCTGCGGCCTGTTCAAGCCTGCGATGCGGCACCCGCAGATTGCATTCAGGGTCGAGGTCGAGGAGCGCACGGACAATGTGCCCGTGGACCGTGTCCTCATGGAAACTGCTCTTGCCAACTTGCTCTCGAATGCGATCAAGTACACCAAGCGCGGCTCGATTACGGTCAAGCTGTGGTACGACGCGGATAATGCGAATCTATCGGTCGTGGACACAGGTATCGGTATCGCCGCGGAGGAGGTCGACATGGTGACCCACTGGTTCCACCGCTCGCAAGCCGCCCTCGCCTCTGGCATCGAGGGCACAGGTCTCGGTCTGGGGCTCGCCAAGGAGATCATCGGTCTGCACCACGGCGAGCTGCAAGTTTCCAGCAACGTTGCGACCGGAGAACACCCTTCGGGATCAACCTTTACCGCGCAGATTCCGCTGGCACAAGACGTCGTCGAAGAGGAGCTGACGCCCGTGGCGTTCGGTTCATACGGTCGGGAGATGGCGCGCGACGTCATCGGCTGGGAGCGTGACGAGAGCGGCAGCGTCGGCTCTCAAGAGTCATCGCCCTCTTACGGAGAAGGGCTGCAGTTCCAGCCGAGCGACGTGCTGCTGATCGTGGACGACAACCGGGACATGCGGGAGTACATCAAGCTTATCTTTTCGCCGTTCTGCCGCGTGCTAGAGGCCGAGGACGGCGTCGACGCACTCCGCATCATGGTCCACGAAACACCGAACCTCGTCCTGACGGACCTGCTCATGCCCCGCATGACTGGTATGGACTTGCTCGCCGAGATTCGCAAGAACCCCAACACGTCGCATATCCCTGTCATCCTCCTCTCTGCAGCGCAGGACGAGGAATCGCGAGTCCAAGCTCTGCTTTACGGCGCAGATGACTTCCTCTCCAAGCCTTTCAAGCCGCGCGAATTGCTCGCCCGCGTCCATCTGCACATGGAGATGGGCAAGAATCGGTACGATCTCGAGACAAAATTCCACGAGCGCGAGCTGGAGCTGCAGGTACTTTCCGACGCCTGTCCGTCAGGCATCATCAGGGCGGACCACTCGGGTCGTGTACTCTATGCGAACCCCGCCTTCCTCGAACCGGCCGGCATCGCGGCCGACTCGGAACTCGAGGACTGGCAGGAGCACCTGGACGAGTCATCAGCCGAGAGCTTCCGCTTCGCGTGGAACGACTTTATCTACGGCAAGCGCTCCGAGACTGCCATCCGCTTCAAGTGGCGGACCGGGCGAAGTATGCTCGGATTCTTCATCCGCCTCGACAAGGCGAGCGGCGTCAGCGGCATCATTGGCTGTATCACCGATGTCACCTACGAGGAGGAGAAGATCGAGGAGGCCGAACGCCGTCGCGCCGAAGCTGAGGAGAGCCGCCGCCAGCAGGAGCTCCTTGTGGATCTGAGTGAGTTGCCATGGTGAAAACCCTAACTGACAATCAGCCTCGCATGAAATCCGTACACCCGTATCTGCCATTCTGCAGTGCGCCAGTCTCGTTGAAGAGAATCTGCGCGCGAGGCGGGACCGCCTCATCAGCTCTGGCCCTGAGGGCCTGCGCCCCGAACCTTCGATGCTTAAGGAGATCGAGGAGGACATCAAGGCGCTTGAGAGTGAGTCATCTGCTATGATTATGCTGGTAAGCTGACCATCAGGTATCTACCACTGTGGTGTTACACAGGAGCGCATCGCGTCAGACATCCTCAGTCTGGCGCGGCTGCAGCTCGGCATGCTGTCAGTGCACCACATTCCCGTCGACATTCGGCACGAGGCAGAGAAGGTGCTGCGAGTCTTCCACTCGGAGTGCAAAATGTCGCAAATTGATCTGCGGCTCGAGTTCGGCCCCGGCTTCGATGCCTTGGGCGATGTCATGATCTCGACCGACCCGGTCCGCTTCGGCCAGGTCGTGACGAACCTTGTGAACAATGCCGTGCGCTTTGTCAGCGTCGCACCCGAGCGCCGCATCACCGTGCGCTACGACGTATCTCGCACCGGTCCACTGGAAGGAGATACCGTCCCGCCTTCCGTATCGGCTCTCGAACCAAACGGCACCCTGGCCAACGGTACCCCTGTGTGGATCTACAGCAGCGTGCAGGACACTGGTCCCGGCATGACGGAAACGGAGCAAAGCGGCATCTTCGAGCGCTTCCAGCAGGGCTCCAAGATGATCCACACCAAGTACGGCGGCACGGGCTTGGGACTGTTCATCTGCAAGAAGATCGTCGGCCTGCTCGGCGGAGACATCGACACGGTCTCAGCCCCTGGGCAGGGAAGCACGTTCCGATTCTACATCAAGTCCGTCGTCGTGCCGCCGGAGCACTCTCCTCGCCCGCCACTGCCCAAGAAGCTCTCAGGGGAGCAGATCGTGTCTCCCTTCGACTCGCCCGAGGAGTACAGAGACGGCCAGCTCTCGCCTGTTCTCGAGGGCGTGCCGGTGCCCCTGTCTTCGCCCGATGCGCCGTCTACCACTACGGAGCGCACGAGCGTCAGCTCCACGGGACGAGGTAGTGCCTCCTCTGCCGACCGGGCGAGCGCTACCTCAGCCGATCGAGGCAGCCTCTACACCAAGCCCACAAGCGTCAGCTCAACCTCGAGCGTGACGTCGCTCGACGCCATGTCGTACTCGATCCTCGTCGTCGAGGACAACCTCGTCTCACAGCGAGTGCTGCAGCGCCAACTCACCAAGCTCGGCAACACAGTCATGGTCGCAAGCAACGGCCAGGAGGCGCTCGATACGCTTGTCGCTCAGCAAGGCGCGTTCGACATGGTGCTCATGGACCTCGAGATGCCCATCATGGGCGGCCTGGAGGCGGCCCAAATTGTCCGCCTCCTCGAAGCGGAGGGAAAACTCCCACCACAGCGTATCATCGCGCTCACGGGCAACGCCCGAGAGGAGAAGGTCCAGCAGGCCCTCGACACAGGCATGAACAACGTTATGATCAAGCCGTATCGCCCCCCAAAGCTTGTGGGCATGATCCAGGCCACGATCGACTCGACACCGGGCCACACCGCGGCCCACAACACTACCCCCTAACCATCGACGTGCGCGCCGGGGCGCCCGTCATGTCTAGTTGTATCCATCAGTCATTAAATTATATGTATATCAGCACCCATTTGCATTGCACATCCTCGCTTGCTTCATGAACCCCGCAGTCCCTCGTCGCTCACCACTGACACTGACCTTCCCTTGATATCTCTGAGGTTCAGAAGCATGCACAGGATGCAGGAGAGGAGCTCAGGGAGCCAAAAAGTCTCACCACTGTGAGTCGAACACAGGACCTGCGGATGAACTCGCCTGTTCAGGCGGCTTTGGAGTTACCAATTACAGTCCGACGCTCTACCAACTGAGCTATGGTGAGGAAGCTGTTGCTGACGGGAGTGTGGCGCCCCCGCCCGGCCTCCAATGGCCTCGAACCAACCGCAGGACATCACAGTGTGCACCACGCAGCCTCCTGATACTCTCAGTTCCCTCCCGTAGCTTTCCACAGGCCTTGAACGGTAGGGTGCGGATTTGTGGCAGGATCGACGCTCGTGAGGGGGTCGAAGGGTGTTGCGTGCCTGGGCGCACGGAGGCAAAATTTCGGCCCCCCTGTCTTCAGTGGTCATCGACAGCTCCATTCAACAGCCATGAGAAAACAAAAGAAAGGACGACTGCGTAAGGGCAGAGGACGCAAAAGGATTGTCTCTCCACTGTGAGTCGAACACAGGACCTGCGGATTTCTCACTCTATCGAGTAGGAGGATTTGGATAACCAATTACAGTCCGACGCTCTACCAACTGAGCTATAGAGAGGAGATGTTGGCTGATCGCTGCGGGGCGCAGGGCGTTTAGGTACCGGTAGCGCGTCTGATCTGCCAAATTATCCTGATTCTTGCAATGCACTGCAGTGTACGTCGCGTGAGCGACCCTAAGCTCGTCGAAAGTGCATGCGTTGAGGCTGATGTCCGGAGAGTTGCTGTGGAGAGGTGATTGTAATGATGATCAGACGGAAGGGGAAGATAGGCGAGCTGGTGGAGACCGATTTGCTGCCGCACGCCCCGCACATGAGTCAGGACATTTGCCACCTAGCACCTCGAATTGTGTTTTGAAACCACTCCATCGACCATCCACCATGGCGACCCCTCTGCATGTGCACCCGCACTTCGCGCCTGAGGAGGCTGCGGCCGTCGCGGCGGAGTTCGTCTCCAGTGAGCTTTGGGGGACGGATATAGCTAACAATCAGGCCTTGACAACCTGCCGGGCGAGGTGACCTTCCTTCTGAAGGAAATCCAGGACAAGGACCAGCGTATTGCCGGTGAGCTGCAGAGATATGTGCATTGCAGCTGACGTGCAGGCCTCCTGAACCGGATCAACAGCCGGCATTACAGTCTGACGAAGCCGATCAAGAACCTTGGCTCGGCGCAGCCTTCGAATCCGAATCCGTCCTTCACGCTTCCAATCGCGGCTGGTCAGCCGATTCCTACAGCTCACATGAGCACGAAGGACCAGCAGACGATCACGAAGATTCAGGGCGAGTGGGCCAAGATCGAGGCTCTGCAGGAAGAGAAGGTCAAGCTCGCTGAGCGGTTGGAGCGGATCGTGAACCGCGCGCGAGAGCGAGGACGACACGAGTGGAAGAAGGTCGGCGGTATCGACATCGATGAGCTGGAGACGGATGTTAAGCTCGGCGATCTCGGTGGCGCAGACCTTGTTCTTCCTCCGCAGGGGCTCGGCAGCGGACACGATGGAAGAAAGGACAAGCGCAAAGGGAAGGGCACCGTCCCTCTCGCGATCCAGATCAGCTCGGCGGGCAGCTCTCTCGGCATTCCCTCTCCGGCCGGTACGCCAGGAGGCAGCCGCAGCGGCAGTGTCGGACGCGGCGGTGGGCGGAGGAAGGAACAGCAGCAACAGCAGGAGGTCGAGGTGCCTGCCGCGGACGACATGGAGGTCGAGGGCGAGGTCGAGCCCGACGACGCGCTGTACTGCTTCTGTCAGCAGAAGAGTTACGGCGAGATGATCGGCTGCGACAACGGCAAGTGCCCGTACGAGTGGTTCCACGTCAAGTGTGTCAACATGTCTGGACCCCTCCCCGACACCTGGTACTGTCCCGAGTGTGTCACAAAGTTGGGCCTCGCCAGTAGTGATGGCAAGGTCCAGAAAGACCGCAAGGGACGGAAAAAGTAGGCCCGACGCAAGGGCGACCGGTTGTGCTCCATCTGTACCATCTTATCATGTATTGTATTTTGCCGGCTTGGCGACTACGCACATCATAGAGCGTGATTTACTTTGCATCGAGGATTGCTGGAAGTTACCGGTGGATCGGCAGACTGCGGTAGGAAACGCTATCTAGTTACAACCGCTTTACTGTCACCGCTTCCTGAGCGCCAAGCGCCAGTGCACAGCCCCAACGCACTCGTGTATTATTCATGCATTCTCACAACAAAGGCAAGAGGGACAAGATACGTCTAATTCCCTAACAAACTAATGAATCACGGACCAAGAATTCGCCACCGAAGTTCAACGAAATCGTACGCGCAAGAAAGAGATCCAGGGAGGAGACCATGAAGGCGACCAGGAAAGGAGAGAGCACGGCTACGGAGCGGGAAGAGATAGCATAGAGGACGGGGTTTGGGGGTGAGGAGGGCAACAGGAAGTCTGGGGAACCGGCGTTGAGCGCTGAGGAGGTCGATGGCGCGTTCTGAGTACGTCTGCGGTAGCTTTTCACAGACATACGCACCCGCATCACATCAGCCAGACACACAACACACAACACAATAGGTACCAGACACACCGCTCCTTACACAGGCACCGCCGAAAACGGGCGCCACCTCCACCGCTCGTCGCCGCCATCGCCGAAGCCGTCCTCGCTACCACAACCTCCGTCCTCGCCATCGCCGAGGCCTTCGTCACCATCATTTAAAAATCTCCTCCGAAATCGCCTCCTCCGAAGTCTCCTCCTCCAAAATCGTTATCCTGCCCGTCCATATAGCCGTCCATATAAGCATCGTGCTGTCCCTGTGCTTCGTTAGCTCACAATTTCGGCGGAAGTTGAAAGAACCACTCACATCGGCGATCATGTTTCCGAGCATCATTCCTCCAAGAAGACCACCACCGGCACCGAGCATGGCAGCGCCACCGGGTCCCATGCCGCCTCCCATGCGCTGAGGGCGGCCCATCATCATAGGCTGCTGCTGGTACATCATCGGCTGTTGGCCGTATCCGCCGCCGTAACCCTGCTGGGCGTAAACAGGAGGAGGTGGCGCGCCACCGTAGCCCTGGTGGCCGTATCCCTGCTGTCCATAGCCCTGCTGCCCGCTGTGGTGGTTGTTAAGCTTCGAGGAGAGCTTAGAGAAGAGACCACCTCGGTGGGACGACTGGCCCTGGTTGCCCTGCTGCACTGGCGTGTTGTTCTGAGGAGGAGGCGTAGAGTACTTCTCGCTGTTGTTGTTGTACGAGGACTTCTCGTTATTCGAGGGAGGAGGGCCAGACGGCGCAGCGTACTGGTTGCTGTCGGACTGAGGAGGATCGTCGGCGGGGCTGACGTTAGTCTGGATCTTATCGGCCGGTTCAGTGGCGTACACACGAACCGTACTCACTGCGTCCACTGCGACTTGGGGCCCCCGGGAGCCTTAGTGTTCACTTTACGTCAGATCACAATCCGAATAGCGGCAGGAGCGAGCGTCAGGCTTACCGTAGAAGTACTGGTTGTAGTTGCTGTCGAACCTGAAGTGTCAGATCATTCATTCCTTCAATGAGACAAATAGGTGGCGGCAACACGGAGGAAGAATCACCGAACTGTACTCACTGGGAGACCCATCCGTCGGGAAGAGGTCGGGGATCAGGTTGGGGAGCCATTGCTGATGTTTAACCAAGAAACCAAGATATAACAGTCGATGGAAAAGGTTGAAGTGGAGAAAAGAGAAGATCGAAGAAGCGGTGGGTAGAGACTTCGGTCCGCCAAGAGCCAGCCCCGCTGCTTGGTGGGGTTGGCCGATGGGCGCAGCCCGCGCAGCTGGCGCGCTCCGGAAGCCCAAGACCGGACGTCTCACCGATGACGAAAGTCACGTGCAAACCTTCCCTGAAACGTTCCTTGTCCGATTTGCCACTCAATCAACACTGCCAGGAGTAACCCGCAAAAGCATCAGGCCACGGACGATGACGCATCGTTACCAGCACGCAACGTGACTGACAGCACGACCTCAGCCTCTCCGACCAGCGCCAGCCAGAAGCATCAAGTATCAAGCAGTGCAGCAGCCATGCATCACCCCGACTCTCCGCCACCGGATAACATTCTCGAGGACCCTCTGGGAGAGCTCGACGCTGCCCTAAAGTCGCACGCCTTCGGCTTGGCGTCGTACCAGCTGCGGCCAGAGGTATCTTATCCGCGCACAGACGACGAGAAAGCTAAGGTGCGAGATGAGGCTAAGGCAGAGGGTCACACGCCAGAAGGTGTCGCTGGTCGTGCGCATCTCGTTCTGCTAAAGAACGAGGGAGAGGCAGACATCCTCCTCGATCAGCGAGGCTACACTGTGAGTCATCCCAACACATGTCTCGAACATTCCGGGGCCGGCAGTTGTGGTGGCCGATGGCTGATCGTTCAGATTGAGAAAACAACAGCTCAGCAGCCACTGCTATCGTCAACGTTTGAGTCGCTCGACGCCCTGCTCATCGCTCTGAGCCCCGCGTACCAAGAAGCCATGCAGGAGGAGCTGCTGAGGCGCTTCGAGGGCGGTGTCAGCAGCCGTTTCAATTACGATGATGAAGAAGTTGTTGAGGAGCCTAAGTGGATAAATTAATCTCACCATGTGCTGCGAGGGGCAGAACACTCTTTACACATTGCATTCGCAGCGGGACTGCGCGCTGCGGCCCGTCCAGCCGATGGTCTCAATAGACGTGTAGAAGACTCGAAAAGCTTGACGAGGAGCCTACCGGCCATTTCCGTGATACCCTGCTCCTGGTATACATCGTGCTTCGTGCTCAGTGAGCAGTGGTGGCACGACTCCTCACGTGGAAATCGCTATCTGTGTATGTATAGTCTGGAATGGCAGTGTGCTGCACTATGTATGCAGCATTCGGCCACATTGGAATCGTTATGCATGCGCCGAAGCACATCTCCGGCGTTCTCTCGTAGATAGCGCAGATCGGACTGTACCCCGCGTCACCCTGCCGCTTTAGCCTCCGCACCTCCACCGCCTCAGACGATCGTCAGCATCCATCGACTTCGTGGTTCTGAACTTCACTAACCGCCCGTAAACACCTACACCATGTCGTCCCCGGACGAGAACCATCCTCTGCTTCCACCAGGGGCCCACCCCACTCCGTCCCGAAAACTGGGTGCGCGGCGATACGTGCCCAGCGAGAAGGCGAAGGGCAAGCAGCGCGCCGATCCCGACACCGTCATGTCGGACGATGAGCCTTCCTCGCCGTCGCCGCTCGATAAGGGGAAGGGAAAGGCGCCACCGGAAGACGACGCAGTGGGACGACCAGTCACCATCATTTTCTCCAATGACGACTCGCATCTCCAGGTCTGGGTCGAAGAGGGCGAGAACGTGCGGCACGTCAAGGATAAGGTGAGCTCATCGGCGTTTGCTACAAAGCTAACCGCAGATTCGTACACTCCGACCGAGCGTTGCCGGCTTACAGCTGAAGATTATTTATGCGGGACGCTTGCTGACCGACGGTATTCTGCTGCTTCCGTGGTTGCGCTCGCTGGAGGAGAGGGTGAAGCGACACGCGTCGGGCGTCTCTGGGGCGATCAGGGACGTCGTCGACCTGGCGGGCACGTCAGCCCCGGCACCTGCACCGGAGCAGGAACCGGCGAAGATCAACCTTCACTGTAATGTCGGCGGACCGCTCGAGACGAACAGCATTGGGGAAGAGGAAGACACGTCGGACGCAGAAGTTCGCCCCCAACGCCGAGGGTTCGACGCTCTTCTCGACGCCGGTCTGAGCCCCGAGGACGTCGCCGCCATGCGCCGCCAATTCTACGAAAGTCGCGGAGAGGAGGTACCTGACGGTCTTGACGGCGACGTTAGCGATGAGCATGCCCGTGCTCTAGAGGAACAGTGGATTGAGGGCGACTTGACGCCAGCCACTGCAACGAGTGAGTATGCCAGCTCTTGCGCTCTTGTTGTAGCTGACAGCCAGCGACACAGGAGGGAATGTTCGCGTCGATCCTGCACGGCTTCCTGATCGGCTTCCTGTACCCGCTCCTGCCCTGGTTCTTCTTCAAGGACCAACCGCTGCCCAACTTCTTCGACGCAGAGGCGGAAGCAGACCAGCGATTCCGCAGAGAGGAAGCGGCGCTGCGGGCAGAAGAGGAGCGTCGTGCGGCGATTCACGCTACAGCTATGGGGCTGGCGCCGCCGCCGGCTGTCCCCGACGTGCCTCCTGAAGATGACGGAGAGACAGTCAGCGTATCGGCCCGCGTGTCCAACTCGCCGCTCGTTGGCGGGGAGGTCGTGTCGAGTGTCGCATTTGGGAAGAGGACACAGGTAAGCTGCATCGGAATTCGCCCTGAGCTGACTCCAGATCGGCATTATTCTCGGCACGCTCATCAACCTCGTGTTCGGATCACTGAACTACCTGGGATAGATCATTCATTTGTATATGCAGTTGTATCATGGCCTTCCTCTCTGCTTCGTGGCTTATGATCACTATCAGCTTCAGCGCTCGCGCCCTCGCCAAGAAGACTACTGCCCTGTATCTCTTGTCCAAATGCCTTAGCTCGCTCGACAGGCCGCCAAGAACCAAGAGCAAGCCACTTCACATACCACAGCACAGGCCACAACATCCCTGGTCCCCACACCGAGCAGAAGCCGTGTATGGAAGCCAGATAGTCTGTGTTCTGTGCACTTGACGCTCGAGAACTCGGAGGCCGATCAGAACTGTTACAACTCGGTTGCATCGAGAACCTAAGGTAAAATATGGGAGTATTTGGGGCGGCCGTCAAGGCGCGTAGCATGCGAAGGTATAGCTGGACTAGGGGGGAGGCATGCGCGATGCTCATGCTCGGCTCAAGATCCAAAAGTCGTGAGAACGAAGTGAAAAATCCCAAGAAGCAAGAGGAGGAGAAGACACGGGACCGGCAGGCCCGGCAGGGGCGGGATGGGAAGGGAGAGGGAGGAGGCGGGCGGGCTCTCAGCGTCTGGTGTCGAGTTTGCCGTAGCGGGGACGTCGGACCGCTTAGACGGCGATGTAGGCTGCAAGACAGGCGGCGAGGGTGAAGAGACCCGGGGCGGCGAACTTGGCCACTCCCGAGTCGGCAGACGGCGAGGGCGAGGCCGACGCCGAGGCACGGGTAGCTGTCGTTGAGGTCCGGGTTGAGGTCGAGGTAGAACTGGCAGTGTCGGCGACGGCCTTGCCGGATCCAGACGGCGTAGCGGAACCCGAAGGGGCCGCAGCGACCGCACCAGCTCCGGAAGCACCAGCAGAAGGGGAGGCGCCGGCCGCACCGGGGTTCGTCGTTCCGGCAGCAGAGCCAGAAGGCGAGGCGTTGGCACCGGTGCCCGTGGCCCAGATGAAGTCGTCCGTGCTGCTGGTAGCGAGCTGCTTGACCTCATCGTCGAAGTTGCCCTCCATCGAGTTCAGGTGGAAGCGGGCCGAGTACTGCTGGTACGGGTACTCGCCCTCCTTGAGGCCGAGGGAGCGGTAGCGGATGAAGTAGTACTTTCCGTTCTCACCGACGCTGGGGTCGATGGTGGTGCTGATGCTCGAGGTGGCCGAGACGTCAACGCTCTCGCCGAGGTTCTGGACACAACGCTGGTCAGTCTCAGAGCCGATGCAGAGGTCGATGCTGCACGGTCCAATGTCCGGGAGGTTCGGCGCCTCGCCGTCGTCAACCCAGTCGACGCGGAGCACCTGGCCGCCGTATGCCTGCGTGTGGGCGACGGGGTTCGTCGTATAGATCGTCGCGAGCGCCGGGGCGGCGAGGGCGAGCAGGACGGCGAACATGGCGAGTGGAGTGGTGGCGAGTAAGAAAGAGGAGGTGGTGATGGAGATGGCCGTACGGAGTACGACGCGGGAAGGAGAGCGATAAAGTTTGAAACGAGTGTCGGGGGACTGGCTGGCAGTCGTGAGGCGGAGGAGGGTTGCTGGTCGTAGAGATGGGGAGTGCGCCGGATGTCGTCTCGCGAGCCCCGTATTATAGAGACGAAGGGCAAGAAGGGAGTGAGGGGCTTGGCGGGGCCGACTGGCGGTCGGACGGTCAGGTCAGGCGCGCGCGATATCTCGTTGTACCAAGAGTCAAGGTTGGATGCCGAATGGTCCGGATGCAGGAAGCAATCAGTGATGGAGTGCACGGTAGTGCACGGTATGCAGGTATCAGGAACCGTGCGCACGGCGTCTGCGCCGTTTTGGGTGATTGTTTGCGTCCATACACTGCGACCCCAGTTGTGCGATGGAGCGCCCGTAGTAGTGCCCCTGCGCCTCCTCCCTGCACGCAATGCAGCCATGCAGCCCGAGCCAGCCTGAGACGTCTAGAGTAGCGTCTGAGACTCATGGAGCCAGGAGTGTGGCGCAGTCAGTGATGAGGACATCCCCGTCTTCTCACCGCCCAAGCCGTAAACCGATCCCGCACCGGACCGGGACCGGGCATCTTATGTTTTGCCTCCCATGCCTGCCAAGTACATTGCTCTCCTGTACGACGGGCTGGTGGCCCGGGCGTCCTCCATTATTGTGCGTCCTCAGCGTTGAGATGCATCGAATCACGATCGACTGCGGTGCACCCGCGCACGACTGCGACGGACGCCGAGCTATGCTGAGCAACAACAACAACAACGACCCGATCCGGTACGAGAACTCCTGACTGCAGTGTCAGGTGCATGACGCGTCTCGCAAAATCAACAGGCTGGTCCGACGCCCCTGGTGCCGGGCCCTGGATCAAGCCGATTTCAACCTGATACAACCCGCCCAGCCGGCCGCAGCCGCGTAGCCCAGCACTAGCCAGCACTAGGCCCAAGTCAGACGACTGCGTCCAGCCTGCGGTCCATGAGAACCAGATCTGCGGAGGCTGAGAGTGGGAGGACCGATTAAGGTTTGCTCGGCACGCTTGGGACGCGTGCGCTTCACGCGAGAGACAGATGGCCGAATTTCACGTGACTGCGTCAATCGTTCGGCAAAACTTTGCCTCCGTCGATAATCTTTGGAAGGGCAGTGGTCGATTGTTGCCGGTGTCGAGTCAAGAAACGAGCGCCAGGCGCCAGGTAAACGAGTAAACGAGTTCTGGGCCGGTCGGAAGAGCTCACCCGCGTTTTCCGCCTAGCCACCCAAGCCGTTCCAACCGTTCGACCGGGGCTCTCAAGTGATTGAAATCTATCTCGATTTCACCACCACCTTCACCCCTCCCCACCACTCTTTCCAGCATGCTTTCCTTGAGGACAGCTGCGAGCCGCGCCGCCGGCGTGCGTGCCCTCAGCACCTCTGCCGCGCGCATGGGCGCCCCCAAGCCCATCGACGACAGCACCAGCGCTCTCGACTGTGAGTGAACGAGGCGGAAGGAACGATCAGCGATAGTAACCTTCCGGCGAAGAAAACGCTTGGGTCGCCCCGCAAAGACTAACGTTATCAGACAAGATGCACCGTCCCTCCGCGCGCCTGCCGCACCTTGTCCGCGCCCACCCCCGCGCTCCCAGCGCTGAGGAGGCCGTCACCAACATCCTCTACAACACCCCTCCCCCGTCGCTTGAGCCGTTCAAGCGTCACCTCCTCAACTGTCTTGTCCAGAACGAGCCCGGTGTCCTGTCGCGTGTGTCCGGTATTCTTGCTGGCCGTGGCTTCAACATTGGTGCGTATTCCAGCTGCAAGGAGCTGAGGACGAAGCTGACTTGCAGACTCGCTTGTCGTCTGTCAGACCGAGATCCGCGACCTCTCGCGTATGTCGATCGTCCTCCGTGGGCAGGACGCCGTTATCGAGCAGGCGCGCAGGCAGCTCGAGGACCTCGTCCCCGTCTGGGCTGTGCTCGACTACACGAACACGCCCGTTGTTGAGCGTGAGCTTCTTCTCGCGAAGATCTCGATCCTCGGCCCTGAGTTCGCCGACGCTCAGCTGAACCCTTCGGCTGGTGAGGAGCTCGCCGCTCGCGAGGAGAACCTCGTCCGCCACTTCGAGGCCAAGGGCTCGAACCCGTCCGGCCTCCCCGAGGGTGTCAAGGAGCCGGAGCTCTACCCGTCGCGCCGCCGTGAGGTGACCGCCTCCGAGGCCCTGATTGCCAAGAACCTGCACCTCTCGGCCATCAAGACGCTCGCGGACCAGTTCGGCGGCCGCGTCGTCGACGTCGCTGAGGAGAGCTGCATCGTTGAGCTCACCGCCAAGAGCTCGCGTGTCGAGTCCTTCCTCGGCCTCATGCGCCCCTTCGGCGTCCTCGAGGCCTCGCGCTCCGGCGTCATGGTCCTCCCCCGCACCCCCGTCGCCCGTCTCACCGAGGACGAGGAGGTCGTCGTCCAGACCGACTCCCCCGACATGTCCTCCCTCCCTCCTGGCTAAGCGCCCGATAGAGGACAGCATAAAATGTCAAATAGGTTTTATTTACTATCTCATGTACAATTGAAAAAGCGTACGTTTAGCATGCATCTGGAATTTGGTTAGCCTTGTCGTTTTTGCCAGGAACGTTGCTCACACGAGCGTTTTAGCGGTCACCAAACGCTCAGACGATCAAGGCGTGTGGTGGTTGTGTGTCTAGAATTGCAATACATAGATATAAACCTCGCTCCGGCTCGGCTTACAAGATTCTATATGGTGTGTTGTCTACAACGGACGCGCTTACGGAACAATTTTGGCCGCAATGGGGTAGATCTGCTCGTAGACGGAGAAGACGATACCGCCGGACATGACGAGACGTCCGAGACGGGGGACCGTTCCCTTCCAGAACTTGAGGATACCTTCCTCGGTCAGGATACGGTACGCGCAGTGGAGAGCGTTGCGGTACTGCGTGCGCGCCTCCAGCGACTGCATGCGGGTCTTGACAACGCTGGGTTGTTAGCTCCACTGTTCTCATTCGGAGCTGGCTCCGCTTGTGCACTTACTCAAAGGGCATCGTCGTGTAGACGGTGATGACACCGGCCGTAGAACCGATACCAAACGTCATCCATCCGGGCATCTTCTCTCCGGCGGGCATGGAGCCCTGGGCCAGCTGCTTCAGCGTCGAGTACGAGGAGAAGCGGACGGCCGAGTTGGCGCCCTGGCGGAGCATAACGGGTCCGACACCGCGGTAGATACCGCGCCATCCCTCCTCGGCGACAATCTTCTTGACACCGTCGAGCATGCCGTTGAAGCGCGGCTGGGCGCGCTGCGCGTCCTCGATCATCTTGGTCTTGATCGTCTCACTCGGCGTAACCGCGATGATCGCCTCCATCATACCCGCTCCAAGACCGGCAAGCATGCTCCGCGGCGCGGTCAGCTTGCCCTCGTCGTCCTTCAGCAGACCCTTGAACTGGTCGTACGTCGTGAAGCGCACTCCGGCCTTGGCCGCGTTGCCGATGACCACGGCGGGGACACCGGCATACAGGCCGCGCAGGCCGTGGTTCTTCAGCGTGTCGCGCAGGAGACCGACCAGGCTGACCTTCTGGAATTGTCAGCGATGCTCTCGGGGGAGCAAAGAAGGGGCGAGCAATATAGCTCACACGACTCCCGCACTCACCTGGCCGTTGTGTCCGCCGAACTGCAGCTGCGTCTTAAGGTTCTCGAGCGGGTACGTGATGAACGCCTCGACACCGCCGGCGGACGCGCCGGCGATGAGCGACGCGATGGGCTTCTCCTTGGCCTTGGCGTCTGCCATTTTTGTGTTGGGATGAGTGGTGAGTAGTGAGGTTGCGAAGTTGCCAAAGTCGGACGAGTAGCAGAACGCCCAGTTATCGCGCAATCTTTCGGATTTCAGTGAGTCGGTCCCAGGGTAAACCACCAGAGCAGGGCCGGCTAAGCGGTCCACTTGAAGCCTCCGACTACCCGATAATCATCAACGGGGGTATTTGCCTCCGCACTCAACCGCTCACTCAGCGCTGACCACGCGAGTGTGTCCTGACCCCGCCCCCGCATATTGGCAAGGCACTTCACAACAAATCTCGCCTTCCCTCCACCTTCCCTCCGCATCCACACCATGATCGAAGCTGGGCAGACGCTACTCGGCCCGGGCTGGACGGCCGTGGAGCACTTTGACGATATCGACGACGACGAGTACGAGGAGGAGGAGGAGGTATGCTGCGAATTCCTCAGCGAGCTGACATACAGGAATACGTCGTGCTCGACCTTGGAACGTCGATGGATGCGCGGACGCTGCAGACCGAGGCGACGTATCAACTTGTCGTAAGCGTCCTCCCTCCCTCCATCCAGCTAACCACATTAGGGCTTGGATACCCCGCAACCCTTCCTGAAGATCGGCGACCACATCTTTGTCGGCGCGGTCACCCCGCTGATCGGCGACGAGGTTGTGTTTGACGTTATCAGACGTGAGCTAAGTCATCCGTCGCGCGAGCTGACGAGACAGAGGAAGATGATCCGCAGAAGCCTCAGCACCGACCAGTCCTAACGACGCACTCGCGCGTCAGCATGCGCGAGGTCACACTCATCCCGAAGGTCGCGCCGGCCGAGCAGACCCTTCCCGAGTTAAACCACGGCATGTTCCCGCAACGCGTGCCGGGCGAGGAAGGCACGCCGGCGCGTACGCCGAAGAAGAAGGCCGAGAAGGAGACACCGGCGAGGCGCAAGTCGACCCGCGTCGTTGCTACGCCCGCGAACGAGACGCCGTTGGCTGGCAGCACCGCTGCATCGACACCTGCCGCCTCGGGATCTGGCACACCAGCGACTGAGACGAAGAAGGGCCGTCCCCGCGGCCGCTACACTCGTGTTAGCTTGCCCATCTCCACGATGGAGGACCTGATGAACATCCAGCTCGCTGGTGGACTGGGCGATGTGCGACGTGAGTGTAATGCCCTCCTAGAAACCAGCTCGATGTGTGACCTCCTTAGCTGACCCACAGTCGAGATTGCACCCGACGCCACCCCCGAGCTGCTTGCGCAGATCTCGGCCATCCGCGCCAAGCCAACACGGCCTGGCGACAAGCTCACCAAGCCTCAGGAGGACCGCCTCATCCGCGGCCTGCCCGCTACTGGACCCGGCAGTCGCGGCGGCCGCGGATCGCGCGGTCGTCGAGGAACACGCGGTCGTCGGGATACGCTGTTTGCAGAGGCGGAGGATGAAGGCGAGGAGGAAGGTGACAAGGATGAGGGCGCGGAGGCCGAAGTGGCTGGATCGTCGACGCCGGCCGAGTGGCCTGCTTCCTCCTCCGCTGGGCCCTCAACTCGGCAGACCAGGGCATCCAAACATGTTGAAGCTGGAGGCAACGGCGAGGGCGGGGAGAAGAGCGCGGAGGCTGTTGATAACGAAGGGGACGTCACTATGGCGGACGGACCCGCCGAGTCTGAAGACGAGCTGCGCGAGATCGACGACGACGACATGCAGGCGCTCCGGAAAGACTAGGTAGAAGTGAATTACATCTGTTACACTACTTTGTTCGCTGTATGTATTTGTGTCCATGTCAGAGTGTCACTTCCAGCCATCTGCTGGGACACAGCAATCCTTTGCTTGATTGCCTGGGCTCAAGTCTGCCCCCACCTTCTCCCACTATCGCGTATCACAAGAGAAGAGGAACCGGAGTAAAAACCACAAAATCAAACGCTGCTGAAAATTATTGGAAAGTAGATAGAAGGGAAGGGAAGAGACTAGCTCCACAAGGGGTAGTCGGGCGGTACGTCGAGGGCGTTCCAGTTCGTCGTGAGCTGGCCAAGCGCCGAGTCCTCGTCCATGAGGAAGGAGAAGATGTCGAACGCAGCCTGGTCCTGACCCTGCTGCGGCTGCTGAGGTTGCTGCTGGGTGGGGTCCGCGCCGTTGCCGTTTGGTGCGGCCTGGCCGTTCTGCTGCTGCTCGTGCCCGACGCCATTGATGATCATCTCGTCCAGGATTGCGCCAGCGTGTCCGGACGGTTGGCCTGGAACGACGGCCGAGGAAGCTGTCTGGCCGGCCTCGGTGCCCAGCCATGCGCCGGCGGCACCAGCGAGCGACAGGCCGTTGTTCTTCGTCGCGGCTGACGTCACCTGGGCGGCGATACCATAGGGACCGACGCTGTGGAACGCCGACGGAGGCAGCGACGCGGGCTGCTGCGTCGGGGTTGGCTGCGCGGCCCCATCGTCCAGCTTGCGCTTCTTCACGCCGTTCGTGTACTCGGACAGCTTGTGGTGGCTCGTGATCGGGTTCAGGAACAGGTTGTCCAGTAGCGTAAGCTCGTATGGCAGCTGCGTCGGCGGGAGCGGCGCAGGGAACGAAGCGTCGCTCGGGAGCGGGTCGTCGCGCGCAGAGCTGATGGCGGCACCGAAGCGCGCACCCGGCGAGCGACTGGGAAGATCGTTGCGGTTCGGCTTGACCTTTGAGAGCTGCTCGAGGATCGCAGTCGACACGCTGCGCATCGTCTCGTGGCACTGGCTGGCGGAGGGGACGCGAGGCGAAAGGTACTCGAGCACGGCGAGACACGACTCGATGTCCATCATGGCCTCGTCGAGCGAAGGCACATTGTTGCCCCCACCGTGGCTGTACAGGTTGAAAAAGGCGTACAGGAACGAGAGCCCGGCCATGAACGAGAAGTGGCTCGTCATCCAGAGCCAGCTGATACGGTTGTTCAGCTGCATGCGGCGGTAGATGCGGATGATGTACGAGGAGCTCGCCAAAACAGTCGACAGTGCGGTGCGCCCAGGTTTCGGGTTTCCACGCGAAGGCCGGAACAGCAAGAGACACGAGTTGTGGAAAGAGATGGCGTAGCCCTCCGATGAGACCGTTCCGCGGGGCTCTGGGGCGGTAGCGAGCCAGTGCTTGAGGCGCTCAAACATGTCGTCGAACCACTCCTGCTTGGGTAGGGGCTGCCCGTTGACACCGTACGTGTGGTTCAGGATCTCCGACTGCAGCTGGCGCAGTTTGATCGTGTGCATGAACACGGTCTTGTATGCGCAGACATCACCAGTGGGCGCACCGTACTGGCCAGCGTGAATGTCGACGTCGTGCTGCAGCGCCGGCAGAGGCACATACATGAAGCCGTCCGGAATGGATGGCGGGCGTCCGAGGGACTGTGACAACAGACGATCCATCTTGTAGGTCACCCAGAAGAGGCGGCGACGCATGTCGATCTCGAGGTTGTCGAGCTTCTCGGCCTGCGAGTTGTGCTCATTGTGGAAGCCAAGGTCAACACAGGTGCGCGAAGCCAGTCCGACGAGGAACCAGATCGATCCCTTGTCGGGGTTCAACAGCGAGTACCAAACGAGCAGAAGAATCGCTTGCAGGCCGATGTAGGACTGCGCTTCGAAGACTGCGTCGAGGTGTTTCAGAGCCTCAGCATGGAAGGCTTCTGAGCACGCACGGAGCTCGTCGGGAGGATCGACGAAACGTGAGCTGGCCATTGTACTCAGCGCAAGGACCATCATGACCACGAATACGTCACTCTCATCGACGTCTGTGCCCTCGCGCATGCGCTGAATCTGTTTCCCGAGCGTCGGGATATGAATCATGGGCGCGGTCACACCGACAAAGTCGACGTACGCCGCAACGAGGCGCTCAACCGCGGGCTGGGGAGGCAGCGGTGGGACATTGAACCGACGCTTTCCACGCTTTGACGAGCCGCTCTGCGAGGAAACAGAGGGAGGCCCACGAGAATGCGGAACATGCGAGGGAACATGCCCATGTGTGGAGCGAGGCGTATGCAAGTTGTCCTGCGACTCATCGGCATGTTCTACCAGGGGCGAATCCTTGCCAATCACTGAGCGGTCGCTAGGGGATTCGCCCGCACCGCGTATGGACCCCGAGTGACTAGGCGTGCCCGCAGAGTTGAGCAGCGTTGCGCCAGTTACCGCATGGCCTGTGCGCAAGGCGGCATCCTGGACCATGCGTGTGAGGGAAGTGGCGGCCGCCCCGGCGGTAATGGGGTTCTGAGCACGACCAGACCCGCTGCCAACAATGGGTGAATGGATCGAGTCACTGTGCGGAGTACTTGGGAAGTAGTCCGAGCCGCGTCTAGCGTGCGAAGGGCCGTCCCACGGCGATCTCATGGGCGGTTCACCTTCTGGACCTTGCAGGGTTGGGTCGATGGCCAATCCGCCTGAGCTACCGAGACCGCCCGACCCAACGAAGGACGCCATGTCCTGGGATGTGACCGAGGCGATCTCTCGTTTCCGGTTGGCAGCTGGGTCCGCCGCATTGGATGTGAGCGCAGCGACCTGCGCACGCAGGGATGCGACCTCCTGCTCGAGTGAATGCAGATAGCTGTGAGTGTGAGCATGACAAAGCCACAAGGCCGCGGACGGAGGGAAGGCGGGAGGGCAACTCACTTTCGGGAGACATTGGTCTTGCTGATCGCATCGAAGCCAATGCATTCGACCTTTGCACGTTCACATGCGGAGCAGGCCGGAAGTTTGCCGTCGCACTTCTGTTTTCGCGACCGACACCGGGTACATGACGAAATGGCACGGGCGACTTTATATTGTGTAGGGGCCATGTCGGCTTGAGGGGAATCGGCACCGGAGGCACGCGAGTTCGAGTTGGATCGAGCGGGTGCAGCAGGCTGCGAGAACGAGGACTGAGGATACGGAGAGTATGCTTCTGACGATGATGTGCGGCGCGCAGACGACGGCGCTTTCATCGTGTGTGCTCGGAGAGGACGACGGAAGGACGTTGGCTGACGGAGTTGCCAACTTGGTGTATTGCAGGAGCTATGGGGACTGTCCGGGTCAAGGCGTGCCGGAAGGGAAAGGGGGGTTGCCGCCTTGCGGATGTGTCGCCGTCGATGCTCTGAGCTCGACTTTTTTCGGTGTCGAGGTCGGGGATGTCCGAGAGGTCGACCGGGTGGAGGGCGGACGGGTTCACGCTGTGGGATGGCGGCCACAGACGTTGGGCACGGGGTATTCGATGGCACCGAGATGGACCAAAGAGGTAGAGGACGAAGGTGGGGGCGATGTCCTGTCTCTTTCGGAGTAGGCCTACACTCCTACGGTCGCACGTCTTCGTTCAGGCGCGGAGACAAATGCTTTAGCCGCCCAACTGCGCACGACACAACCGACTCGAAATACATCCGTTCACACCGCACCTGCGCTTATCGACTCGACCCGATGCATGAAACGTGCTCAGATTTCCTCAGCTCACTGTCGATGCCGTGGACGTGATGCATGCAAAGTCCTGCAGGGCCAGGATGCAGAGAAGGCTTGGAATGGGCTCTTGGCTGACTCGTTCCTGGGTCGCCCTTGGGCCCATGTTTGGCCCTCACCTCATCGGACGAGGCCGGCTCTGACAGGAGCGCCAGGTCTTCGGGCGCCTACCTCGGCTAGCACACGCCTATCGGAACACGCGCGTCGCAGACGCGTCATGTACATGATGTTGATTTTGCTGAGGTGACTGGACTTTCCTGAGACTTCCTTCACAACAACATCCTTGTAACACTACAACAATGAGTAAGCTACGGTGCAGGGAGCTCAAGCTGACATTAGGTGACAACCCCTATTACGGCGGCGGCGGCGGTGGCGGCGGATACATGGGCAACGGCGGCTCTCCGTACGGCGCGAGCCAGGACTCTCCGAGCAGGCGGGTATGTTGAGCTAGCGGCAATGCACGTCCAAGCTAACAGGCAGGGTGGACGCGCGAACCAGACCCTCCGTCCGGTGACCATCAAGCAGATCCGTGAGGCCAAGCAGCCGCATCCCGATGCCGACTGGCAGATCGATGGTGTCGATGTGTCCCACGTAAGTTGGGTATCGCTCCTCCAACTGACGGCAACAGATTCACTACATCGGCTCGGTGCACAACATGGCGACGACAGCGACCAACGTGATGTACGAGATTGGTGATGGCACGGGCTACATCGAGACGCGCCAGTGGCTCGACAGCGAGGCGGATGAGCAGGGCAAGACGGCGGGCATCGCGCAGGACAAGTACGTCTCTATGATCGGCACGCTCAAGAAGTTCAACGACAAGCTGCACGTGTCCGCGCAGCAGATCCGCCCCGTCGACAACTCCGACGAGGTCTACAACCACCTCCTCAAGGCGCTTGCCGTCAGTCTGTCCTACCGCAACCCTACGGCTAACGGAGTGAGTTGATGTGCAAGGAGAAGTGGTCAACGAAATGCGATGCTGACGCTATCCCCTCTACTCGTTCGCGCAATACGTTCATGTCAACTCGATTACACTCGATCAACGACTTGATAGGCTCCCGCTGGTGCTGGTGGTGTTGCGTCTGCGAACGACTATGCCGCTCCCGGTGCGGCCGGCGGCAACGCGTCCGAGTACGCCGACCTGCCTCCCCTCGAGCGCAAGATCATGGAGATCATTGCGGCGGTCGACGATGACGACGGAGTGCACGTCTCGACCGTTTCGAGGCAGTGTGGCGGCAGTGGCGAGGAGGTCATGTGAGTTGCCCAATTTGCGGTTGACTAAAGCTGACTCAACCAGGTCCGCGATCGAGAACCTTATGGCCGAGGGACGTCTGTTCTCGACGATCGATGATCTCGTAAGTTGAGACGGAGATGCGCGAACTGACAACGCAGCACGTGAAGGCGGCGTAAGCGTAGACGGACGAGAAAGGAGATGACGGCTGGTATCGCCTGCGTGCGATGGCAACTGGCCGCTCTCTCAACCCGTGCCGAAAAGTTTAATAACCACATGTACAATCATCCACAGATACAGATGACCTATGTATACTTTGACCCGAGAAGAGATAGTACAACAGAATGACATGATCTAGATTGTCTACATAACTTCGACCTCCTGCTCGGCGCCGCAGTCGCAGCGCTGCAGTTGGCGGGTCTTGCCGTCCTCATCCTCGATCTCCTCAATGGCGACAAACTCGTGGACGTGCTGGGCCTCCTGTCGTCGCTGGAACTGGTTGTTTCGCGTACGTTTACGGAGACTGCAGTCAGCTATCAACGATCCTTCCCACAGCTGTCACATAGACTTACTCTCTCAGCCCCTTCTCAAACTTGGCTTCCCGCTTGCGTTTCTTGAACTCCTCTCTCCGCTCCCACTCCTTGTCGAGACCTTCCTTGCCGCCCCACTTCTTCCACGCAACCTCCTCGACCTGCATGCGCAGAAACAGCATCATGTTCGAGTACGTCGATGCGTGCGGGTTCGCCTTGAGCAGGTGCGGCAGCAGGTCCGTGTCTCGCAGCTCCGGATCGGTAAGAAGGTAGTCCTGGGCGTCAGCTGTATCCCAAATTTCTAGCTGAGCATTGATGAGGGTACGGCTCACCTCCTTGCACTCCGTCTTGGTGAGGAGCGAGTACTTCTCGGGATGCTTCTCCTTGCAGCTCTTGCACACGCGGACATCAAACACCTTGAGGAACTGGTGGTCGATTTCGAGCGATTTACATTCAGAGCACCGCGGCGATGTGTCGGGGAAGATGGCCGGTTCCTCTCCCTCGCGCATCATCTGCTTCTCGCGCTGCTTCTCCCTCGCGAGCTCGATGACGCTCTTGATCCGGTCGCCCTCCTCATCTTCCTGGGTCAAGAAGCCTCCACGCGAGTTGTGCAGCTTGCTCAGGTCGTACTCGAAGTACTTGCCCAGTCGTGAGTCGCGCGGCAACGGTGCTGTCGTCTCGGCCGCCGCGGCTTGTTGCTCCGCAACCATGTTGCGCGCCGAGGACGGCAGCGGAGCCGCCTTGTTCACGTATCCTGGTCCTTTGCTGGTGTCATTGCTGGTGCTGCTCGTGTTGGAGAGCTTCTGCTTCGCCTTCAACCGGTTCAGTGCCGCCAAGCGCGCCTGCTGCGGCGTCAGGTCTGGCATTACGCAGATCTGCTGTGCTTCCCCTGGAAACTTGGCACGGTCCGTGGAAGAGGTTGCGTCACGAGGAGAACAACGGTGCCGACTGCGTTGACGCGGTGGTGAGGTAAGAGGCGTCGGGAACCCTCGGAGATGGTGTCAACGGTCGATGGTCCGGCGAACGAGCGCGCACTGAAGATGAGTGTGGAGGTGGAGGAAGCCGAAATTCAGACGTAACCATCGTCATCCGTCAGATGCAATCAGACACTGGACACCGGTCGTTCGCCACCCGGATCCATTTCGTGACTGCTTATCAAGCACGTTGATTGGCTGGAACCCGATCGCTGGCATCACCATTTCAATAGGGTCCAGTATCGTGCAAAGCACAAGGTTAATCGATGACCGCGAGAACCAAGTGAGGCTGGTGGGCGTCTCTTTAACTCCCTGCCTATCCGCGTGCATTGTCGATTAGGAACTGCTGCGGAAGAGTCCCAGAGTCAGACTCAGATTCGGAAACTAAATGCTATCGTCATACCACGCGCGAGTGGGCGGGTGGGGTGCAATGTCTGAGGACGGAGGGCGGGCTTGTGACGTCGATGTGTCTGGAGCCCTTGCTCTTGGTGGCGATGTGCCTGCGCGCTAGCTGGCATGAGGTCAGGTGGACATGACATCGCCCGCTTGCTCCCACACTTTGGTCCTTTGCATGCATCTCTCTTCTCTCCCCGAGTTCCCCGCGTCCTGCCTGCGCGCCTGCAGCGATTGCATGCGCATGACGGTCAACCTAATCGCCGCACTCCTTCGATTGTAAATAGAATGAAAGCAGCGTGGTAGGAAGGGGAAGGGCTTGGGAGAGATGCCTGTCAGCCACACCCGGCACATCCAGAACACACGACGATCTCGTCTGGTGTCTGGCCCAGTGTCTTTCGTCACTGCGCGCCCGTCCGCTTCAGACCCAGCACATGACCATCGCGCGAGTATAAAGGACCTCGAGATCCGGACACGACAGCTGCATCTTCCATCTGCCCATCCCCTCTAGCATCTACTGAACACCCCCCGCCACACCAACAACAGCAACAATGTCGACCTCTAACATGCCCAGGCGCCTCGCCACCGACGTGAGTACCCAGGACAGTGGCGGTTTCCCACGCCCTGGTTGGCTGGTTCAGCCGGGTGAACCGCGATAGCCATGAGCTTGACCAGCTCGCCTCTTCTGCCATTCAGAGGAGCGGGAGTGGCGACGAGCTGATGTGATCGTTTTTGAGTAAAGCTAACGTGCAGGTCGACCCGTCGAAGCTCTCGTCGGTCAAGAACATCCAGCAGGGTTCGTCAATGGTGAACCGCTTCGCCAAGCGCGACCCCGCCCTCTACCCCCTCGCCTTCATCATGGTCGGCATCGCCGGTGCGACCGGCTACTTCTTCGTGAGTCCACTCGCTCAAAGCTGCGAGGACCTTTCTAGCACAAGCTAACATTCCAGACCAGGAAGTTCGGTGACACGCACGGCGACCTTCACCTCGCCGAGAGCGGCGGCATGGTCCACCCTTGGGACGACAAGAGCAAGCACGAGGTCCACCCCAAGTGAGTAGCATGCTTAGGTAGATCCGTTCCAGCAGCTAACAACAGCTCCACCGCGGCGTTCAAGTACCGCTACAAAACGCCCCAGGGACACATGGAGGACGCGCACCCCGTCCTCAACTCGTCGACTCACAAGGTCAACAACCCCAGCACCAAGTGGAGCACTACCAGCTAAGCGAGGAGCTCGCGGTTCTCAAGTGTCAGAAGTCAAGTCAGAAGTCAACGTGATCGCCATGTGTAGTCAATAGTCAGAAGAATGCAGTCCCATAACGACACTTTTTCGGGCGTTACTATATTCCGCTACAGACTTTTCC